GGCCTTGCCATTAAATGTCAAAGATTTGTCAACATTTTGGAGAAAATGAAGAGACTGACCAAGTATTGCTTAAACATTTAGATGATACAGTTTATTTGGATGGACATGACTTCAATTGTAAATTAAACATCTGGATTGATTTCATACCTGAAGGCTCCACTTGATTGTTTCATTTGCCTCAAAAAATTGTACACTTTATCTCTGAGAAAGAATTTCTATACCATATTAAACCCATATAGGAAAAAGAGCATGGAACTTCAAACTGTTCATAAGTTTAATTGACCACCTGTTAATTGAAGACAAAGATCTGGATCCACCCAAGGTAATAAGTGAATTGACCGCAGCATAGGTTGTTGCAAGGTGAGGCAGCTGAGAAAAAAATGTTTATAGGCTGAAAACTACCAGCAAGAGACCAGGCAACTTAACAGATAAACCAAAGAAAGGAAAAAACCAATCTTCTGCACAGCTGAACTACATTCAGATCTGAGCTAGATAACCTCTAAATATTCTAAAAGAATAGGAAGACAGTTTTAGGCAAAAGTATAATACATCTTGTACCTCTAAAACTGCAAAAGGGGCTAACCAAGTACATATTAAAAGAAAGAAGAACAACATGATATTAGAATCTTTTTATGCCCTGCAATAATGATTAATTGACAACATATATTATGGCCCAACCTAACACCATTCATCTGCATAAATGTCACATAGGTGACCTCCATATCTTTCCCGATGAGTACAAGAAAAGATGGAGAATTTTCATTGGAATATTCACCAAAGAACCTTATGATTTCTCTATCAAACATTGGTGAGAACCCAATTCCCCAAAACCTAAGTGTTCCTCCACAAGGTTCGTCCATTGAAGGTGAGTCAAGAGAACGAGCCAATCAGGAGAAGAACAAGTTTTACTTGTGTAAACCAAATATGGTCAAAGCAGTAGAAATCAAGACAGAAATTCTTTTAGCATTCAAAATATCTCGCAACATTCCATCCTTAAACATTAGGAGAGTAATAAGTACCTGCCCAGGTCCACCCCCATATCCACCACTTGGGTCCTACAGGCAAAAAAAGGGCAAAACCATTAATGTGACGATAAGATAAAGTTAAGGCAATACCGAGAGAAGAAATAACTGAGCATGGATAACAGAGGAAATGAGCAAAATGGAATCCGAAAGTAGTCATCCAACTTCAGATTTGCTCGTAAGTGTCCCAAGGAGGTTAGCCCTTCGAATCGGCAGGGAAGACACACTGCAGTCAATTCTACCGGAAATATGACCATAGAAATGACCGGCATGAAGCAATGCTCTGATAATATCAAGGCCATCGGTACCTGACAGCGACTAAGGAAGTCGATGACACTATCTTCGAGTACCGCATCAAGAGGTTCACCCAGCAAAGCAAGAGAATGTATGATCCAGTAACAGAGCCACGGGCGACTGCAAAGCATTCCATTAATAAGAAATCAAAACATCAGTTCAGAGCCAGCAATTGGCATCGAAATTATAACCCAACAAGAGCTAAACACAAGCATATCCAACTCAACAAGAAAGGGCTCCTCCCTTCCACGGCTTCTGGCAAGCCGAAGCAAGAAGGAGCCACTCCAACCAGGAGACAGCAATCATGACAGCCAAATTCATCACATAAAGGGCCGACCCTCCCAATCAAACTACCAAGCACAAGCTCCGACGACTCCGGTCCCTCGACACGGCAGGCAAAGTGGGACCGGCGGGGGTTACCTGGCATCCAAGGCGCCGAAGGAGGGCGCGAGTCGACGGAGGCCGTGGGTCAGGTACTCGACGTGGCTATCCCGGTGAATCTCCAGCCTTCGAAATCGCAGAAGCGGTCAGCCACAACGGCAAAGAGATGAGGAGAAAGGAAACAAAAAACAAAACTGCAGAAATCGAATCAAAGCCTCCAGCAGTTCAGACGCGCGCGCGCAGAGACAGAGAGAGAGGTGGTACGGACGAGAAAGACTGAGCAGCGGGAGGGAGTTGAGCGAATAGAGAGTAGATCCCGCCGACTTCCCGCTCCACCATCCACTGATCACGCTGCGTGACCGTCGTTCTCGACGACGACGACGACATGCTCCTCCTACTATTCCGATCTCCAAAGTCGAAGGCTTTGGCCGATTTAGCTTTTGATAAAGGCGTACTTTTTACTGAGCTTCGTTTCGCTTTATAGTTGCTGTACACTGTTGTCTCTCTCCGTCTTTTCAACTTCAAAGTAAAACCAAGAATTTGATATAATCGCGAGGATTAGATGGGGCAATAAAATTTAAGGGTATGTACAAGGACCAACTCATCTTAAGCCCCCCACCTTTGCCCAATTCAATCTATTGCATAAAGAGTAGCGATGGGCATGGTTTCGTGATAGAACCACGAACCCAATGCATCCCGTTTCAGTTCGCCGTTCCATTTTTAAGGAGCTGCCGATTTTCGATTCGATTCTTGATTCCGGGCGAACCGAACCGGGAGAATTGAGAAACCCCTAAAGGGAAGCTTTTTACTTTTTACTCATAAGAACTTAGATGTGCTTATCCATAGAGGGGTTTATACTAATCTTTCCTACAATCAATAAGGATCAATGTGCATGAAGTTGTCTGTAATTGAAATAGGGGTTACTCTTAGGGAGACAGCTAATTCTCTACTAATAGTCGCTTATAAAGTTCTATCAAAGGGGTTAGACTAAGATTTTAATGGGAAAAGTGTCAAAAAAGTCACAAACCTTTGGTATTAATACCAATTGAGTCATAAACATTTTTGTCTTTGTGCCAATTCAGTCCTTCCAGCTAATTATGGACGGATTTTGCTGACATGGACGCCGCTCGGGCGGTCGCCAACGCTGACGTGGATAACTTTTAATAATATTTTAATATTTTTTAATTTATATTTATTTTTTTCTTTTTCTTTATTTTTTCCTCCTGCCTCTTCCTCCAGCTGGTCGCCGGCCTTTGGCGAGCCACGCCGGCCTCTGGCGAGCCACGCCGGCCACGGGCGACGCTCGCCCTCGCCTAATGGCCGCGAGGGCGACCTCGCACTGGGCTAGTGAGGCTCACCCAGCCTTCACCATGGCCGGGCGAGGCTCGATCTCGTCAAATCCGGCGAGCCTCCCCTGCAACCTCGCGGCCTCTGGCGAGGACCGGGCGAGGCCCGACCTCACCGGCGACTGGGCAAGGCTTGCCCGGCCCTTGCCATGGCCGGGCAAGGCCCGACCTCGCCAGCGGCTGGCATGGCTCGCCAAACCTCGCCGGCCTCTAGCCGGTTGCCGATCCGGCAACCAACTGGAGGAAGAGGGAGGAGGAAAAAAGAAAAGAAAAGAAAAGAAATAAAGAAATAAAAATTCAAAAAATATTAAAATATTATTAAATTTTGTCCAAGTCAACGCCGATGACCGGCCGGCGTCCACGTCAGCAAAATCCAACTAAAATTAGCCGAAAGGATTGAATTGGCACAAAAACAAAATATTTAGGACTCAATTGGCACAAAAAAAGGTTTAAAACTAAATTGACACAAATGCAAAAAGTTTGGGACTTTTTCAACACTTTTCCCAAGATTTAATATAAAAGGTTTTCATATATCGGTGGCTACATAGTGCAACAACAAAATTGGATATTACACTAATTTTCCAAGACCATTAGATCTATTCTAGTTTCATTTCCTGAAAACAAACATATAACATTGGTGTCTTGTTGTAATTCATATCATTCTATATCGTTGTAAACTGAGAAAAATTACCTTACAATACGTTATTGGTCAAAATATATAATGACAAGTATCATGCTATCACAAAATTCCACATTGCATTCAATATACTCAAGGTAAATTTTATGCCCATTAAAACATATTGGAATCTAGGGACCTTGTGCTTGATCTTCACTGGAGATTGGTGAAGCTTATGTTTTCACTTGTTAATATGTACGGCGATAATCTAGATTTTAGTCTCTCACTTGCTTTAATTATATGAATGCCTTCTAATTATATTCAGTTATTTTTATGTATGTGTGAAGTTAATGTATCAAAATAATAGGGTGAAAAAGCAATAAGTCTCCAAACTTGTGTATAGCGGCTCACTTTAATGCCAAAAGTTTGTTTTGGATCACTTTAGTATCAAAATTGTTGAAAAACGATCACTTAAGTGCCAACTCCGGTCAATTTGGTCGGAAATCCGGCGTGGCATTTTTATTAATTTCGAAGGCGATGTGGCTCGCCGGATTATTGAGTCATCATATACACATCAAAACGACGTAATTTAGCATATACACTTGGATTTTTTAAATATTTTTTATGATTTTTTTCCTTCTTTTCTTGTTTTCTTCTCTTTCTTCTTCTTCTACAAAGAGAAGAAAAAATGAAAGGAAGGAAAAAAAATTAGAAAACATATTTAAAAAATCTAAATGTATACATGAAAATGCCACGTGGACTTATTTTTTAAAAAAAAATCCAACTAAAATTAAAAAATTTTGACACTTCTAATGTTCTTTTCCCAAAATAACATATCAAAGGAGGTGGAAGGATGTGAGGAGATGACTCCAATTACATGCAAAGGCCGTAGATGATTGAGGACTGAAGTTCTATAATTTAGGTTTTATATTACGTGTCTTAAAGTTTTTTTTTTTTGTTTATTTTATTTTACGGGTTCAACTTTTATGGATTGTTTCTATTAACAATTGAGAGATTTTCATTTTTGTTATTTCAATTAGACCCTAAAACCTACCCAGGGTATGCATAGTAAGTTGCAAGTTTTAAAAATGTAAAACCAGTTCCTACAGGTGACAGGTAGGTTCCAAATTTCGAGTGGAATCCACTTTTTACTTGAAAATGCTCCCCCTAATATAGAGTGATATATCTTCCTCTCCTTGTAAGCACCATAGTGTTGCTCTCGGAGATAAAGCTTGACGATTTCCATCGTGCTCGAAGCTCGACCATTGTCATTTGCCAATCTACGACCGATCATTGCGGGAGCATATATGCATGCGCGCAACAAGACACGTTGACTAGAGGTGTCGCAACAGCTACCGTATGAGGATGTTATGGTTAATCAGTAACATGAAGGGTGCCTCGCCCCTAGTTTTCCTTTAACTTTAATCTACAAGCACTCAGAGTGACAAGGAGAAGAAAAGGCGATAAGGAACAAACTCTAATCAAGATTTCGCTCTCCTATGCACACTTCAGTTTGCCTCGATTGATGAGTGAACATCGAACAGATAGACATCGCCGGTTTCTTCCTGTGACAACACGTAGTCACTAATTGCAACGCATCAAAGACTCCAAATCACAATCCTCTCCATGTCTGCTCAGCAGCACATCGCATTCTCAAGTGTCGCTGTTTTGTCTGAGAAACTGGAGGTCCTTCATTTGGAGCTCTGCGGCCTCTTTAGGTAAGGGCTTCGCCTCCAGAAATGTAACTTCATTGCCTCCTTCAGCTACCTTTTTAGCCAAGTCACTGATCATCGTCTGTATCTGAGACTGCTTGACCAACGGGAAAACGACAGCGAGCATGGTTTGCAGGAGTTGCTCATCTTCCTCCTCAATAGGATCCTTACCGAAGCAACAGACATAAATCGCCTCCAGCGCCTTCTCCACGCGAACCTCCATGGGAATGCTTGGGGTTGACGCGTTTAACTTTGCTCTTCTCTGCAGAATGAATAAACTTATAAGCAATGACGTGCATAATCAAAACAAAAGAAGCCCAGAGAAAGGTGAAACACCAAGCCTCCTCGTATCAAATATGTCAACAGAAAGAACAAACAATAAGACAGTTGGAGCACCAAAGCACATGTAGTACCTCAAGTGGTCAGACAAACACGACCAAAAAAAAGTGGTCAGACAAACAGAAATCCTTCACTATAAATTCCAGTAAAAGACTGTGAACGAATGGAAAGATTCAAACAATTTCAGCTCACTCAATACTGTCTTGGCTGCAGAAAGTTAACAGAGAAGAGAACTAGAATGTGATTCAATGGAGCAATAGCTATAGTGATCGGTTAGCACAGTTTCAAGTACATGGTATGATTTACTAGAACGACAACAATGGCAGTAATCATGCCAAGAATGAAATCTTCACCATATCTCCAATCTGTGCCAACAGTCAAAAGAAGTAAATTTTATTTCCCACCAAATTAAACAAGGTGTGCTTTTTCTTTATCAGTGCATCTGCTCTTTTAGGATGTAGAACCATAATCCAACAGCTGACAGCAGTCTCATAAAGAAATGATCTAATTGAGAAAACCCACCTCTCTCGCCTCATTCATCAAGGCGATGAAGTTCTGTTCTTCAAATTCGATATCATTTGAAAGCCGCAGCCTGGCTACACCTCCTAAAATATCCTCAGATTTGAGAAGACCAGCTCCGACAGCTGCTAACCAACAGCAAAGCAGAACATACAAGGGATCCCCTGCCTACCCAACAAGCCCCAGCTTAGGCTCAATACCATCATACCCAACTATTATGAAATACCATGACACAAACAGAAAGAACACCAAAAGTCCAACTATGAGCACAACTTTAAGACCGTGTCAGCATGGGGAAGTAATGTAATCAGTTACTCATTAGTCACATTCCCTTTGCTTTCTACCTTGTTCACAGGTAAGACTATTCACACTTTCAATAACCCACCTGAATCAAGTTCGCAACTTTAACGTTTCAGACTTCCATCACTCTACCAACTTTCACATGATAGCCTTCACCCGTTCATGAGCATGTTAAGATACAACAATTCTTCAAAGAGTTAGTCCAACAACTGAAATTTCCATATAATGAGCTGCATGCACGTGTTGTAGCCTGATGATATCTCAACAGCACATCTACAAAACCAGCATGACATTCTATTACCAGTAAAAGACTCCGAAAAACATATGCGCGTGTTCAACGAAAACCTAGTTAGCTTTCATTTCGAAACATTGCACTCAGCACATAATATCTCAATCCATACACATTACATACACAGCCGAATCATCATCGATTCAAACGGTTACCCGCTACATCCTAACCCCGGAAAACAACAACACTGCGAGCTAAAGAATAAGCCACCAAACTCCAAGAGGAACATAATCCAGCTTACCCGGCCGCGACGATCTTGAAACTCGTAGAAAGCACGGGAATCGCTAACGGCGGACTTCTTCCCGACCCGCCTCCTGAACTCCGCGAAATCGATGATGTCCCCGCCGACCCCGCCTTCGTCGCTGAAGATCCTCGCCACGAGCCCGACGACGGGCAAAGAACCGATGACCTTGTTGGCGAAGCCGGCGAGGGAGCTCTGGCCCTCCATGTAGGACTTGATCGGCGGGACCCCATGTGGGCCAACCGCTCTGGCCCCGCTCGGGCCTCGCGGGCTCGCGCGGATACGGCGGAGGAAGAGGAGCGATGGCGAGATGGGTTTGCAGAGGAATGCGTTGTAATGGGAGAGAGCGGCCGTGGATGTCACGGCCACCATTGCTGAGCGCAGTGGAAGTTAAAATCTCGTTGAGCGGTGTGATACTGGCCTCTCGTTTATGTATGCGTGCCGGTGGGATTAATATGCAGGATATTGGTGGATCAAGAAGCGGGTCGGTCCGGGCCTTCGGGTCGGACCCGTATGAACTGGGCGGGCTAGACTGTGTAAATGACGAAAGAAAAAGGGAAAAGCCATTGAAATTTGATCCAATGTGTAATGTCCGTCCCTGAATTTTTAATTCGTTCAATCCGATCGTTGAACTATTATTAAATGTTTAATCTAGTCCCTAGAATATGGGTGCGTTTAATTCGGTTTTGCAAGTGGGCCCTGGGGAAATGCAAATACCTTTAACTTAAAGTTCATTGGGAAATGCAAATTGCATTTGGTAAAAAATCCTTTGTAAAAATTACATATAGTGTTTGGCACATTTTTTTTTGGCAAGGGGCTTTTGAGTTTTTTTTTTTATTTAAAAAAAACAAACCCTTCGCCGAAGCCGGGGAAGGGCTATAGCCACCGACGAGCCAAATCTGGCACCGGTGGGCATCGCCTAAGGTCGTACGACCCCTGGCTAGGGTTGCGCAACGCTAGACGGTGGCAGCCTGGTCTCCATCGCGGGGGTCATGCGACCTAGTCGACCCCCTACCAACCTCTCGCCGTCTCGATCTGGCCTCGTTAGTTTTAACCGGCCGTCCTCGCGCAAAGAAGATGAATAGTAACAATGAGGGGCAAAATCGAAAATTAAAGAATTAGCGATGATAGTTTTGGAAGAAAAAAATTAGTAGCATTTGCTCAAATGTTGAAAGCCCAAAGCTGGTCCTTATCAGCTTTGGGCTTTCAACCTTCCCAATGCTAGCTTTCACTTGAAAACCCTTTGGGAAAGCTTGTCAGATGCCCTAACATTATCCCAAGGGGCTTTGGAGGTTGAAAACCCATCCAGAAAGCCGAACCAAACATGGCCATATATAAGAAAATGTTCAAAATCCTCCTTCCATTAATTCAAGTTAACAGAATCTACCGATGTTGCTTCTAATTCATCAAGTTTAAACGGTGCACAATGAAAAAAAGAGTTACATGTGGATTATCTAGATAAGATATTAATCTCAAGTCAAGATATAATAATTCACGTTATCAAAATAATTATGGACATGTTAACACCCTGATATTTTTTTCCCTTTTCGAAAGTAGATGGATAAAAGATGGACATCTTGGTTCATCATTTTTAAAAATCCAACTCGGCATATAATAATCTATGTCATCAAATAACGTCTGATTTGTCGTTTGAGCAAATAAAAGGATCACATTGAACAAATTAAAAGTTCAGGGACGACATTATACATTTGGGTCAATCATTGACCATTTATGTCATTTCCTAAATAAATAAATAAAAGAGCACTTGCCTACATTAGCCCTTTTCTTAATGCATTTGGGTGAGCCCAGTGTTACGTGGACCATATAGCTGCCCAACTCATGACCTCAATTTATCCCAAGAAGTAGAATGCGGGCTCATAAAATATCGGTTAGTCGTCCAAAAAAGCAATTTGTAAGATTAGAGGGATCGCTACCGCCGGTCGCCTTCCCTACCAAATGGGTCTATACAATATACGAACTACGTAGTACTCGTAAGTTAGCTTACGGTCTATTTGTTTTTTAGGATATATTTGATGCCAGACCGGCCCATGGGCCTGCCCAAAACAAATGGGCCTATAGACTGTTTTGGATGGGCTGGATAAGGGCTTTTTGCTTTAAATCTCTAGCCCAGTTCGATTGGACCTAAGCCAAGACCAGCCCCTTCCGAAGATTCATACATACATGTTTTGTTTACGCGAGGCTCAATGACTTAATCCTCCTCCACTTCTTCTTGTTAACTGTTAGCTCTCCAGTCATTCAATTGCTAATGAGGTGGGGATTCAAATTTTTGTTGGTGTAAGCTTGCAATCTCACATCATGATTATCATGCGGAGGAACTATTATTTTGCAAGAATTGTAGGCCGGAGGTACGGCCAACTCCCGTGATGCGATGGGCGGTGGTGTACAATACAAGGCTCAAGGACGAGATCACCGCCGTATGGTCGGCCGGCAATTACTAGCGGTTCTGGCTTCATGCAAGCAAGTTGCAACAATTTCGAACTGGAATGATCTACCTTCCCGTGACCTTTGTTTCACAATGCCGTCTTCTTTTCTCCGGTCTTGCACATATCTTTGGTTTTCCCAGCTTAACCGGATCAGTTCACATGGATAGCTCGTGGGGTCTCTTTCCATGTAATGCCATGGCGATACGACCACACACTAGAACACTAGGCTTAGGGGGAGATTCACTGTCCCGTGACCCGCTCTTCTTTTGATGCCTCATTTCAAGTCAAAAAGTGCAGGCTTTTCCTTCACATGCATCGGCACCGGTTTTGAGCAGCAACCCTAGTTGGTCATCTGTGTCTTGTGTGGATTAAGGCCAATCTACATATTGCATATTGATGAAGATAGCACCCCCATCTTCTAAGGAAAGAACACCATTTGTTGGAGCATCTGTTCTGGTTGTTTCTTAAATTTTGAGCAAAAGGGTGCTCTTGACACCATCCGATTTGCTCCATTTTGGTCATTGCATATGGCTCTTCACCTTTCTTGCCCTCAATTTAGTGCGGATCATAAATTAAATCAAGCACTACCGATTAAGATAGAGAGGGAATAAAGCTTCCACATTCATTGCCCGAATTGAAAGGTGGATTTATCCCTATTGTTTCTTTGATTTTCCCAGCTCCAACCTTCCCCAAATGATACCATCTCTTTTTCTCTTTTCTTGTTGCTAGAGTTCTTGCACCTTCCTGTCGTATTGTACTTGTGCAATTACCAATGCAATCGAATCAAGGAACATCCCCAAATTAGCAAAGCCAAGCATTTGAGACTCTTTGCCACCGCCTCATTGAAAAGAAATAAAATCATCTGTCTATTGTGGGGTCGAATCCAGAAGATGAGATGAGCCCTTTTTGGTATTATTTGATCCCTCAACACACAAAAACTAGAGCAACGGATGGATGGCGGTGCGGCTGATTTGGATGCCATGAAATTGCTTTTCACAAGTTTGGCCCGCAAGAATTCATGGAAAAGTGCCAAAAAAGTCCTAAACCTTTTGCATTAGTGCCAATTTAGTTCTAAACCTTTTTTGGTGCCAATTCGATCCTAAACCTTTTGCGTTGGTGCCAATTTAGTCCTAAACCTTTTTTGGTGTCAATTGAGTCCTAAACCTTTTAAATTGGTGCCAATTCGGTCCTAAACCTTTTGTTTTTGTCTTGCCAATTTAGTCCCCGGTCAATTTTGACAAGATTTTGCCGACGTGGACCCTGCCTAGGCGCGGCTGGTCACCGCGCCGGCGTGACAACTTTAATAATATTTTAATAATTTTTGAATATTTCCTTTTATTTTTTTCTTTTCCATTTTTTTTGGTCTCTCCCTCCTTCCTCTGGCCGGTCGCTGGTCTGGCGACCGGCCGGAGGCCAGAGGCCAGCGAGCTCGACCTCGCCGGCCACTGGCGAGGCTCGCCCTCGCAGCGGCCTCCGGCGAGGGCTCAAGCCTCGCCCGACGACCAAGGCGAGGCTCGCCCTCGCCGATCAACTCCTCTCCGCGTCCGAAAACATTTTCCCTCCCAGGGAGAGACAATTTGAAAAAAAAAAAAGAAAAATTTGGAAAATGATTTCCTCTTATTAAAGTGTGAAAAGCGGAAATCATTTTCCTCAAAATCCACATGAAGGATTTGGGGGCCGGGGAAGGAAAAGTTTAGGCCAATGGAAAACATTTTCCGGACTAAATTGAACACCAAGGAAAATGCGGAAAATGTTTTCCGGAAAAATAGTTTTTTCCGCAAACAAACACAATTCATACTAAATTAAAAACCCGAATTTTCTATTGTCTCTAGGGTTGGCGAAATAATTATTACATGTACACTTGTTTTGATTGTTTATGGAAGCAACGCCGGTTACATGTGAACTGGCTTGTCGACTTTTGCAAATTGGACTGGTTCTCTAAGGTTGGCTCGTATTTTCGTTTGGACTGTGAATGTATTCACCATAAGATTGAAGACATGCTAGAGCAATATCACCAGGAAAACATATCATGCACGCAGAACTTACATTAGTAGAATACTATGTCCTATAGAATACCCCCGGTTCTATTATTCACTCCAATTTCTCTTTTTGAAATTGAATTATGAGGTTGAAGCTTCTGATGATGGCTCGGCCATGAGTTGTGGCAAGCATGATTCGGTCGGGTTTCATGCATTGAAAAATGGTTGGAAAATCATTAGCCATCGCATAAACAAAAGTTCGTGTCCAGGAGTTGGCTCTTCCCCAGTTGAGCTCACTTGCAAATTTAGGGTTTCCAAACTCATGATATTCTCCTTTTGCTTTCAGTCCCACCAAAACCAACGTCGGCATAACGAGATTTTCTGTAGTAGAAAACCATATCGTGCAATTCTTTGTGGTTTTACGAACGCTTCAAACTTGGTTACCACGTCAAGTCGTGAGACAAAATATATTTCCTATATGATTCCATTTCATACTGAGTTGCATGATACTTCATAACGGCACCGTTGAAAGTCTCGAAAGATGCGAGTCCAATATAATGGGGGTTTTTCATACCGAGCTGCATAAACTGCCGAAGATAGTGCAGTTCACATGTTGTGCTCATCCTCCTCATTTGCTCTCGAAGACATTACTGGACAAGATCCAAACCCTACATAGCTTTTCCAAGATTTTGTGATCACTGTGAGAGAGAGAGAGAGAAGGGCCAGCATAGACCCACCTAAATAGTAGCATGTCTTGCCACATGGAGCCTGGATCGACGACGTGATGAGACCATCGTTCAGGAAATACATGCGTTGGATCTGTTTCCAATGAAATTTACTGTGAGGCGTGAAGACTCCACTCACTTCTGATACTTCACATTCCATATATCCAGTAGTCATGATGAATGTTACTTTTCATGTTTGGAAGGTATGTAATTGTTTACACCACAGTAATTTTTCGGGTTAATTATAAAAAAAAAAGCACAAATTTTAGGTTCAGTGGCAATTTTGGTCTGAACTTTTTTTTATCTCATAAAAAAAGTACGAACTTTAGGTCAAGAGACAATTCTGGCCCCAACTTTTTTTGTCTCATAAAAAATCACCAATTTTCACCCTGATCCTAAATCTGCCCCCCGTTGACTTTCTATCTGAAGTCACCCTTGTTTGAGAAAAAAAGTTATGGTGGTGAGCTTGGTGGATCTCGTCCATGGCACGGTCGATGGTTTATAGTTTCGCCGGAGAGATTCAATCTGGAGATATTTTTGACTTATCGGAGAATTAAAGGAGACGAACAGTTTCACCATTATTCTTTAAGTTGTCGCTCAGAGAATAAAACAATGTATAGTGCTTTAAATCCAGTTAGCTAGCCACATGAATTTATTGTTAAGGTGGACTAGTCAAGTTAGATAATCAATGGTTCTAAGTCAATAGGAGCCAGATTTGAGATTTAAGTGAAAGTTGGTGCTGTTTTACGAGACGAAAAAGAGTTTGGGCCAGAATTGTCACTTGACCTACAGTTGGTGCTTTTTTACGGGACAAAAAAAGTTCGGGCCAGAATTGTCCCTCGATCTAAAGTTTGTGTTTTTTTTTTGGAATTAGGCCGTAATTTTTCAATCTAAAAATCTTTTTTGACGCCATAAGTATCTTTTCAAAATGAGAAAAAAAAGGGTTTGCTTATAAAGAAAAAGTAGTAGCTCTCTCGCTTGTCTAGTGAGAGTTTCAACGTACTGGTAACTATTTTCCCAGAAAAAAAAACAGTAACTAGTACCGAGCATTGCGTGAAGCCACTAAACCTATCTCCAACAATTTAAAGATACATGATATGTCTACTAAATCTAGATTACGTATCCATTCGCAGTAAGCCACATCATTTAGTGTACTGATTTGGCGTACCGATGTTGGTAAATGAAGTAAAAAAATATTCAATATCAGCGGTAGTGATTGTCGAGTGACACGAGACTTACTTCCGAGGGTGGGACAACCTTGGTTCGTAATTTGTCAGCTACGGTGATTCCATGACCTGTCTTCATCCTACGGGACGGATTTCACGGATGCGTTCTTTATTTTAATGTGTCGATGTCCACATAACTCGTATCTCCAATTCTTCCTATATATTTATCTTTTCCCGAGAGAGTGAATACTATCTAGCTGTTTTACATTCCGGTGATCTCAAGATCCGAACGATCACCGAGATGAAACCTCTCGAGGTCATGCTTAAGACTAATATAGCTCGAATCGTACATTTAGCAAATATGCGAAACTTTCTATATTAACTTTTGTTTACCATTTTCGCTTTATGAAAAAGGGGTAATAAATCCAACGACCTTTCGCAACCCCCCCTGCTTTCAACGGTTGCCGGTACCATCGACGGCAGGAAAGGACACACCCCCATGCTTGAAAGGGATTGGCTTCTCCTACAGAACAAAATATATGAACAGTTTGAGAAAAAATATGAAAAGGTACATTGACCGTGATCCTCTCGCAAGCTAACAAGAAGCACGAGAGAGAGAGAGAGAGAGAGAGAGAGAGAGAGAGAGAGGGGGAGAGGGGGAGAGGTGGGTCAGAAACACACGTCGTGTTCAGGCAAAATCCATGTGCCCACATGGATGATAGAGATGGAGAAGATAGAGAGAGATAATAAGAGAAAGAGTGTGCGCGCGCGCCTGTGTTGCAGATGTAGCTGCAGCAGCAGGAGTAAAAGGGAGGGAGTACTTGCAAAACCCAATCTTCATCCTCATAATTATAGTAATAACCATCATCATCATCATCATCAACAATCTGTTGCAGTATCAGCAGTACGCAAAACACTTGCACACACACCAACACAGCGAGAGAGGCACGCGCAAGCGTTACACTCCCCACACACCCACCTGCATTAAAACTCTGCTCTCTCTCTCCTCTTCGACATTACCAGAGAGGGAGAGAGAAGGGTTGCGGAGGGGCGAAGATGAAGGAGAAGGGAGAGAGCGGAGGAGGGTACGTGAGAGCAGATCAGATAGATCTGAAGAGCCTGGACGAGCAACTCCAGAGGCATCTGAGCAGAGCATGGACAACGGAGAAGAACAAGAACGCCGATACCAACAGCACCAACAGCGACGGCAAGCAAGAAAACGATGCGTTGGCGACGAGGCCCGCGAACGGCAGCGGCGGTAGTCGCGCCGCGACCAGACAGGAGTGGGAGATTGACCCGTCCAAGCTCGTAATCAAGAGCGTCATCGCTCGCGGCACTTTCGGCACTGTTCATCGTGGCATTTACGAAGGCCAAGACGTCGCTGGTATACAAAACATTCCTTCCTTCCTTTCTTTGTATATGGGGCTCTTTGGCTGGTTTTGAGCTTCTCTTTCGGAAAAATGGTTCCTTTCTTTCAAAAAAGAACACCCATTACTGTTTAATTCCCATTATGGAGATTTAAGATTTTTCTCTTGGCTAAGATGATATGGGGTTGTTCATTTTCGTTGACTCTCTGATTAGTGCTCAGAGTGCAAGTTTTAGCTCATTATTTTAAACTTCAAGAAATGAACATTCTCTTAGGAGTGATGAGATGAGATGGTTTTTGAGACCTTGGAGTGTGCTGTGACTGAGAGATTTCAATCATCCTTTAGGTTTCCAGACTTTCGTGTGCTTAATCTAGCAGCTCCAAGCTTCATTTTTCTGCAGTTCATTGAGAAAAATCGCAGGGAAAAGATCTTTACTTTTTCTCCTGAATTTTGTTGCAAAATTATATATGAGTGGTTTGTATCGGTTAACTTTATTATCCGTGACTCACGAGATTTCTTGAGTTAGGCAGTTGGGTGCATTAATTGCGTTATTTTGCCACTTCTTTTCCCCCACATTAACGTGTTCAGATTGTCACTGATGTCTCGTCGCTTCACTCCTTGGATAGAAAAAACGATCTAAAAAGTTAAGGTGACATAACCAATATTGTTACCGTGTTTTGCTCCCAAATGCAAATTTGACTGCCCTTATCAAACCTTACAACACCATCGCTCCTTTCACATCAGTGAAACTGATGCAAGCGATTACACCTAATCTCCAGCTTGAATACATAATAGGAGTATGGGTGTTCTATAAAATTTAGATTTTTTTGCACGGCTAATGATATCTGCTTATCAATTAATCGTCACTCAGAAACTATGGACTAGCTTGTAAGTTGTAACAAGATCTGGGATTATTCCAAAGCCACTATAAACGAGAACCATAACATCAATGTTGTTGCTTAACTCTGGATACTGAGCTTCTTTCTGCACTGCGCCTATAATTCAGATGATGCATGTCCGATTAAATAACTTGCTCTGCAATTATGCTGACTTCACAATACATGAGTGACCTTTACTCTTTTTCTTTATGCCTAGTCAAACTTCTTGACGTGGGGGAAGAGGGACACAGATCAGAGGCTGAAATAGCTTCCCTTAGAGCGGCATTTACACAAGAAGTTGCTGTTTGGCACAAGCTGGAGCATCCAAATGTGACTAAGGTAGTGTTTGGGTCATTCTTTCTATCCCCTTCCCTGGATAACCGGCTCTAGGACAACTGTCACTATTTTTGTACACGAGGCGGTGCATTGGATCTGTTCTTTTCCTTTATTTCTCAGTTGAGAGGAACCACAAATCTCATGATAGTGGAGTGCAAATTGTAAAGATAAATCATGCTGTGACTCTTCTCAATAATTGAATCCTTCATGAACTACTGATGGATGTGTGCCCCGGTTTTTTTTACTTTGCTCAGAAGTCTAACCCAGATACTGATTAGCAGTGACCTGCCCCTGATATACTACATGTTAATATTCCTTTTGAAGTACGGTCCACATGCTTTCAAGATGGGTTGTGACAAGCTAGTGTTAGGTTTAGATTCATATCTCTCACAGGATAATTGTGTGAACCCATAATAAACTCACATTGTTTGCTGCAATTTGGGGTCTTGATGACAGTGGTAGCATACATGGTGGAAATATAGGTCTTCAAGCTCCTATTTAGCATTCATCACTTTGGTATAGCTGACATGTTATGTTGGGAGCTCATGGTTATGTTGTGAGAGCATCCCGCATGAGCTGAGTTGAGTCGACCCAGTCATTTGACCATACTTGAGTGCTATTAGGGATGCAATCCACTTGAACTGTGATCATGTTATGACATCCCTCCTCTTCGTTATTTTAACTGTCGAAGAATTTTGCTTTTCCAAAATGAGATTCATCATATCTTACTTAAGTTTGACATCCCTCTTCTTGATTTCACCTCTTGAAGAATTTTGCTCTTCCAAAATGAGATTCGTCAAATCTTGCTTAAGTTTATTTGGTGGACAGCATATGTTGATGAATAGTTGCTGAGACCTACATAATAAAGGAAATATGTCAATCTTTGAACGCTTTGAAGATGTCCGACAAAACATGTACTCAACGTTGTTTTTTCTCATTCATTTCCCTTTGGCAGTTCATAGGGGCGACCATGGGCACATCAGATTTACATATACAAACTGAGCATGGTCATATTGGCATGCCAAGTAACATTTGCTGTGTGGTTGTGGAGTATTGCCCTGGCGGTGCTCTAAAATCTTATCTCATCAAGAACCGAAGGAGGAAACTGGCTTTCAAAGTAGTCATCCAACTGGCTCTTGATCTTGCACGAGGGTTGAGATCTTGTGCTCTTTTATCTTTTGGATCAGATCTTTGAAGTTCAACTTTTTAAGTGAATCCAATTTGTATGAAGTTTTGTATATTGTTAAACTCTTTTGGTTTCATTCAATTGCTTTTATAGGTTGAGCTATCTGCACTCCAAGAAAATTGTGCACAGAGACGTTAAGACTGAAAACATGCTATTGGACAAGACGCGCACTGTTAAAATAGCGGATTTTGGAGTTGCTCGGGTTGAGGCTTCCAATCCTCATGACATGACTGGTGAGACGGGAACTCTTGGTTACATGGCTCCAGAGGTATCTCTCTCTCTCAGTATGATAACTTGTGTTTGAATGCTTTGGAAGGAACTTTTAATTGGTAGTATATGCATTAGTTTCTACAGACCTGAAGGCTCTCGTCTCCGTACCTTGATTTGACCTGTTCTTGGGATGGTGGTTCACTTGTATAAATGGAACCATAGCTAACCACATCAGAATCCTCAGCGGTTTCTTCCTTTTTTTCTTCTGTTTCTCTGGTTGCACTTTTTTTGGTCGAGTTTCCATAATCCTGGATCTTCTGGTTAGATTTTCAAGCCAGCACACGATTGTGGCAAATATTTGTCATCTACTTTTCTGGTGGGAGGGAAAAAGAAAGAACTAAACTTGGGATACGAACTACTGCTACAAGCCTAGTGCTACTATAGTTGATAGATGCGCATTGAGCGTCTAATTATTAGTCAACTAATGTTAGCTATAGCTAGCAGTTTGTGTCTTGTTTGCTTTGTCCAACTCTTATAAAGCATTCATGTCTAATCCATAATTTGTGACTTTTTACTTCGCAGGTCCTCAATGGTAACCCTTATAACCGAAAGTGTGATGTATATAGCTTCGGTATTTGCTTGTGGGAAATATACTGTTGTGATATGCCATACCCTGATCTCAGCTTCTCCGAAGTGACGTCAGCTGTTGTCCGTCAGGTCAGTGCTATGCAATTTTACTTGATAGATTAGACAGGTACAGATACCTGCCTTTTGTGCTTGCTATAAGCTTGCACTTTGTGTTACAGAGAAATTGACACTGCTATTACGAATCAGAAGAGGGATTGAATAGCCATGGTTTTAAGAATGGAAAATTTGGACAGAAACCCCTAATTTCTGGACCCATTAAAATATTTCACCTGCAGTTTCTTAAGACACCAACTCTTGTAAGAAATTTGATCTACTTGATTTTCTTCTGCTGATTTGGACAAATGTAGCATTAGATCCAAAGATGAGAACTCTTAAGCTTTTTCATGGATCAACAGAATTTGAGGCCAGAGATCCCCCGATGTTGTCCGAGCTCGCTTGCGAATGTCATGAAACGCTGCTGGGATGCGAATCCTGACAAGAGACCCAAAATGGATGAGGTGGTAGCCATGTTGGAGGCTATCGACACCTCGAAAGGAGGAGGTATGATCCCTCTCGATCAGCCACAGGGTTGCTTCTGTTTCCGCGGATACCGAGGTCCTTGAATGGTGGGTGCAGCCATGTCTAGTTAAGGGACAGTGGAGGATCTGAGAAGAACATCTGGAATTGATCTGTATGTAATACAATTAAAGAGGGTGGAGTGCATGGGCTGAGGGCATTTGGTTGGAGGCTTAGATATCAAGTTCTTATGTTTCTCTTTCTTTTTCTTCTTTGGTTAATTTTGTTTAAGTAAGTCAAGAGTCCTATGTTTTTCTTTGTGATGGATCCTGTAAAGCTTGATCTGCTCTTCCTCACTGTCACTTTCCATTGGAGGAGGAAACTGACAGTAAATATTGTTATGGGCAATAAAGAAAACATTTATTGACCCAACAACCTTTGGGTGTCATGCATTCTGATATTTACTAGGATATGCCAACTTCAACTTGTGGCTCATGGGTTCAAGATGCGACACAACTTGCTGTTGAACATCATATCATGTCCACAACCAAAGGTCCGAGACTCTTGAGTCAGGTTTAGTACAGATAAAGAAGCCCGACCATGGAAAGGTCGACCATGGAAATACCGAAAAGAGATGGGGAATGAAAAGCTGAACAAGATTGTCACAACTTGTTTTATTAGATCAAGTCAATCTCGACGATCTCACAAGATTTCAAAAGAAGAATATTGTGAGACTTCTAAGAAGAATAAGTCTGTCCGGAGTATGTCAGAATATGAGGAATTTCATTGCAACCGTGCTGCAACCGGAGTTCTATGAGCCAATCGTATTCAGCAGTGAGAAGAAGAAAGCTTGCCAATTTCATCCAGCAATTTCTACATTCCGTCTTCCACTAAGATCGTGACCCATGTCATCTTTCACTAATAGATCTGAATTTGGTATTGATGCAATCCCAAAAAAGAATACATTCTCAATGTGGATAACACATTATCTCTCATAAATGACAAGAATCAGACAAAGAACATTAGCCTTAAACAACTACATGTTGAAGTCATACAAGCTCACATGTGAAGTGTCCGAACAGACGATATGGGAAAAAGAAGAGAAAAGGAAGAATCTTAGCCAGCAATCTTGTAGCTGGGATTTGCCAGATTATCCAGGCCTGAAACGACTTGCACCGATTCTATGACATCACCAACCTTAAGATCTGCTAAGAAATCCTGATTTTCTGTCACATAACCAAAAACAGCGTACCGCCCATCCAATATATTCGCGTTACTAGGGGTCAGCTCACTTTCCTTTAGCAGCCAAAATATCTGACTTGAAGCGGAATCGTTCTCAAACTCCTGTCAAGTGAGAAAATACACAGAATAAATTTTCTGAAATCCATCGGACTTATCAGAATGAGCGTATAACAGAAACGTAGAGCGAAGCCATGTAGAGCTAGTAAATCTTACATCTCTGGCCATGGCCATTGTCCCAAATGCATTAAAAGGAAGCTTTGTTTGAGCCTTGTAGAGGCCAAGCTCCTGTAAGATGAAAAGCATCGAGTTACAACAGTTGTACATCTAGACAAACTTCATCTCATCAATTACTTCAAATTGAGCGACAGTTCACTGAGTAATATGCAGTGGGACAACCACTCACTGTTTACATTACACTGTACTGCAACGGAGGTTTCATCATGCAAAAGGAATGTGAGGTCATTCTTTTGCTCACTACAACAAGTTTTACATTCCTTTATTCTCAAGTGAATCAATATTTCTACTGCCAATTAATCAATAAGATTCACATGGGGAAAAAAATCCAAGCCCCTACTCTCATTCCTTTTGCTATGAATTTTTCGCAGAGAGAGAGAGACTCACTTCAAGAGTTGCTCCATATACCGGCGCTTTCTCCCCATCCACCATGATCTCCAAAGGTATCGTCCGGGGTTTCTCTGTGCTAGGATCAATAAAACCCTCAGCAGGACCTTCGGGATCACCTGTTTGAACAACAAATCCATCGGCTGGAGGAAAAGAAAAGCCTTCCATCAGCCTCTATAAGAACAGATAATCCAAGGGAAATTGATACGTCTCCTAGCTACAGATTGTCAATTATCCTAACTAACATATTTGCTGCTGCTAGATCTTAAGCTAGACTCAAGGGTAGCGCAGTTCTCCTGAACATATTGTGTCGTCCAATATTTGAAGCATGAAGTTAATTGGGATTTAAGCAACAATGAGAATAATAAATTTTTTCTTGTGACCATATCCATCTAAGTTGAATAAGAAACCAGCGTGTTCAACAGTAGTTCCAAAAGGCTTTGTTTTACCCCCGTTTGATGAAAGATTAGATAGAAGATTGGAAGGCTATAGTTTACCTCTCTGGATTTCCATGCCGTCGTAGAAGTGCCTTTCTACCAAATCCACAAAATTCCCAGCGGTCACAGGTGCATTGTAACCGTCTAAGACTATTCGAAACACACACTCCTCCAGGTTGGGATTGTCCTTGACCTTGACCTTCATATCCACAGCAGCCCTACCTTTCAAGAGAGGCATATTCTTGTATTCTTCAGGAACTTCATAAGGGAAGCCATCCACCATATCCTCTTCAACACTGCAGAAACCCAATGCCCCAGGAAGATCTCAGCTGCAGTCAATGACAAGGGTATCTATGAGAAGGATTTACCTCTTGAGGGGATTAATTTTACATGATCCTTCCACCTTTCAAGCTAACATAGCAACATTGGCATTCTTTTGCTTTATTGGGTAAATACTAGATATACTAAGGCCCATGAGTGCCTATTCAAAAATACAATAGAAGAAAAAGCAGAGACTCGACAGCTATGCATGAAGTACGCCGCCATTAAAAATCATTAGCAGGTTCATCATCCTTTCAGATTAGCAAGATTGAAATTTTTATCTGGTGAACTAACTGTGCACACAAGCTGCGCAAAGTCTAAGAATTTCTTCTTCTAGGGCGGACTACTGAAGTAGATCAATCTTCTGCAGCATCTCATCAACTAATAACTCAATTTTGCCCAAAAAGAAAAAAACGTGATGGTGTGAAGGATGGTGTATTGTTTAAACTCACCCTCCAACATAGCTAAGCAGTTCCCTCTGTTTTCCTGCTACAGCATCTCTATTTCTATCCTCCACAATTTGTTGGAGCTCATCCATTCCAGCTTCCAGCTTGTCAAGCAACTCCACTCCGTTGTCCTTCTTTGACTCAGCCAAGCCAGATACAATCAAATTTCTACCTTGCTTGAGCGCTCGAGATGCTTGCCTCAGATTCTATATTTTTCATAGAAAGATACGGAATCCATTATCTTCGTTTCAAGGTCTCCTACTACTAAGAATGGAACAACACAAAAGAATCTTTGCAAACTGCCAAGTAAAATCAAAATGAAGTCTTGCTTTGGTTTCTTACTCTCTCCACGGAGTCGAGTGCCTTGAGTCCCGCAACCTTGAGACTATCCGTGATGTCCTCGAGCGGCTTCTGAACTTCCCTTATGGCCTTATTATTAATGGGAAGAGCATTTCTCAGCAAAGCCTCGGGGTCTTTAATCGGTGGGCCAGATATTAGGACAGAAAGATCAGGCAAAGCAGGACTAGCTGCATAAGCATCGCCCGTAGACATATCCAACGAAGGCACTCCCGTCACCAATCCAACCGCCAAAGCAATAGATATCGCACATTCTCTCAAAGAAAATGATCTCCCTTCCTGCTCCAAAAATTCAAAACTTTTCTTTAGTGACGCCAACACAAGACATTAGATTCTCAAAGGGAGTTGCAGAAATTAAACGAATATGAGACCTTCCTCTGAAGCAACTAGATTATAGCCAGCAATTATTCCTTTCGGACCAGTGCTTCTCCCAATAACATGAACACGACCCAATCTAAGTACCGACATTGTACCACAACCCAACCGGTGCCAGCAGACAGATTGGAGGTCAAAATGCCACACTTACCTGGTGGTAAACGTCGAACGTCCGTCCCAACAAAGACTACTCTTTGAAATTCAAAACTTCCAAAAGATACAATCTTTCATCGAACCCACCTCTCTGCTCTGATGAGGTTGCCACTGGCCACGCTCGCTCGGACTTGAAGAACACCGGGGCACAACAAACTGCCTGACCGGCGCGACATTGCTGCTCCGCGCACTCAAACGGCCGAAACAGTTCGTGGGTATTCTTGCGCCGACCCGCCTCGAGGCGATGAGGGAGGAGCAAGAGTGGTAGCAGTGGCAGGACACGATGGCTGCCATGGGAGACCGGGCAAAAAGGAAGGAGCTTTCGAGGTGCTACCAAGACATGGAAAAATGGGTGTGTTGCAGAAGGAAACGGGAGAGACGGAATTACTACAGGAGATGAGGAGTAGAAGCCGATGAAGATAAGGCGCTTCTGGGACGGTTCTGGGGAGGAAGAAGATATTCCAAAGCCGAGATGCTGCGAGAGAGAGAGAGACAGAGGAATCCTCTCGCTATGGATAAGATGATATCTCGTTTGGGATTTTTGGGATAAATGAATAATTTCGGACATGTTGATTTCACATTTCAAAGAAGAAAAAAATCAATTAGTAGGTTTTGCAAACGTTTGACTTCTTGGCTTAAAAGCTTTGTTGTTATGATAATCTCTCGCAATTTATACGAGTTCGACGTTAAAAAAAACAATTATTCAGTTTTCATACAAGAGATTCGTCTATCAGACTAGTGTAAGGCACTTTCATGAATCAGCCGTATCTTCAGAAATACGAACGTGAATGAATTAGCGCACGGCACGCCCATGAGCCGGGCGTGTCTTTAGGAAATACGGACGCAAATATGGACGTGTTTATCGAAGATTCACGGGGCACGATAAGTAAAATGTGCTGCGAAAAAAAGATGTGTTTCGGTGCGTGCGTGAGTGGTTGTATAGCCAACACTGTGATTTACAAATAGGATGGTCCTTAGAAATTCTCAATTTACTAACTTTTATAAATGTAATCTGTAATTGGTAAAAGTTCATTACCTATGGAATCGTGAAAACAGATGATTTCGCTCTCTTCAGAAGTTTCCCTCCGATCGATTGATGCACGACCCACGAATAAAAAAAACATCAGAAGACTTGAAAGCATTGGCCAATTTACATTATCCAATAAATTAAATATTATTTTGGATAGCCTCTTTTTTTTTTTTATGTTAGTTCTTTAATTCAAGTCTCCTCCAATAGACAGAGACACAATCGGATATAATAAAAAAAAAAGGGCAAGAAAAATCCAATGTCTCAAAACCAAATTTCTCAGTCTCTAATTTATTTTATGAAAATCAGAAAATTAATTACGTTCTAATCTGGATTCAGTTTTCGCTTAATTTCTCACCTCCCCCTCTCCCCCGAGATACTCCTCTGCTCATATGAAAATTAGGGTGTGAATGGTAATCATTCCGCTCCGGAAATCAATTGCTGAAATTGATTTAAGTTTTGTCGGAAATTGATTTACGGAGGAATCATTTGGTAAAACATGAGTAATTCGCTCGGAAATTGATTTCGGAAGCAATCTGTTTTGATTTGTTGATTTTTTGCAACTAAAAAAATTTAAATTTTACTCAAAGTGGGTGGCGCATGTATTATAAGCCAATTCAGTAAAGTTTTGAAATTTTTAATTTTTTTAATTTTTTGGGCACCTAAAAAATTTAAATTTATTCAAAGTGGGTGGCTGCACGCATTCTAAGCCATTTTGTGAAGTTTTGAATTTTTTTTTTTTTTTTTTTTAGCACCTCAAAAATTTAAATTTTCTTTGAAGTGGGTGGCTACAGATATTCTAGCCATTTACGTGAAGTTTTGAAATTTTTATTATTTTTTATTTTTTGGGCATCTCAAAAATTTAAATTTCACTCAAAGTGGGTGGCACGGGTATTTTAAGCCATTTTGTGAAGTTTTGAAAATTTTTATTTTTATTATTTTTTTTTTTTTTGGGCATCTAAAAAATTTAAATTTCATTTCAAGTAGGTGGCGGGTATTTTAAGCCATTTTGTGAAGTTTTGAAATATTTGATTTTTGGGGCACCTCAAAAATTTAAATTTCACTCAAAGTGGGTGGCGCGTGTGTGTTTTAAGCTATTACGTGAATTTTGAAATTTTTGATTTTTTTGATTTTTTTTAAAAAAAATTCACCAAATTTCATATTTTCCCGAAATCTGACTTTTTTTATTTTTTGGAAATTTTTATGAATTTTTCTAGAATTTTTCAATTTTTATGCATTTTCTGAAAAAAAAATTTTGTGAGAAAATAGGGAGAATGCATTCCGGAATCAAGAAGCTACAAAAAGTAGCTTCTCTTTTTCTTGCCAAAAACTCATTCCGGAATAAAAAATGCATTCTTGAATCAAGAATGCATTCTGGAATCAAGTATTTTTAACAAACGCGTTTTTATTCCAGAATGCAAAAATCGCTCCAGAATGCATTCCGGAAATTTTTTAACAAACGCCATTCTGTTCCAGAATGCATTCCATGCGCACCCTTATTGGCCGCAACCGGATCATAAGAGCTCAAATGGACCTCGTGTGGGACCCACAAAATTCGACAAATCGCATCCACCGTTCTAATATTCTCGTGATCTTGCCTGCCGTCAACTATCGAACAGCTCTTCCTAGGCATAATCATGCCCAAGTGTGACCTTAAAGGGGGAAGATAATGGTTACCAAAGTAAGTACCAAAGCAAAGCCTCAAATCTATTTTGGAAGCATTGCTTCTTGGTAGTTGATTCCACAGCTTCAATTGCTCAAGTGGCTTTGTTGTTGTGATATTGCATCATGTAAAATAGAAAATGAGTGATTGAGGCTGCAAATGATAATCATTCTGTTTCATAAATTAATTTATGGCCAGAAATTGATTTTTCTATTTCTGTTCCTAGACGAATTTCTGAGCAAAAAAATACGTTTGATAACGATACAAAATTTATGTTCACGAAACAAAAATTTATTTGATAACGGCACAAAATTCCAACCTTTCAAGTGGCCGGCGAGTAGATGATGGGCAAATGGCAAGTGGCGGATGGTGGCAGCGAACGGCGGGCGGTAGACGGCGGGGGAAGGTGGCAATGGACAGCGACGCAGCCAGTGCGGAGGATGACGGCTGGAGGCGGCTAGCAATGGGAGGAGGGCGGCGGAGGGAGGAGGGCGGCCGACAATGGGAGACAGTGGTCGGTGGACGTTGGCAGGAGGAGGGTAGCGGAGGGCGGCCGGCGGCAAGAGCGGTGGCTGATGGACAGCGAGCGGCGGCGAGAGGAGGCGGCCGACAATGGGAGACGGCGGCTGATGGACAACGGCAAGAGGCGAGCGGCAGCAGGAGGAGGGCGGCCGGCGGCAAGAGCGGTGACCGATGGACAGCGGGCGGTGAGTGGCGGCCGGCGGTGTGCGGCGACGGGAGGAGGGCGGCCGGCGGCAAGAGCGGTGGCCGATGGACAGCGAGCGGCGAGGGAGGAGGGCGGCCGGCACCAGAGACGGCGGCCGATGGACGATGGGGAGAGGCGAGCGGCGGCGGGAGGAGGCGGCCGGCAGTAAGAGCGGTGGTCGATGGGCGGCGGGCGGTGAGTGGCGGCTGGGCAGTGGGCGGCCGGCCGGAGGCAAGAGCAGCGGCCGATGGACAGCGGGCGGTGAGTAGCGACCGCGGTGGCGGCGGCGAGAGCAGCACGGCGAGAGGAGGGCGGCCAGCCAGAAGAGCGTTGGCCGATGGGCTACCAGGGCGGTGAAAGCGGCCGACAGGTGGGCGGTAGCGAGAGGAAGGCGGCCGGCGGCAAGAGCGTTGGCGGATGGAGCGGGCGGTGAGTGGCGGCCGGTGGTGGAAACGCGGCAGCGAGAGGAGGCGGCCGCGGCAAGAAGCGTTAGCCGATGGACTGCGGGCGGTGAGTGCCCACCGGCGGTGGCGCGGCGAAGCGAGCGGCGGAGGAGGAGGTGGCCGCGGCAAGAGCGTTGGCCGATGGGCAGCGAGGCGGTGAGTAGCGGCCGGCGGTGGGCGGCGGCGAGAGGAGGGCGGCCGGGAGAGCAAGAGCGTTGGCCGATGGACGGCGGGCGGTGAGTGGCGGCCGGGGTGGGCGGCGCAGAGGAGGGCGGCCGGGGAGCAAGAGCGTTGGCCGATGGACGGCGGGCGGTGAGTGGCGGCCGGGGGTGGCGGCGAGAAGGAGGGCGGCCGGAGGCAAGAGCGTTAGCCGATGGACGGCGGGCGGTGAGTGGCGGCCCGAGGTGGCGGCGCAGCGAGGAAGGCGGCCGGCGGCAAGGGCGGTGGCCGATGGACGGCGGCGGTGAGTGGCGGCCGAGGTGAAGGCGGCGAGAGGAGGAGGCGGCCGGCGGCAGGGCGGTGGCCGATGGGCAGCGAGCGGTGAGTGGCGGCCGGGTGTGGGCGGCGGCGAGAGGAGGCGGCGGCAGTAAGGGCGGTGGCCGATGGACAGCGAGCGGTGAAGTGGCGGCCGGCGGTGGCGCGGCGAAGGAAGAGGCGGCCCGGCAAGAGCGATGGCCGATGGGCAGCGAGCGGTGAGTGGCGGCCGGCGGTGGCGGCAGCGAGAAGAGAAGCGGCCGCGGCAAGAGGCGGTGGCCGATGGGCAGCGAGCGGTGAGTGGCGGCCGGCCGTGGGCAGCAGCGAGAAGAGAAGCGGCCGCGTAGCAAGGCGGTGGCGATGGACCGAGCGGTGAGTGGCGGCCGGCGGTGGCGGAGGAGAAGGAGGCGGCGGCAGCAAGAGCGGTGGCCGATGGACGGCGGCGAGCGGTGAGTGGCGGGCAGCGGTGGCGGGAGGAGGAGGCGGCCAGCAACGGGAGGCGGCGGCCATGGGCGGTGGCGAGGCGAGCGCGCGGGAGGAGGAAGCTGCCCGCAAGAAGAGCGTGGCCGAGAGTGGCGGTGAGTGGCGGTGGCCGTGGACGGCGGGCGGTGAGTGGCGGCCGGCGGTGGGGGGCGAGAGGAAGGGCGGCCGGCGGCAAGAAGCGGTGGCGGTGGCGAGCGCGGAGCGGTGAGTGGCGGCCGGCGGTGGGCGGCAGCGAGAGGGAGGCGGCGGCCAGAAGCGCAGTGGCCGATGGACGCGAGCGGTGGCGGCGCAAGAGAGAGAGCGGCCGGCGGCAGCAAGGGCGGTGGCCGATGGACAGCGGGCGCGAGTGGCGCCGGCGGTGGCGGCGGCGAGAAGGAAGGGCCGGCCGGCGGCAAGAGCGGTGGCCGATGGACAGCGGCGGAGAGTGGCCGGCCGAGTGGTGGCCGGCGATGGGCGGCGGCGGGAGGAGGGCGGCCGGCGGCAAGAGCGGTGGCCGATGGACGGCAAGCGGTGAGTGGCGGCTGGCGGTGGGCGGCGGCGGGAGGAGGGCGGCCGACAACGGGAGACGGCAGTGGCGGTGTGTAGCGGCCGGGCGGCGGCGGCGGGAGGGAGAAGCCAGCCGGGCAAGAAGCGGTGACCGATGGATGGCGAGGGGAGTGGCGGCCGGCGGTGGGCGGCGGCGGGTGGTGAGTGGCGGCCGGCGGTGGGCGGCAGCGGGAGGAGGGCGGCCGGCCGCAAGAGCGGTAACCGATGGATGGCAGGCGGCGACGGGAAGAGGGCAGCCGACGGCAAGAGCGGTGACCGATGGAGGGCGGTCGGCGGCAGGAGGAGGGCGCCCGGCGGTGGAAGTTGGTGCTCGGTGGATGGTGCGCAGCGGCCAGTGACGGGAGATGATGAATGGCAGGAGGTGGGCAGCGACGGGAGGAGGGCGGCCGACGTCGAGAGACTGTGGCCAGTGGAAGGCGAGCAACAGCTGACGCTGGGAGATGAGCGATGGTAGGAGGAGGGTGGCGAGAGGAGGGCGGCCGGAGACAGTGGCTAGCAGTGGAAGACGAGCTGCAGTAGGAGGAGGGCGACCAATTGATGGAGATGGTGGCCGGTGGACGGCGGCCCACGGCGGCGGGAGACGACGAATGGCGAGAGGCGGCGGGCGGCAAGTGGACGACGATGGGCGACCGGCTAGTAGCGAGGGCGGGAGATGAAAAGAATTTTAACTTCTCATTTCTATTCTAAATCTATTTCTTGAATAAAAATTTGTTCCAAAAAAAAAAATGAAATTGCGTTACCAAAAGGATTCCTATTCCAAACGTATTTCTGGAACAGAAATAGAGAAAGAGAATGGTTATCATTCGCAGCCTGATTCTCTGTACCTTCTTTTAACTATTGTGGACACTTTCAAACAAAGCCATGCTTTGGACCAAAAAAAAAAAAAAACAAAGCCATGCCATTTTGCACTATTGCTTGGTCAGCAGATTAAGACCCCCCACCATGTGAGGATTGTCGCAATGTGTACCTCTACCTTCTAGGGGTATTTGAATTTCATTAATAGCACCCGCCACCACCACCAACAACAAAATTAGACCTTTTCAAAGTGGAGTTTCATGTGGCAAACATGAGCATCTTTTGCCAAATTCTTTCTTTCCTCTGTGCATATATTGAATGATTGTCTTTTCCCAACAAATTCTATATTCGTGTCCCGAAGTTCAGATAACTAAAACAAAATGTAGAGACTGATTTATTCGAGATTCATAGATTGAGTTTTGCATATTGATATTACGGGAACTCGATCCGATAAACTGATTCGAGGAAAGAAGCGGGGCTATAAGGTCGAACCTGTGGAAGCGTGGCAAAGGGATCGAGCAGGAATAGACTCCACTTGTCCACACGATCGGGTTTGATATATTGAATGTTGTAATTTTAGTTGACTTCTCTTCTTAAACATGAATTGCATTAGCCAAATCATATAAGTTTGTGTGCCGGTGGGTGTATCTCGCTATTTCACCACCTAATACACCGATGGCCAAGTGACAATTGTTTTTATTGAGGTATGGAATTCGTTAAGAAAGTGAGAAAAGAAAATAAAAAATTCGAGAGCATGTGATCATACGTAGATATATACACATCTCGAAAGTTTGAATTTCTTTTTCGAAAAAATCAAACATTATTCGAATAAGTCACTATGGCCCCGTTTGGTTCAACTTTGGGAAGGGGCTTTCGGTCTTGAAAGCCCCTTCCCAAAATGCTGAACCGTTTGGTTCGGCTTTCCGAGTCTAGAAAGCCAAAAGCCAGCATTTGGAATGCCGTTGGAATGCCGAAAGCCCAAAGCTAGTCCGGACCAGCTTTGGGCTTCCAGCATTTCACAAATGCTGAAGCCTATTTTTCCTTTCCCAAATTGTCCTCACTCAAATTTCAATTTTCCGGTTTTGCCTTGTTACTGTTCATCTTCTTCACCTTGAGGGTGGCGGCAAGGAGTGGCCGTGAAGAAGCCCCGGCGACGAGAAGCGGATGCCAGCCGTGGACAGGCCCGTGAGGTCGCCTGACCCAGGAGCGGCGGCCACTTAGGGAATTCGGGCGACGGCCCGGGCGCCGTCGCCTAGAGTCGCGCGACCTCGGGTGGCGGCCGCTGAGGTCGCGGCCGCTTTGGGTCGCGCGACCTCGGGTGGGGCTTGCCCTTGGGTCGCGCGACTCCGGCCGCACGCCAGACCCGGCGGCGACGCCCTGGGCGGTCGCCCGACCGCAAGTGGCCGTCGCCTAGGTCGGGCAACCTCGCCCTCGGCCCTCGCCGCCACCTCGCCGCCACCCTCACGGTGATGAAGAAGATGAACAGTAATAGGGGCAAAATCGGAATATTAAGAATAAAATTGCCAAAGCCCTTTGCAAAAAAAAAATTTACCAAACACTACTTAGGCCAAAGTAGCTTCACAAATTTTTTTTTACCAAATATCACTTGCATTTTCCCAAGTGACTTTCACCTAAAGGTATTTGCATTCCCCCAAATTTCATTTGAAAAGCCGAACCAAACGGGCCCTATGTAGCTTTTAATCAATAGAATGTTGCGTGCTCCGTGCATGTGATGGCTCTTGAATCACTAAAAAGATAATTAAATTAAAAGTGGTAAAACTATAAGTAGAAAGTACAGCTTCAAGTGCACGACACCAAACTGAATAAACATATTAACTAAACACCAAATGGAGAAAGTCGTCATTAAATAAACATTAAAAACGACGTAATTCCACGTCACCTCACAAAAAATAATGAATTAAGAAAGTTAAAAGAAGAAGGGCATTTTGGGCATTTCGGGCTTTCCACCATTGATGAGACCCAACAAAAAGAGAGAAAAGGACCAATTTTTATTTTAGAGATAATGATACAAATAATCCCGAACTTTGACTCAATATATAATATAGTTCGTGAACTTTTAATTTATTCAATGTGATCCTTAAATTTTAACCGAACATGTAATATCGTCCCCGAACTTTTAATTTATTCTATGCGGTTTCTGAACTTTTGGTAAATCTTCAAATAGTCCCTAAAATATTCCTTTCGTTAATTTAAGCTCAAGGACAACATCAAATATTTTCATATAATCCGGAAACTAGTTTGGATATGTACCAAAAGTTCAAGAATCATATTGAACAAATTAAGAGTTCAGTAATAATATTACACATTAAGATAAAGTTTAGTGATCATATTGAACGAATTAAAAATTCAATATCACATTGCACGTCGACTAAAAGTTCGATTTCCCGCTTTTTTTTTTCCTTGCTATAAAGCCCACTCGCATCACCCCTTCCAAGTTTCAACTTTTAGCTACGTTCGCCCAACTCCCAACAACACTCCCGAACGCAACAAAAAGATTCCTTTTTTCCGCTCGCCGTCGTCCGAAACTCCGGTCGCCGGCGCCTCGGATCTCGCCGCTTCTTCAAGAAGCGAAGCGTTGAGCAGAGAGGCCGCTTCCATGGAGGCCTGCTGAATCTTCCGCCGGAGCTTCCGACCCAAGAAGAAGGAGCGAGAGGAGAAGAGGGGAGGGAGGCGCAGAGAGAAGGAGCTGGGTAGCGTCCTGGGGGGAAGTCGCGTGATGGGGTTTTGCATATGTCCGTTGGAGACGCCGGCGAGGTTGCTGTGGACGACCAGCTTCTTCCGCCACAAGCTCATGCTCTTCTAATTCGCAACCTCCCCGTGCATACAATAGTATAAGCTCGTTCTGCGTATATCTACGTACGTATTAAGTGTTCTTTCAGTGCCTCGCCGGAGTTCCGGTCGGGCCGCCGGCGGGTAGAGGTCGCCGGAGGAGATCCACTCGGGGCCGAGAAGGGTATGGAGGCGGGGCGTTTTCTGTTTGATTCCTCCGCGCTGCAGGGGAACATCATGTTCCTTGACAAAGGTTCTCTCTCTCTCTCTCTCTCTCTCTCTCTCTCGTGATTTTGCTGTTTGTTCTTGTGGGTCTTGACTATGATGAATTTTTTTTTGTTGTGTTGCTTTTCCTGATGCTTGATCTCGTCGTTTGGCATAAATAAGGAGGCGTTTTTCGCGTTGTATGAGACGAAATGATGAATTTTCATGCGGGTTTGTTTTTGAATTTGATTGTTTTAGTTCAATTGAAGAATTTTGGAACTCTTTTAGCCTCTCCTGGCTTGAGATGGTTCGATTTTGAAAGTTCTGAGCTTGGGAAAATTGTGTTCTTTAGTTGACCTTAAAAGCATCTATTCCAAATTACAAGATATGGGAACTCTACAAGTGAGAATTAATTGAGGGAAAGCTTCAATTGCAAATGGTTGCTCGAAGATCTGGGTTTGGGTGCTGATGAGTAGAAATTTCGTTTCTCTTCACTGTTTGTGGTGTTTCAGGATCAAGATCCAATATGGGCATGGAGGAATCCCCAAAGAGACGTCGGTTTTTCTGCTCGCCGGACGAACTTTTCGACGAGGAATATTACGATGACCAGATGCCGGAAAAGAAACGTCGCCTAACTCCTGAGCAGGTACGTGACAGATCAGGAATTCAAGATCAAACACAATATGCTTTGATCGGATGCGTATCTAGTTGTTCCATTCCCTTTGTATTCCCCTCATCCTATGGCATATTCAGATACTGCACTCTTTTAGTCCTGATCTAAATAGAGAATCATATTCCTTTCTTGAGTTTTCCGAATTGTGATCCGATAAGATAACGATGACTGACCTTTCATCATGGTTCGATGACCAAACATAGGAATCAATCTTAACTCAAATTAGGTAGTAAATACGAAGGGACCATATTATGGAGAAAGAATATGCATCATTTGGAAAGTGCCCATCTTCACCTAGATTTCCATCTCTTCTCAGCTATCATATCAAAGACCAAATTATTGTCTTTTTAAGGAAAAAGGGGAACAACCTTAGGATGGCACCTAATGCTAAATAGGCTGAGAACTTATGAAATATTTTTGGGCAAAATTAAAGGTGCTTCTGCTGGAGAAGAGCTTCGAGGAAGAGAACAAACTGGAACCGGAGCGGAAGACCCAGCTAGCTAAGAAGCTGGGGTTGCAGCCGAGGCAGGTGGCTGTGTGGTTCCAGAATCGCCGGGCTCGGTGGAAGACGAAGCAACTGGAAAGGGATTATGATTACCTCAAATCTTCGTATGATTCCCTCCTTTCAGACTATGATTCCATTTTGAAGGAAAATGAGAAGCTCAAATTGGAGGTATGCCTTATCATGCCTTGTCTATTCTATGGTCATAACCTGGTCATGTACAAGAACAAATGAAATGAAGTGGACTTACCAGTAAATGTAGGCTTTATTCATTGAACTTGGGTGGAGACTTTTCATAGTTTTCTTTTTATTTTGGCCAGATGAAACTATTCACAGTTGACTTGGGTTCTAATGCACTTTTTCAAGTATTCTATGGTGAGATGCTTACATACACAGAAAGCATGTGCCCAACATAATCCTTGATTTAACTAAAGATTTCAGTCCGTTGGTCAACGAAAGTTGAGATGAAGATAGTGGCAGACATTTAGCCTCACATTTTAAGAGTAGATGGCCATGTCTCTGACCTCCATTTTCTATTATACAGCTATTATCGATCATGTACATATATGTGCTCTCACATCAGCATCTGCTACCCTTCCTACCTTATAAAGTCAAATAACGATTTTTCCTTCTTAATTTAGACTCTCATGACTTCGAACTATTCTCCTCCAATAATATAATTGACGATTCCAAAAGGGGACTAGGATTAATCTATTATCTCCGTGCATATTATTTACCTTTCTATATTGGCAGGTCCATTCCTTGACAGAAAAACTTCAGGGCAAGGAAGTCGGAGGAGCACCGATGACAGGCCCCTGCGAGCCAGCTCTGGTGGACGAGGCCGATGTACGGGACGTCCAATTCGGTGCGAAGGTGGAGGATAGGCTGAGTTCGAGGAGCGGGGGAAGCGCAGTGAGTGACGAGGAAGGTCCACAGCTTGTGGACAGTGGCGACTCGTACTTCTTGTGCGAAAATTACCCTGGATGCGTAGCCCAGTCGGAGGATGATGGGAGCGACGACGGCAGGAGTTACTTCTCGGGCGTGTTTGCTGCCGCAACTGAGCAGCCACATCACGAAGAAGAGGAGGAACCAATGGGCTGGTGGGTGTGGTCTTGAGATTGGTACTAGGAATGGTCGATCTCTCCTTGGTTCATGTGTGTGTCTTGTCATAAGAAAGTTTACCTATTTTCCTCCTTTCGCATATGATATCAAATAAATTGTAGTAGGGAATACTGAACATGGTGTTGCAGTCCGAATGGCCGTCTAATGAATAAGATTACAGGACCTGTGCGTTGTCCACTACGTCCGATGTTTTGTACTTCTCACCTAGGTGTGAAAAATAAGACTCAGTTTTCCCTCTTATATCTTCCCTAAATTCGTATTCTTATCTTGACATTAGACAATGTTTTTTTTTTTGGTTAAAGACATTAGACAATGTTGTTACTTGTAACTTGCCAGAATTCAAAAGAAAATGGCTGTTAGACTTAAGAGGCAGGGGAGATAAGAGATCAGATTGGATGCAAATACACTATCCGATTTATTTCTACACTTACCTGCTTATGGCAGAAATACCTCACATGAGGAAGCTTTCTGTATCTTCTTACCGCCCTGGAATAACGTACCCACAGCATATAAAAGAGAGAGAGAGAGAGAGAGAGAGAGAGAGAGAGAGAGAGAGACCCACATAAAGAATGAAAATTGTCTACCACTAAGCGTCATCGTTATCAAAATGCTCTTTTTTTTTTGCCTTTTTGACATGTTCACCTTTTTACAGTAATCTTCCCACTAACGAAATCTGGAAGGTGTGCCCCGCAAGAAAAATTCCTCGATTTGATTCCAACATCCCGAGCAAGCACAAAAGCTGCAGCAAAATCCGGTCCAAAAAACACGTGTACACCCCTTGGTTAACCCACTGATCTCTCGATAGCATTAGTGCGCCAAGCTAATAAACCGCCGGGCTCCTTTTTACCTCGGTCCCGACAGCCAAAGATGTCAGCCTTATACCTATATACACAAATGCCAATCAGAGCTGGCGCTTATATACACATATACCAATCAGAAGCGGCAGCCAACTTTTCCTAGCCTACATAATTGCGGTCAGCATGAATTGCCCATCAAGAAGCCAAAATGTATGCAATAAACTGCCTTACTCGGGGCTTCTCTTCCCTTCTCAAAGTAACCTCTTGAATTACTTAATGTATAAGCTCAATGCTGGGGTCAGGTTTGTCTGAAAAAATCTACACATAAATGTGTGCTCCATCAACCCTCGGGCTCCTTCCTTTTCCTGCTTGACTTTCTGCTGGGCTTTGGTTTCTCGGTCGGATCCGAAGTGGGCGGTATTGTCTTGTCTACCGCAATTTCAGTTGAGTCCAAGTCGGGCAATATATTCTCATATAAAATTGCAGAGTCTAAGGAGTAAATACGCAGGGCAAGGGAAGACAAGGTGGAGGTTTTAGCAGCAGCAGAGAGGGATGACCAATACCACCACTCCTTTCTTAGATACTTTGTCTGAATCATGTCCTCCAATACAATTGTCGCCTGAACCATCTGGAAAGACAGCGTGTGTATTTCTCAAAAGAGTATTAAATGTAGATAGCAAGAAAGAAATAACCTAATTTATGATTGTGAGATTTCAAAGTCTTGAACAGAGAGGAAAGTGAGAACGACACTAACCTCATAGATGGTCTGTGCAGATTTAACAAACGAACGCCAGGCCCACCTCCCTTCCAGATGTGCTTTTGACGGTTTCAAATATTCTCCTTCTAGAGCAGCATCCATGTCAAGTAAATTAATCTTCAACTGTCTCAAAATTGGAGAGACCCTGCCAGGTAAGGGTCTCAAGGACGACTGTGGCACCACACAGCGCTGACCAAGCCCTGTTGCCATAGCGCGCTTATGTAGGGGATATTTTCTCTCCTTCCCTTCTGAACAGGCCAAGCTTGATTTAGCGTCCCTTTGTGTGCCAATATTCTCACCTCCAGGTCTGATATTATAACACTCGGATGTGTTGGTGTTGCATATACTTCTATCTTCCCGAAGAGCAGTCACTCCTACTTCCTTGCCCTCCTCAGTTGTGACACTGGCATCACCACTAGATAATAGAATTGGATCGGAGTCATCAAGGTAAGGATGCCTAGATGGCACAAGTAATGGAGTCCCATTAGATCCGATAAGACCAATTTGCTGTACCAAATCCTTGTTCGAATCTTTTGTGACAAACTTAGAACTTATCTCATCAATATCATATGGGCACGCGAAACTTTCATTCTGATATGTGATCAAATTTGAGCATAAATCGAGTTGTCGACTTTTATCATACACATTCTTTTCACCTGTTCTTTCTATCCGAGCAGAATCAGACTTGAGACTTCCTTTCTTTTTGGATGAGTCTGCAATTTCTTTACCCTTCTCATGCCCTGAAAATCCTGAACTGCACCTGCCATCATTGTGCACCTCCAGTTCATCATCAGTGAGAAAAGTCTTGTGGCAGAAGAGACAATGACATCGAGATGACCAAATAAGCTCTAAACATTCACACCGGTACATTTTTTCTTCACCAGGTACTCTTTCCTTTTTTACTCGCTTTTTCAAAGTACCTGTACTTTCCAATTCCATACAAGGACCATACTTTCTTTCCAAAAAAGAGGAAGCCTTTGTAGCAACGCAAACAGAAGTGACCAAGTTTTCCCCATTTGAGCACCCTTCGGAAGTTGTTTCACTTGCATCAGAAATATGGCCAACAGGGTACTGACAATCCTGCAATTTAAACTTCCACCAGTGCAAAATGGCATTTTTTAGAGCCTTTTCTCCAGAGTCACTACCCTTCAACCATCCAATGAGCTGTTCGATTTCATCATCAGTTTGATAAAAAACCCATGATTGATTCGCAGCAGCCACTCCATTTGATTTGTGCATGAAGGGACAGCAAGCTTTTGACCCCTCTAGAGATGATTCTGCAGTGGGAGCAGAAACCTGAGAACCGTTCCTCTCTGGGAACATAGAATTTAAAATTTTCCTTCTTTTCGCAGATGCTAGAGTACCATCAACAACAATCCGCGGCCGACTGCCAGGCATTGCTGCAGCCCAGTACAATCGCCCAGCAGAATCACTACCCAGAAACTCCCTGCGCAAAGATAGCTTGAGAAGCTGTGACTCTAAGTTGCTAATAGAATCCTGCAGAGCCGAAAGCTCATTTTTCACAGAAGTAAGTTCGACCTGGTGGGTTGACTCATTCAGATCATCAAGGTGCTGAGTACAAGGGAAGCTTCTTGAATCAGAACACAGGCAGCACTCTTGCTCAAAGATTTTTCTTTCAGGGTCATTGACTTCTTCTGGAAAAGTATCCAATGCAGGCGAGTCATGTGATTTCACGGTACTATCATCGGTTGGAGAAGCCCTCAAGGATAGAGTGTTGCCAAGAAGTTTTCTGTCGCCATTGGCAACACCATTGTCTTCCAGTTCACAATCATCGCTAGTAGGATTACTTGCCTTATCCTTGCAGAGACCATTCTTCTCTGCCACAGTGATAGATGAGTGGTCAAAACCATTAAGCCCACATTTTTCACGACCAGCCTCTACAAATTGCAGCTCAGGGAGGATATTAGGATTCTTGGATCTGTCGCTTAGCTGATGGACAATACGTCTAGTGTTGTTCGATTGTGCAGGGTCTAAACCATGCTTCCCCATAACATCTCCACATGTGTTAGTGGCACCATCAGCCTTTGCAGCTCTTGCCACCAGGTAGTCTTCCTTTAACTTCAGGTTCTTCCACTCCGCAATAAGCATTCGCAGCTTCTGCTGCAGCTCAGCAGATATTTCTGCACACTGCTCGAGGTGTTGTCGAACAAGAGATGAGTTAAGCAACTCATCACATAAGAATTTAAGCAGGAAGGTCCTCTGCACCATGGCAAAAAGATTTCATAAGTGGAAACTACCACCAAATAAATAACACAACCTGACAAATGAAAGCTGTTATAATTCTGGTAGTCTCCCACCAACTTACGACTGAACCATCCTCATCGCAGTAACAAGTAAAGAGGAAAACAATTTCACTTCAAATTAAGAGCGCTTTAGCAATTTGAATGGGCTTCAAGCTTCACGTCTTTCTTTGATCAGTTTCAAGCTGTATATATTTTATTATGAGTGGCCACTGAACATTGAGGATATTTTTTGATATATGAATTCAACAAACAATTTTCACTCCAAGTGTCTCGGCACAAGATTTTTCACTTTCAGTTAATAACACTTTACCACGATGATTCAGTAAAACTTCAAACTAAGTCCAAAGATTCCCTGAGTAAGAAACATTGGGTAATCACTTATTCAATGAATAGATATAATGACTAAAAATCCAAAGAAAGCTTTGTCCTTTGATAAAAGAAAACGGGGGGGGGCTGGGCTTCCACTCCAGTTGACCTCTCTTCTTTCCATCCCTCCGTGAGAAGGTAGAGAGCAAAACCAACCCAGCTGCCCCCGTCAATTCCTTTGACTTTCGGTCTTGCGACCGACCCATTTAAGTTGAGTAGCAACTGCCCCTAAGCCAGTAGTAGTCTCCTTCAAAAGCCACTTTAGTGGGTGTTCCCCAAAGTTCCCATGGCTTGTTGAAATTCACTCCAACTGATACCACTTTGGAAGAGCTAGAATTCTAACCTTATGTCAGGATCTATCGGCCAACGGACAGTCTCAAGTAGACAGTTTCTATGGGGTGTAGGCCTCCCAAAAGGTAACAGAGGAGTGCAAAGGTTTCCTCGGGCCGGACGAATATTGGCCCTCGAGTGCAAATGCAAAAGGGAGCTTGACTGCAAGACCCACCAATCGAGCAGGGACAACTAAGTGAGGGGTAAGCGGAGGCAGCTTCTTCGTGCTATAAGTGGGCATGCCAGGATTTTTGGAAAAAGTCTTTTTTGTCTTGTAAATAAATGCATTCCTCAGCCAAACTTATCTGCTGAAGTGATTCTTTAGGCAGTCAGCACACTTCACAACTGCCTTTTACTTAAATATCCTCAATTTTTCTCCTCACAGGTTCCTTATAGTGATAATCACTGCATCCTCCTACAGAAGGGATGAGCTCATACCATGAAGCACCAGGTTGAACCTTTCAATTTGTTAGTTTAGACAGCAAGCAGTGGCAAATTACTTCAGATGCAAAAAGAAATCGCAGACATTGGATATGATAAGTGTGAAGCATCCTTAGGGTGTGTTTGTTTCGGGAAAAATGAATGAATAAGAAAACATTTTCCTAAAAATGATCGCTTATGTTGCTTACAAAAATGAATGCACGAAAAATATTTTCTTCGTCCACGAAAATATTTAGACATATATTGTTATCGATAATTAAAAAAAATTCATTGACTAATTATTTCAAGCAATACAAGCGTTCATTTTTAGGAAAATATTTTTCAGATCATTCATTTTCCATGAAACAAACAAAGCATTAATGTAACTGGAACAAGAAATGACGCAACTAGCACTCGTTATAATTAAGAACGATAATTTTCTCATGTTGGAATGAACATTACTTTCCTGGAGCTTATCGACAAAATTAATCAATCATATGATGAAACCCAATCATTCGACAAGCAAAATCAGCATTGAGCATCATGTTATAAACACTAACAGCCACAAGCAAATTATTTTGGACTTGGAGGCTCAAGAGCAGCAATTCTTATGGTATGGCTTTTGGCCATATGTTCCACCAGTCTACAATTCACACTATTCTCATGTCATAAGTATGAAAACAGGCCCCTCAAAACATATAAAAGAATGCTGCAAACATTAAATCAACAAAGCCTTCCAACGTTATTTGACCAGGGTTAAGTTTCTTAGGGGATGGCTCCTCGAGAGTCATATACATAATGGCAACCCTTTTGCATAATTGATGAACTAGTGTTAAACACAAGTCCATTAGATTTACAAGTAGATGTACCATGAGAAAAGACTTAAGTGGTCCATCCGAAGTATCTCAAAATTTTTTTGAGCTCTTTAGTAGGTACAAAATAATTCTCATTGTTATTGGGCAGAGAAATCAACGCGAAAGTCAGGAGTCAAGAATTATCACACTAACAGTCTTACAGCCAATGCTTTGCACGGGGTACTTTCTATTTAGCTTTTTGCATATTTAAAGGAAAATACTTTTCAAAACAAATGGTTGCTTTAGGTTTTTTCTGCTTTCCTTTTGCTAGTTCATTTAGAGAGACACCTCTCAAGAATGATAAATCATAGACGTTAAAAATCAATAGGTATAACGATAAAAAAGACCTCCATTAATAGTAAAATATATAATAAAGTAATGTATAGATGAACCTTATTAATAGTAGGATAGTAGTTGTACATAATAAGTAGATGTAGACATATAGATATAAAATTTTGGATTTTGTAACTTGTAATATAAAGTCAAAAGTACATCCTACAGAAATGTTATGTAGAGGTTTCTCAAACTTTCAGAACTAAACGCAACACTCCTTCGATTTTTTCTTTTTGGCACATGTCACTTGGATGTTAAAGAAGTAAAGACCTCGTGAACAGTCTATTTACAAGTTCTAGATTCCAAAAACAGAAAAATGTTTTCTAGAATACTTCAAAGAGGCTTTCAAGGTTTTCACTTAAGGGAGGAAAAATCGACACTTGTGGCCCATCTCATCATCAATTTCTGAAGCATGGCCAAACTAAAAGATAGCAAATGTGCCAACCAAAATCTCCTTTCTTTACCTAAGTAAAAGTCCAAGACCTACCTACCAAAGAAAAAAATGCAAGAACTGTCTCACAGATTTATGTAAGAAAATGACTTTGAATGAATTTATCGACAAATTTATTGAATTAACTGAAAGGGGTAGACATAAATATCCAGTAATATCTAAAAATTCCATAGACAACTGAAAATAAAATATATGCATGTTCCAAAGAGCAATTAACAGCTTGCATTAGAGAGTATATAAAAGTGAATCGAATGTACCTCATCAACAGTATAATCCCAGTACTCCTTTTCTTCCATTCTACATACTAAATGAGAGAGTGCCTCCAAGTAGTCACGGGTAACTTCTTGAAATCTTTTACCTCGGCGCTTACGGATGACATAATTCTGCGCGGACACATCTTGAACTAAGCGTCTACCAACAACACAAGAAGGGCAATACCAGTTTCCTTCGGGAATTCTTGCAAGTGGAGGATTCAAGCAATAGGTGTGGTACTCAGCATCACATGTGTCACATAGCAAAACACTGTCATCATCTTTATCAATACCGCAAACTTTGCAGACTCCTTCCTCCCATGGGGCCTTAGGAAGCTCACTTAGAGAGGCAAGAACATCATCCACTTCCTTCTTTATATCTGCACTTAAGGATTCCGATTTTGCATACACCCGAAGTTTATCAACAAGAGTGACAACCTGCATGGAAGGAATGGACCTAATGTAACCTCCCAACAGGAACACATAAGACCAAGAGTCATGAGTAACTTAACTACACAAGATGGCTTATTCAAATCATGCAAATGCTTGTACAAGTAGGAAGTGTTACGTACTGCATGACCATTACTTAACAAAGTTTTTGTGCACCAGATTTGTGAGCATTAAGACTCGGGTGTACTTAAAAGAAATCTATCTTGTTGCTCAGTTAGTTTCCGAGAAAATGTCGTTAACCAAAGGAAGAGGACATTAGGGGCAAATTTTAAATCTAAGTCCAAAATAAGGTAAAACGAATCCACATCCTACACCTACACACACATGTTCATCTGCTAATCTCTTGGACGATATGAAGCTTTTATTTGGATGGTGAAGCTATCGGCAACTTATTCACAAATAAAGAAAAACAGATTTTCATACCTCCTCTTCATATAATGACTCAAAATTTTGTGATAATTTGTCAGCTAGCTCAACCACATCAGTCTGATCCCCAAAGGCAGTCCTCACATTATTCCACAACTGCACAAAGAATTGACATACAGGAAAGGAAGTCCATTAACATACACAACATAGCAATTTCTGCTATCAATCATTAATGCGTTTACAGGAAAGAGGATACTTCATTTGCATGTAGACCTGTCACATGAAAAACTCAGAAAATATAGAAAGAGTTCCCGACTGAAAAAGGAAAAGATGAAGGAAGATGCATGTGTGAAGGAAATTATGGCGGAGTTGATAACTTAAACAGCTAAAAAGGATATAAACTATGAAAATTAATGAGTTAAATTAAGATTGGATGGTAAAAAATCATAAGATTTTACATACTATCAAGAAAAAGATAGAAAATGAGATTACACAATTCATACAAATTACAGGACTTAAGGCCAAAAAAAGGTTTAGGGACCCAATTGCACATTTGACAAGAGTTGGGGTACCAAAAGTGTTCTTAACTCATTGAGATTCACGATATTTTGAATTCTGTATATTTGAGATTCCAACAGATTATAACCACTCAAAAGTAATATGTACGATGACAAAAGTTAATTTTATATGTTTTCCATGGGATAGAGAATATTCTATAATATTAATTCCATTTGCTTAATTTGTATACCATGTTTTGTGCATATGCTTGCACTTATTTGTAGGATTAAATTGTTTAAACCACTGTAATGAAAGAATATTTGGTTTTAAATTAAAATGAGATAATGAAAACTCGTGGAAGGAAAGATAAAAATTTGAGTGAAGAAGAGTAATAAAAAGGAAAGGGCAATTGATGTAACTAATAAAGTGGGCATGTATATAAACTTTATTATTCATATATAATTGTCTCAAATTTTACGTAATATACTTGATAGTATTTTACGAAGAAACTGAATAATTACAAAATGGGAACCCAGCTTGACAATCAGCATCTACACATTACAAATAAGAGTTATAAGCAATAAAATTCCTAAATAGTTTCATCCCTCCAAGATACCACTGCAATTAGAACTTTAATCTTGACAAAGAAGATAAGTTTCTAATAAAGAACTTTCCTGGCCATTGACAAAGATCACTCTACACGTATTGTATGTAAAAAAGAATGCATCAAAAGTATCTAGGTTGACCCCAGTTAATCTAAAAACTCTACATTATCAAAATTAGCACCATCTCGCATTGCTCGTGTCTTCATGACACAGTAATAGTCATTAGTCACTACATAGGTAATAACTTCCACCCGTCCATTTTCTTGGGCAATAGTGGGCGGTGGCTACCATTACCAAGGCAGCAGATTAGAGGAAGCTTTTTTAATAAAAAAATTAAATAAAAATATAGATAATGATTTAAAGGGAGAGAGACCAAAAGCTTATCAGTCCCTTAATTATAAATGATAGATAAAGGTAATCAGTATAGTCACAAAACTGGTAGTTACATTTAGTATCTTGAAAGTAAATTATAAAAGAGATTTGTAAACTTCGTGCATCAGCACGGGTCCTTTACTAGTTTGTCCAGACATTTCCCACTGTACCCTTACCTTCTCCTTCACGTACTTTATTACGACAACTTTGACATTTTATGATGAGACCATTGATTATGCATATCTCGAGAAAAGTTAATGCACTGAAAATTGCAAAATTTCCTTATTTTCTTGCTAAGTAAACAGAGTACTCACAAACAAAATGTTCATAATTATTAGATTTTCCATTTCTGAGCATTGCTTAAAAACCAAAGAAACTTGAATTCTCATCATGTTCCATTTCCCCGAGTTCCAGTCAATCGAAGCAAACGCAACCTGTGCCTACCTATCCGATGTACAAAGAGGGAAAAATGCATGGAATACGAGAGGGACAAAAAATTGGTTCGCCATAGAAACTCTATACTAACAGCAGCAAACAAAATCAAGATTGTACAAGTATCATAGAATAAGTCCCCATTTACATGAAACACATACCTCTCGAACATCCTCGAGAAATGCTTCCTGTGAACCACCATAAGCACCAACTGCCAATCTCAAATCAATGGTCCTAAAATCCAGTGGTCGAGACACCATAGCTGGAGATCCAAGAAGTCCCTCCTCATCTTTGTCGCTATTATTCATTATCTTTCTTCCCAGCAAATTACAGAAAACTCTCGCATCATCGGCAGCGGCGGCTTGACGTAAGACAACACGACATTTCTTCATGATTACATCAGAAACAGAAACAACAGTCCTCCTCTTACTTTTCTTTTCAGGTTTTGGTTGTGATGCTTCACCAGATACGTCTGCTAGCACAGAAAGAACAGCTTTCTGTGTTCAATCATCAAAAGGATAGAGTTCAGCATGATTACAACAACATGGATGATGACCATAAGCATAGACAACAAATTCAAATTCGGTAACAGGAAAACAAGAAAATAAATTGTAACACATGGAGTCCAACAATTTTCATGTCAAGAAGTTAAAAATATCGCATGTACATAAGCGAACAAACTCTAATAACTCCCCCAAATTTAACAGATGACCAAGAGGAAAATAGAGGTTTGCGAATATAAGTGAACCACTTGAACCTAATTCAAGTAAATGCTGTAGGATTGCTTTTTCGAGAAAAATATCCCAGGTTCATTTCTCCCTAGAGAAAGCTTCAGCATGCAAAACATACAAAAAGGCAGAACAATGCACAAGGACCAGATAAGTTCACTGAGTTAAGAAAGCAATATGGTGCATCAATGCATAACAGGAGAAACATAAGACATCGTAAAGATGAGAAGTCAAGGACAGCACCTTCGTTGGTCCTGATGCATTGCCCTTATAAACTTCCTTGCTAATTGAATGTTCCAATATTTTCTTTGCCCAGTCTGGCGGATCTTTAGCCAAAGCATCGTGCACACACTTCCTAATTCTGGTGCCAACATTTGTTGGTAACTTTTTCACAGGCACCAAGGCCAGGGCCCAGTCTGGAAGATTATCATCACCAGTGAAATTCTTTTCAACAGCATCAGGTCCAGCTGATTCTTCCACTTCCAGGGTGACAAACTCATTTTCTTTGCTCATAGAACCAAGAATTTGCTTTGAAGCCTCTGCAAGCAACTAGATATCAAACCATTCAAGATGTTATGAAAACACCTTTTCATAACAGCAGTCATAAATTAGAGGTATAAAAAAAGAAACTCGAATAGCACCCAACACTACACACGACAGATTTATTTATAATAAGGGATAAAAAGTTACACATAGATAACTAATCAACCTAACAAACCAAAACTTAAAGTGTAACATTGAGTGTAACCATCTGGTCTTCCCGAAATGAAAGGGTATGCCCACACCCTAAAAATGCTAAGAATTTTTCCCTAACATAATCCAGATGAGCACATAAAGAACCATCGGCAGCATCATCTTATCCTTTAAGAAACAAATTCATCCCAGGATGTGATTTCCTTATCTGCAAAATTTGATATTACTGCTAAATCACTGGTCCTTAGCTGACCTTCTTTTTTGTCGCAAAGTGAGCATCCATAGATTAGCAACTCTCATTTCTTTAATAAGATTTCTAAAGTTAATCCTTTCTGTCACTCCTCCAAAGAAAAAAAGGCAACACTGGGCAGGATGATACTTTCTGAAGAGATTTCAAAGTAGGTTGTTTTGTTCTTCCTATGTGACCTGAGTAAAATGAGCTTTGTGCTATCCAGCAAAAAGTTTCACTAATCTACATAAGTCGAACCTTTCCTTTTAATATTCCCCCTCATTACATATCAAGAACAATAAAACAACAGGCACTAAAATTTATTCTAAACTTGCTTCATAACTGACATAGAACTATAAACACAGCTGCATGTCTAGTTAATTGGCAGCATCTAACCTACCAATTCCTAACAACACCATCACACCGGAAAAAAATGCCCATTTAATATATTCCTTCTAAGGGTGGATGTTAACTTATTAAGTAGGGCTATTTAAGCTGCAGATATGTAACTCTCCCACCACTGATGAAAAATTTACATGAAAAGAAAAGGCAAAGAATCCTCAAAAAATTAAAGATCAAGTTTCAATTAAAACCGTATAAATCAGCCGAGCATCCAGTGCAACCTCTCTGATGAATATTTAAATCAGTAGGCTCGGAAGAAATCTATTGCAATCTACCCCCTTAATACAGCCAATGTACACAGTTAGTAGGTTTTAGCAGATTAGACTCTTCGAGAGGGGACATGATAGTCTCATAGGAATTTGCTGCACAATAAAGTTGAAGAGCTCACATAATTTAACTCTGGATAATAAGGAAAAATAAGGGGCGTGAAAACTTATGCTTGATCTTACAAGAGCATCCGCTTCCATCCCAGCAACACCGGTCAATGAGCCGCAAAGCACACCACCATCCCCTTGCAAGCAGCGAAAAACTTTCCCGCTTTCACGACTAGTAACATCAGCAGAGTCAGAATTACCATCCATGGTTATGATAGCCAAAATATACCTCCGTGCTAGTTCAGGCCAAGTCAGTTCATTGATAGGTAGCATACTGAGTTTAGCTCTTTTTGCAGGAAGAGAGCTTTCCATATCTTTTTTCCTTCCCCTTTTGGATTTTAATTCACCAGTCTCAAAATTTGGATCCACAAGTGCAGCAACCTTCAACTGCAGCTCACCGATTAGAATTCCAAGCAGCAAGCTATGCACCTTTGTCAAAGCTACACCACAACAGGTACTGAATGCAATACATGGGCTTTTAGCATAAGTTGATTCCTTCTTTGCCCCTGTTTGTGAACCAGGTGCAATTCCTGAGGGTGTTTCATCAGCCACTTGATCACTTGAATGTAAATCCAAGACTTGGCATCCTTGCAATCCCTGACCAAAATTCACTGCAAGCTTGCTAGCATATACCCATGGGTTCATAAGTTCATCTTCGAGCTTCTTCAGAGTGAGAGGCTCTTTTAAATCCAGAATATCATGGAAACGCCACAATACTTCCCATACCTGCATTAATTAGGAATAATGACGTCATGTTTTGACCAGACTGAAATTCTAATTGGTATTTTCATATTTAATGTCATAACCATAAAATAATGTACTCATTTATACCTGGTAACAATCTCCAGCGATTGCAGGTGATAGCCTGGAGCAGGGCTCTGTCCCAGAAGGAGGGCTACACCGATCATCTACATCCACCGTACTTTTTCTCAATTTGCCAAAGAGACCATCTAATGCTCCTTCTTTGATCTCTACTCCTTCTTTTCTTTTAACAATAAAGTTTCCATTTCCAATAGTTAGCGACCTTGAATAGTTCTTTCTATCACTCAAAATTACATACCTAGAACACCCTTCAATGCCTGGAAGCTTTTCTAAAGTTTCTTGCACAAATTCTGCATCCAATCCAAATCTATCCCGGCCCAACCATTTTAGCAAGGCATCATTTGAAATATCAGAATCACTGTTGTACAATGGGAAGCCTGCAAAAACTGGTGAACTGGAAAATTTCTGCAAAGCAATTGGAGCAGAAACACACTTTTCACCCATCATATCCCAGTAAGATGAGATTGGCTCGTTTTTTACATGTTTGCAAGACAGCTTGTAAGAGCTTTTCCTGCTACGGATGTCAGAGAAGGCATCAACAAATTTTTGAGACAATTTTTTCCAAGCTAAGGATGATGAACGCTCTTCAACCACAATTTCACCAATTTCATCTCCAAGACAGTCCTCGTAATTGACAGTTGCATAATGGACAAGAGCAGTACTTGGATCAGTCTGCATAGAGCTTTCTGTCACACCAGAAACTTCATTTCTGCCACTACAAAGGCAAGCCGAAAGTTCATTTTCTACAGGAGGCACAGGGTTGGTGAGGATTGCCTGAATGATACCATCGTCATCACAGTCCATACTAGAGTATATAACATCATCAGTTGCTTTGGTACCTGGCCCAGCATATCGTGGAAGGACTCGCCTAAAGAGGATAGTTGATCCATTTGGAATAGGTACTGCAGAGCAAGAACATCTTCTGATCTTGAATAGAGGTCCAGAGTCGCCACCATCCAACACCTCACAAAACATAATCGAACCAGTAATCTTATCATGCCAACAGGACCTGTAACCTACAGGCAAGATTCTGTCCAGCTCATGATATGAAGGTCTCAAGTCAACTAACCCCAAATGGAGAACAAAGAAATCTTCAAATTGCACAGGTAGCCCATCCTGAAAATGCAAGGAATAGCAAATATCAGTTGGGAGCAAACTTAACCAGCAACTATGGAAACAAGCACACAAGAGCCCTTCTGATGAATTTTATCATTTGCCAAAGGATTTTTCTTTTTTTCTTTTTTGGCAAAAGCTAGAGGAAGTAGTTTAGCATAAAAACAATTAGCAAGTGCGAGGATAAAAGGGAGAGGAAACAGGCACTTACTTTGTATTGCTGATATTCAGATCCATAATTTTCCTCAGATCCAGCTTCTGTGGCTTTAAGAGTATTCCCATTACTAGATACCAGTTCCATAGTTTGACTGTCAGATTTACATTCGTTAGGATGAGCATGTGTAAGGTATCCCCTACTTTCGGCAAAACCATTAATTACAGGCCTAGAGGACTTCCTTTTCCGAGGTAGATGAAGTCTCTCCAGCACAGTAGATCCCTCGCTACTTAATTTGGGCTCTACAAGCTTGTGGTTTGACGTCAAACCAAGATAAGAAGCAACTCCAGACATTGTATCAAATTTTAGCCCACCTGGAGCACAGTACCAGACATATGTTCCACAGCCATTATAGGATTCTTTGAACTCCACATACCAACCTTCATCAAGTACACCATGCCATTGAGAAATATAATCCCTAAGAGTCTGCAAAAGGAACTCCTTAGGATTCCCAGATGATAGTCTTATCACTGGATTATTATTGCTCTTTAAATGTATGACTGGAAAACCCAAATCGACTTCAAAGTTTCCACACTGCATCAGTGGATGATGCTGAATATCTCTAACACCAGCTCCCAAAGTCTCAGTCACAACACCGGCAGCATTTTCAAAGTGACATCCATTTCCAGTGTGTAAATAACTTGAACATCTAACTGGAGAACCAAACGGATTCCCACCGGAGGAATTATCATCCGAGGTGCGCTTTCTAAATGAAATCAATTGAACATCAGCTACTCATAAAAGTAGGTTCTCAAGATCATTACAACAGTGTATTCTGTTGACAAGAACAAAAGGAGGGGCCAGAAACACCGCAAGCATTACAAAGATAGCTAACAAGCATGCCCAGAACATACTTGTCACAAATTATGCACAGAGCTGAAGGCTGAAATTAAAAAAGAACAAAGAAGAAAATTGGCAACACCCACATGACAGTATAGTCAGCGCTTCAAAATATCAATTCCAACTCCTCAAAGCTGAGCAGTCATTCGATGAGTCAATGCTTGCACCAGCTACCCAGTCTAGTTCACCTTAAGATGGAGGAACATAGTGAATGACTACATTAATCTTATATACATAAAGTTCGGTCGTAGGTGGACACACATTAGTCCTTCGACCCAACTTCTTTTTCTCGCTTTACTCATTTCAAAAAATTTAAAATCCTTTTATCATGTGTTTAAAATGCTGTCTTTCTATATTACGCAGTCTGTTATGTCTGCTTTTATCCTCTACTTTTCTCTCTTCATTTACTAACTCTCTCTCTCTCTATTAACTATAGCAATGTTCATTGCAAACAAATATGAAGATCACTTTCGGCAATACAATGTGTTCTTCAGAGATGAAAATGCTTTAATTATCATTGTAGTACCCCAAAAGGAAAAGGTCAAATATATTGCTTAACTCCTCTCCACTTTCTGGCTCTATTTCTTAAGATTAACATGCAGAGAGAGATATGCCAAATTATGCAAGTGATTGAAGATAAGAACACCTCCTGCAGTGAAGTGCAAAGCCCTCACTAGCTGCATTAACCTCACTTCCACATCAGTTCAAACAGCTAGAATCATAAAATATAACCACTGAACCTGATTTGCTATTTGCCATATAGCCTGCTTTCACCCTCCTCGCCGAAAACACTTCCACTCAATTTCCGACCCTAATGCTTGCTGCATGCCGACGCAGCAATTCTGCAGCAGCAAATTGGTACAGATTGGACAATCAAACCAAGTTTCCAAGTAACACTGCCATAGAGTAGGCACTGCTTTACAGACCTATCAGTCATCCCCTACAGACAGGATGAAGTGATAAGAGTGGTAGGATTTTGACATTGCTGAAGTGTGCAACACTTGAGGTAACCACATGGAATTTTGAAGCCATTAATTAAACAAGGTAATTACTCATAATGGTGGACCATCGCCAGTTTCTTTCAAAGACAGCAATTTTTACGACATTGCCCATACTAATAGTCTCTTGTACAACCTAAGATGAATCCAGTGAGATCCAAGAGGTGAATAAGAAGTAGACGTTATTACACTTACTACAGTTTATTTACTAGCTTCACATATGATGGAATTGTGTGATGAGTCTGCTTTGGTGAGAAGAAAGCCGTTATTAACTCCGTTATATGCCATGGAAAATTCAGCTTGACAAGGCAAATAAAGATTTCCTCGCAGTTATAATAAAAGAAGAACAGGATCAGACAAGGTGTGATATTCCAGATTTTGGTACCTTGGATAATATGTAAGTCAAGCCAGAAGAGGAACGCTTAAGTCCATGTCCCTCGTCACAAATACAACTCCAAAATGAAACCATGGCCTCGAGATGTTGGGACTGAGAAGGCATATGGCTCAAGGGAAAAAAAATGGCAAGACCGGGGCATGCAGTGCAACAAGGCAAGATTGTCCGAGGAGAAAAGCCTGGGCTGCTATATTAGTGCACCCAAAATGTGCGAGTAGAATAGGTAGTTAAGAATGGCATTCTTCCAATAGTTATGCTTTATAATTGGTCTTGGCTATCGAGAGTGGTGACAATTGAATAATCGTAATGTCTTAACCTCCTAGTATAGAGACCCATGAGCACTCCTCAACTCGAGAAACTATCGGAGATAATTGGTTAGATAGCAATTGTACATTGGTTAAGGGGCACTGAGAAAAACCTAACTAGCCTCGGTGTGTTTAAACAAAATTATGAGACTGTTACATGGTATGACAAGGAAATTAGATCGCAAACCATTAATGCCATGTAGAATGAGTGGCAGACATATTAAAAGTTATGCTCTGTGGTGTGAGAAGAAGCTAATAACAACTTAATCAAATTTGCATTTGATCCCAGCAATGTCCTCCATTCATGAATTATCAAGCTCAAACAGCAAAACCACAGGCATTCATCACACAAGCAACAAAAATCCAACGTTGGAGCATCACAGGGTAAACCAGTTAAAACACACACTGGTAGTAGTGAGTATCAAGCATTTACCGTTAAATGGTCTACGAAAATGCATCGTAGCAACGTCACATGCTAGATGGATAACAAGATCCCAAGCCAGAATTAGGCCAAAGGCTCAAAAAAAGAAAATTGAAGACGAAGTCCGAGGATGACCTAGTTGTTATTATGTTCCCTATAATCATATATACAAGCATATCCTGGAAAGCGACCGCCAGCTCAACCTCCAACAAACAACTAATAGCAAAGTGGAAGTTTCTACAACTCCCCAAGGATCTAACTCCAGGAGGTGGTGGGCTTAAATCAAACCAGAGTAAATCTCACTCATTGATCGTTAAATTTTTAAGCTTTTGTTTGTACAACATCATGTATAGGAAATACATCAAAATGCACGCTGTTGCGACAGGTTACAACCGGGAAACAGTTCTTCGGTGAACCATAGAAGGGTCCTATCAAGTGAGCATATACAAAAGGCCAAAAACCTGATACCCTTCTTCAAACGTCTAATAGCTAGTAATACAATCAAGAAGTACTTTCTCGTCTGCCTTTAGCATGCAATGCCAATCTTATACATCCATATGCTATACCGAGTTTCAGTTAAAGCAGCAAAACATATCTGATCAAAATTATCACAAGACTCCCCATAACGCCTCCCCTCTGTATTCCCATTTAAGTGAGCTAAAAATTACTCCGACAGAGATCCGCCATGGAGGAAAGCAAAGTACCCGCAACCATATCCAACAGCTAAACTCAGTGAGTCAATAGGAACCTATCAAACAGCCTTTGTCGACTTAAATGAGCCTAGACAACACCACGAAATGCATAAAGAGACTCTTAAACGAGCCATATCATCCAAATGCGCATGAAAATCGCCGGTTACCTCAGCGCGATCACGTCCTCGCTTCCTTCTCCATCACAATCACCGTCGCTGGGGGGTGAAGCATTCATATCCAGGAACCGCCTCCTGTTCGACTTGAACCCTAGAGGCCACCGCCGGCTCTTCACCCCCCTGTCCACACACTCCCTGCACACCCACTCCTCCGCGTCCATCCCCTGCCGCGCCAACCCCGCGCACGCCACGTGGAACCCCCGCTCGCAGCCGTCGCACACCACCACGTGCCCGCCGCCCCCCTCGGGCTCCCCGCAGGCGACGCAGGCCGCGGCGGGCCCCCGCGGGCCACCACGGGCTCGGCCGCGGGCTCCGCGGGGGGCTCGGGGGCGTCCTGGAAGCTGCGCACCACGTCGAAGGGGTCGGAATCGGGGGACGGTGACGGGATCTCGTTGAGATCGATCTCGAGGTGGGACGGGCGGGCAGCCGCAGCAGCCGCCTCGCCTCCGCCTACGACACCGCCGCCGCCGCCGCCGGGGGGCCCGGGCTCGCTCACCTGGGGCTGTCGGCCGACGTCGCCGGGCTCCATTTTCACCGCCTCCTCCGCCTTATCGCCTCCTCGCCCCCTGCTGCTGCTGCTGCTGCTGCGCTGCTGTTGCGTGAGGAATGACATTGCAGTGCGGGTTCCGAGATTGGGAAAGATGGGGCCTTTTCCCCCTTTTCGAGCAAGTGCCCTTGATGGGTATTCTGGGTTTCTCTTGGATTTTGCGCTCACGCCTTTTTTGGGCTGAAACGCAGAAGAGAGAGAAAACGAGACTGAGCGAGCGAAGCGAGGAGAGAGAAGAGAGAAGAGAGAGAGAGAGACGTATCCAAAGGACCTGACTTTCTTATGGAACAGGGAGATGAGGCCAGGAGTCGGGGGGGAACTTGGGGTTTCGTACTCGCGGGCGTGCGCTCCGGCTTCGTACTCGCGCTCGCGAGGCGACACGTGGGGGCGGGGCGCGGGGGGGCGGGGGCGAAGCTCCCGGGATATGAGAGCCGGCCAAGGTGAGGAGGCCCTTGGAGTTTTTTTTTTTTTTTTTTGGGGTGCCACGTAAGCAACGTGGCCGCTCGACCCGTTTTGTTGCGGAGCATACGGTGCTGTTTATAGCCTCCGTGGACGGGGCTCGGGCTCGGCCATGGTCGCTGGCGACGCTCGCCCACGTGTCCGATTTTGTCTGTGAAGACTAAGATTTGGCGCTTTTTGGCGGAGCCGATGATCCGAACCAACGGACTGCCAAAATTCCGGATAATAAATATGTTTTTGTGGAAATGAAACCGTCTAGTGAAAAGGCGATAATCATATTTTCGTAATGCATTATCCCGAGCCGAGTGTCTAACACACCATTTTTCAGGGATCATTGCAATAACGTTATCCCAAGTCATGGTGGCTAACACACAATTTTCAGGGATATCTGGCCATAACAACAGCTAACAACATCATTCCGTGTTTGATTATTGTCTCTTTTCTTTTTTGGCTTATGACGAATCTCACTGTTAAAAGTAAAATAAAAGACGGATGTTCCTTAGATTTTTACTCCGAGCCGAGGAAAATAAATTAAACTACTCGAGTTTGACTTGTGAATGTCTCAAACTAGACCCTATTCTTTTAAGTGCAATTCGAATTTGAGTATCTCGAGTACTTAATCAAGTTGAGCTCGAGCTTGAATACTTTACTACAATAGCTCGCGATTTAAGTCGAATAATTGCATTTTATATATCCTGATTACATGTCTTCCAACTCGAATTCAAGTTTAAAATAAAACCCATCAACTAATTGAGTCGGTCAACTCAAACTCAAGCTTATAAAAATAGAGCGCAATTGAGTTTTGAATGAGCATCGAGTCTTGAATATTTAAATTAAGGAGAGCTCGAATACCGAACCGTGTCAAGGCGATTCAATCATGCCTAACTCTAGGTGGGAACCTCGAGATCCTATCATTACAAAGAATGCACGACAATGATTCTTTATACATTGTTTGTAAGAAAGATCGAGGAGGTGAAGTAAGTAGAGGCATGGAAAATTGAAAGTAAAGAAGGAGGGCGATCGAAAAAAATATATTTTCCCTTCTTCACAAGAAAAAAAGGGTTAATACCACGAACAACTCCAAATTAATATACTTATGATAAATTTACCCCAAATTAATTTTTTGACCACCAAAAACCTCAAATCGGTATACCTGTGACAAATTTATCATCCGTTAGTTTTCCGTTAAATTAAATTAATAGCACAAAAAATCACAAAACTGGTACACCGATGACAAACAGAGGATAAAACCCAAAACTGATACATCTGTCAACTGCCGCTTGTCATTTAACAAAGTAATTTAATAGTAAAATTTAACGGAAACTAACATGGGGTAAATTTGTTACAGATGTACCAGTTTGAGATTTTTTGTGATCAAAAAATTAGTCTGATAAATTTATCACAGACATATTAATTTGGAGTTATTTGTAGTATTAACCCATACAAAATGGCACTTTTGCTCCTCGCATGTAAAAAAGTGTGAATAATTACAAAAACCACATCTTTTGTTGCGAGTGAAATGATCTGGTATTTCGAAAAAAAAAGAATGATCCGGTACGACCGGGTGCATCGTTCGAGGGTGCTCTCGGTCAAACTGCCCGACGTCGACGACACGAGAACACGTGTCGGGCGACCGCCGCGAGTAGGGCTCGCACGCCTTTGTTCGAGGCGCGTGGCGGCTCTTCTCACGCGCGATTTTTACTTTTCTTTTCTCGTTATCTGTCTGGTCCTTTTCGGGTCCGTTTCCGTCCGTGGCAAAATCGTGGATAACGGGGAGCAGCGGCCCGATTTGACGGAATTGCCCCCTCCCGCGTCGAGCAACTAACTCTGTTGGGGCGTCGCACGGGCAAAGCGGGCAGCACTTGGCTGACCATGCATGGATTTCCGACCGTCCAAAAATGGAAGTGCCTCGTTTAATTTGGCCCGGTGATTACTGCTCGAGATCGGCATCTCGATCGTCGAGGTACGAACGCTCTATAACGCGAGCAACTCGTGAACCCAATTAAGAGCAGGGGGGTTTTATACGCGGGGAAGAGTGTCGAGAAATATCGCGTGTATGCATACGTACACACTCCGTTTGATTCGGCGAAAGACGCTTTTCTGATTTTCCGGTATTTGATTAGCTTAGGAAAATAAATAAATGGAAAGTCTATAAAATGATTTCCCCTTTTGAAAATCAAAATTCGTTTTTCAAAATATCGTTACTTGGACTGGAAACTCTATACTTGAGTATAGGAACTCCAATGCCCATTCTCAGGTACTTGGCAGCAGGCCCGAGTTCATCAAGGCCAGGCTCGGGACCTCGGTGCCTGTGCTTGGTTCTCCGACGCTCGGGCCCAAAGTCCATCAAGGTTGGGCCCAACACCCCGATACTCGTGCCCGAGACCCCGAATCTTGGACTCGAGTCCACCATGGCCGAGCATGAGTCCAACGAGGCTGGGCTAACAAGTCCGTGTCTGAATCCACGATGCCTAGGCTCGGGACCCCGGTGTTTGTGGTCCATAGGAGGCCGAGCTCGAGACTCGATGCCCGTGTGCCCAATCCCCCGCTCGGCGGGCTCCTGACCTGCTCCTCGTGCTTGGTAGCGATAGCACTTGGGTCCAATGAGGCTAGGCTCTGGACCCTAGCACTTGTGCTTGGAAAACATTTCCAAAAATGTTAAAATTTTTGCAAAACGAACGGAGCCTTAGTATGGTCAACAAGTGTTTTGAAAGCATTCGTTAACAAGATCGTTATAATAACTATTAAGTATATCACCGTGCTTTTAAAGAGAGAAGATTATTCCTTGTTGACTAAAATATACTTCAGATTTGCCAAACAAGTGACATTAATTTCTGGATAATCACTAAAAAAAGTCCTCAACCTATTTTATGAATGTTCATTTAATTCTAAAACCTTTCAATTTTGCCAATTTAGTTTCAAACCTTTCTAAATCTCTCTACGATTTACCAATGTAGTCATTCATTTACGAACTTTTTATGTTTTGTAATTATCCCCATTAATTTCACTACGGAGTTTTTCTTTGAAGAGAACATTCGATAGAATTACATGAGATCATGGACTCCAACTCCATCAAAGAGCCCCAAAACTATTTAAATCTTAAATATAATTTGGGAAGAACGGTTTGTCTAACAAAAAAATACAAATATTTTCGATCTTATATCTATGTTTTATTTGGCATGCTAGACGGGTGTAAATGGTGGGTCTCCCTCATTTTTACTGGTGTTAATTGTAGACGACCCAACCGTTTATTTCTTCGAAAAGAAAAAACAGTTTATTTCAAGTCAACACGGTTTGTGATTTAATATCATGTAAATTAAGGAGGTTATTAATAGATTTAGGAGGTGCACAATAAGTGGATTAGGTCATTCATTAATTAAGAAGCGGAGCTTAATGATGTACATGGTTTACGAATTGTGATTGTTGGCTCGCCGGCGTCCCTGCCTCGAGTGTAAAACGCTCGACCCGGGGAAAACTACTCCGCACCGAAAAGTCCGGCCCTCCGGTGTTACGACCCGGCGTGGCCGTGCCCAAAATTTGCATTAAATTCGATAACACGAGATATCCCAAAATGCATTTTCTTTCTCGAATTAGGATCACCCACTTTTATTTTTTAGGGTAGGGTGTGATTATTTGCTTTCCGCCCTTTCGTGTTACCATTAATAAGGTCAAGGTCTATGTTACAACTCAATCCTAGGCTTGCATGGTATTCGATGTATAAGCTATTAATTGTGTGATCTTACCCCTGACGTTTTCTTGGATTCTTATTTCCCTTACTACTATCATATCTAAAAAGATTTTATTTCTTGGGTACAAAAACGCACCCGATTTTCTCGGCTATCGGATCAAACGTACCCTGCACGAGACGCGCATGATCTCAAAGACCGAAAGGCCGACACATGTTGGGTGCACTAAAAACTATGGCTCCGTTCGTTTCACGGAAAAAAAACTTCCGGGAAAACGTTTTCCGAATTTTCCGGTGTTCTTTTCATGGAAAAAAACTTCCTACGGAAAACATTTTCCTTCCTACGGATAAAATACCTTCACTTTTGAGGAAATGACTTCCTCTTTCTCAAAAAAGGAAAATATTTTCCTCCTCCTTCTTCTTTCACCATTTATTTTCAATATTTTCTTTTTCTTTTTTTTTTTGCTCCTCCTTCTTCTCCCTCAACCGGTCGTCAGCCACGGCAGCGGCCGGCAACCGGCCTCAAGCGAGCTCGAGCCTCGCCACAGGTCGACGAGGCTCGAGCTCACCAGATTCCAGCGAGGCCGGCGAGCTGGGCGAGGCTCGAGCCTCGTCCGAGGTCACTAGACGTCGGTGAGGCTTTGGCGACCTCGGCCGAGCTCGGCCTCGCCGGATCAGGCGAGGCAGAGCCTCGTCACAGGCCGGTCGCCGCCGTGGCCGGCGACCTACTGGAGAAGAAGAAGAAGGAAAAAGAAGAAAAAGAAAATTATTTTTTTAAAAAAAAAGTAAAATTAAAAATTATTAAAAGTATTGCAAGGAGGAAAATCTTTTCCATACTAAACAACGGAAAATATTTTCCGAGATTTTTTCAGATTTCAGCTGAATACAGGAAAATTGTGTCATTTTCCAGGAAAATGACTTCCTGGAAAATATTTTCCAGAAACGTAACATTTTCCGCGAAACAAACGGAGCCTACAACTCCAATATTTTTCTCACTCCTCGTGTCATATTCCTTTTAACCTCTCTCTTTTGCCTTTAAAGAAAAAGGAAAAAAAAAAGCACCAAAAAACCAAAATTTATTCAGTGAGCTTAGTACACGTTCTAAAACGAATCCGAACCGTTAAATCTACTAGGACTCGCGTGGTAACCACCATTTTCAGTGTTACAGATTCGATTTACCATATATCATGTAATCATGTAATAATTTCTCAAAATGATTAATTTACTATATCATTCTTTTTCCTGCATAGAGATTTTGTTTTTCGTTACCAACTCCACTACACCATAAACCATTATTAAATTCATCCCATTCCTCAATATGTCAAACATTAGGTTGGCTAGCTCCTCGTCGTTCGGTTTTGTCTCTAATATAACGAAGAACCACTCTTGAGGAAACATGCTCCAAGTCTCTCATCCTCTCTTTTCATCATAACTCATTGCTCAATTCTTGCGGATTCCAGGAACGAGATTGCCCTGAAATGACGGTCCTCGTACTAATAATCCTCCTGTTCGCGGGTATTGTGATCCTGGTCTTGTTCCATGTGTGCATAATCGAGTGGGGCTTCAGAGCGAGCGGACTCCACCGTGCCGGTCAAGCTGCCAACGATGCTCTTGCTGATCGAGCCGGGGCGGGGAACACGAGCATGTCCATCGACGATGTAGAGAAGCTTCCCTGCTTTGACTTCGAGGCCAAACATTACGATCAAGACCACGAGGGGACAATCACCATGACCATTGCTGCTAGTCCTGTGAGCTGTGTGGTCTGTTTGGAGGAGTTCAAGATCGGCGACAAGTGCCGGCTATTGCCGATCTGCAGGCACAGCTTCCACGCGGAGTGCGTAGATGCTTGGCTCTTGAAGATGGCCAGTTGCCCGATTTGCCGGAGCCGTGCCAATTCTAGCCGATCGCTAGATGAGGGAAGCAGTAGCGGGTGCGGGCCTGGTGGCAGTAGTCATTTCAACGACGATGTTAGCACGGGAATCGCAGGGAGTCAGATGGACTCGAGTGATGTTAGCAGGAGTGAATCAAGAGAGAGAGGAGATCAAATTGGTGATGTGAGAGTAGAGATTGAAGATCTCCAAACAATACCACAGCCTAATGTGTGAAAGTTTTCATTTCAGGTATAAATCATAGAGCTGCACATGATGATAGAACCGATTTGAGGCTTTTCTCACTGCTCATAAGAAACCGATTCTTCGTGATTTTGGCCTTTTACCCCAACAGATGTTATCGTTTAAATCTTGAGCAAAAAATTCAATTTCGATAGATCGTAATGCCCTCAGCCCATTGTGAATTGTTCCTGCAATCTTATTCTTCGGACCGATGTCTCTTGGTGGTTCCTATAGCACGTGTTCTGCTATTAGTGGATCTATTTTTGCGGTGGTTTTATTGGTTTGTGTAGAGGACGATATGTTATCGGACTCAATTGGTCCCATAAAAGTTTGCTGAACTTTGTACTCTTTTTCTGTCCAGCACTATGGCTGATAACTTTCTGAGATGTCCAACAAATTTACAACCGTTATGTTAAATAGGCGTAATTTATTATTTAAATATTCTACTAGTCCCGATCATACATAAATGCATCTATAAGATGAAAGGTCATGCCCTATTCTATGACTGGATGTCACGTTTTATGTGCATCTATTACATCACGAGGCGAGCCCTTGTGGGATTTTTCTTTTTTCCTTTCAACGGCGATGGTCTTCGTTGCAATAATGCTTTACAAATGAAGCGGACTGGTGAAGTTTAGTAATTGAGTTCATTCTCAAAACATCTTTCCATCTTTATTCTTTCTTCTCGTATCAAGACATCATAGTCTATTTACTCATAGTAATGTTAAGTAGTGTCAAAGAATGTTAGGGCCCGTTCGGCTCAACAAACACCTCCTCCAAAATCTATGATTTTTCTTCAACAGTGTCGTGCAACGGTGACATTCTGTTCCAAGATGATTACAGCATCTGCCGCATTATGTTTCGATGCACTCGGCTATCTCTTGCAGATAATGTTTCGAAATTGAATATCGAGTGACTTAAATTACGAGAAATTAAGCCAACACGAACTGATGGGAGGAGTTCCTCCGTTGGCATGCATGGCGTGGGGTGTGTGGTATCATTTTGCATTATGTTTCCCGGCGATGGATACAAAATAACCCTAAGGAAGCATTTGTACCAAGTATCTTCACAAACCCGTTGCCCCCACCAACGTAGTGCAGTTGGCCGTGTGGCTGTCCCTTCCCTAAATTGTGTGATCACAGGTCACATTCACCCACATCATGTTCTTTCTTTCCAAAACTAGCCAAAAGATGGCCCGAGTATCTTTGCAAACCGATCGCGCCACCGGGCGAAGTGCTATTTCGATCCCAACCACGTGGTGTGAGTTCGAATCCCGCAACTCGTGTTGCGCCTCAGAGCTCCGGAATGTACTCGATGGGGGAGCTTTTACGAATACACTACATCTGATATTTGCACTGACTCGTCTGTTCTATCAGCATCATGATGAACCAAACTTCTCGATATATCTGTTTACCAAACCCTAATGACCTCCTCTTCCTCATCAACTTTCGGGAGTCCCATGAAACGTAACGCGTCGTCCAACATCATGACCCATGTGTACGCACTGCATGTGCTGTGTGCCTTTCTTTTCTTGTTTTTTGTTTTTTTATCGCCGTCCTAGATTTTAACGATCCAAGCGACAACAAGAGCCCACTAGGAAAGGGCTGAAGTCCGCATGCGATACGTGAGGTCTTAGAGTTACCAGCGCAGAGAGACAAACTCGCTTCGCAGAAAAGGATGGAAGATGGCGCCCTCTGCTTTTCGGGTGTAGAGAGTTTTGGCTGTATCAAATTGGCGAACGCGACAGGTACTGCGTTTCCAAATGGTTTTAAGCCACACAGTAAGTAGTGGCAGCCACGACAAAGAGCTAACTCCATGTGGCAAAACTTCCTCTAGGCCTTGTCTTGATCTTGTAATTGCATGTTGCATGGACATCCTTAATAGATATATTTAAGCTCGGAACGAAAGGTCCTCTATGAATAGAGATTTCCATCTATGAGAAAGGATAGGAATATAAAAGGGCAGGAATGAGTATGATTAGCAAGCCAGGAGAAGTGACTTTGTGACGGAAGGCAAGACTAGACTCGGCAACTTTTTGTAAGAAGAAAGTTTGATGTGGAAACAGTATTGTAGGAGTCTATATTGAGTAGTGGACTACTGCATCTGTCAAATAATTCATACCCATAATTATAAAACATCAAATTTCATTCGCAATAAATTATCAAACATGATTAGGCTATGGATTAGTTACCATGCCGTTTTATTTTTTGTTTGTTTCCCATTTCCATCATCGGATTCTTGTTGATTATATAAGTGACCTTAAAGGTAAGAAAAAGGGTAAGACAATTGCAATTCATGCATCACTCAAATGGATGGAGATTCGTACCGATCTTGCATCGAATCCGCCTAATTGGAGGTCTATTAAACATTTAACTGGACGGGTATAAATCGAGAGTGCGCATACATTAGTCTTGATTTACCTATTTGGCAAAAAGATGCGCAACCAAATTACAGAAAGAAAAAAGGAAGTACTGTATTATTTGTATTGACTCACCTAACTTTATAATTCAATTAAGGAAGCTCTATACTCTATATAAAGAACTTGCACATGCACCTCTATGTTCCACACACGCACCAAAAATGGGTTCGCTATCTTCCGATGCTCCCATACACGTCGTCCTCTTCCCCTTCATGTCCAAAGGCCACACCATCCCCATCCTCGACCTTGCCCGACACCTCCTCCTCCGCCGCCTCGCTGCCACCATCACCGTCTTCACCACCCCCTCCAACCTTCCCTTCGTCTCCCGCCACCTCGCTGGCACCTCTGCCTCCGCTGTCGCCCTCCCCTTCCCGGGTGATATCCCAGGCCTCCCCTCCGGCGTCGAGAGCACCGACGCACTCCCTTCCATGTCCCTCTTTCCCGCCTTTGCCAACGCTGCAGCGCTCATGCAGCCGAGCCTTGAGGCTGAGCTCCAGAGGCTGCACCCGCGGCCTACCTTCATGGTCTCGGACGGGTTTCTGTGGTGGACCCTCGAGTCGGCCTCCAAGTTCGGCATCCCTCGCCTGGTGTTCTATGGCATGAGCAACTACGCCATGGCAGTCTCCTACGCCTCCACCATCGAGAACCACCTCCGCGGGCCCATGGCAGAGGACGAGCCCTTCACCGTGAACGCTTTCCCGTGGATCAAGCTCACCAAGAACGACTTCGAGCGTCACTTCTCCCAGCCGATGACGGAGGAGAACCCCTATTTGGAGTTCATCATGAAGGTTGCGGTAGCGATGGGGAAGAGCAATGGCCTAGTCGTCAACAGCTTCCAAGAGCTCGAGCCGGCCTTCCTCGAGTACTGGAACCGCGAGTGTGTGCCGAGGGCTTGGTGCGTCGGGCCTCTGCTCCCGCTCGAGCGGCCGGTGGCGTGTGACCCTCAACTGCAGACCACGTGGGCGCAGTGGCTGGACAGGAAGCGAGCTGGGGGCGAACGCGTCCTGTACGCGGCGTTCGGGTCACAGGCAGAGATTCCAGCGGCACAGATGCGAGAGATCGCGCTCGGTTTAGAGAGCTCCGGCACGAGCTTCTTGTGGGTGGTCAAGAAGAGAGAGTCGGAGATCATCGCCGACGTCGATGGTGGGTTCGAAGACAGGGTTAGTGGGAGAGGGATGGTTGTGAGAGAGTGGGTCGGCCAGCGAGACATCCTCATGCACGAGAGCGTCCACGGGTTCCTGAGCCACTGCGGGTGGAACTCGGTGCTGGAGAGCGTGTGGGCTGGGGTGCCGATCCTGGCATGGCCGATGATGGCGGAGCAGCCGCTGAACGCGAGGATGGTCGCGGAGGAGATAGGAGTGGGGCTGAGGGTGGAGGCGGCGGACGGGACGGCAAGGGGGTTCGTGAGGGGGGAAGGGTTGGCGAAGGCCGTGAGGGAGTTGATGGAGGGGGAGAAGGGAGAGGCAGCGAGGAAGAAGGCGAAGGAGGTGGCGGAGATGGCGAGGAAGGCGGCGGAGGAGGGCGGCTCGTCGTGGACGGCGTTGGAGGCCCTGGTGGAGGAGATTTCCAGGAAGAGGAAGGACCACACAGGCTGAGCTGACGAAGATCAGGACAACAAAAAACCGTCTGATATATTCGAGAGAAGTTCAATTATCATCTGTCACTTTTGCTTTTGAGATAGACAAGACAAGTTCCTTATCAAAAATCAGCCATTGGATCATTAATCACTTGTATGCATGTTAGTGAGAGATTTCATTTCATAAATGCTTGTAAAAAATATTTTGCATTGTGCATCTTACGTAAAACTTATTTAGGTGTTTCTTTTTTGTTTCTAACTATGAAAGTGGGAAACTTTGTCCTCTATTGAAAAATGGGTTAATACCATGAAAAACCTTAAACCGGTATATCTGTAATAAATTTATCCCAAATTAATTTTTTTCACCACTAAAAATCCCATACTGGTACACTTGTGATAAATGTACCTTTCATTAGTTTGCGTTAAATTTTATCGTCAAATTGTTGAGTTGGATTAGTCATGGACACGGGCCGGTTTTGGCTCGGAACCGACCCAGAACCGGCCCGGTCAAACCCGGGCCCGGCCCGTTGACCGGGCCCGCGGTTCGGAACCGGAACTGTTCCAAATTATTTTTTTAAAAAAAATAATGAATACTTTTTTTAAAAAAATTCATTATTTAAATTTTTTTTAATAAAAAAAATTGAACTCTAATTGCCATGCATCGTAAGTGGATTGATCTCCAATTACAATGCTTGGCTTGAGTGTATTGAACTCTAATTACAAGCTTGGCTTGGGTTTTATAAACAACCCTTTGATGGTCTCTTCATTCTCATTCGATGTGGGACTCTCGACTTGCCTTGAACACCTTCAATGTGAGACTCTTGGCTTGTCTTCATGCAAATGCCAAGAGTCCCACATCGAATGGAATGAAGAGACCATCAAAGGGGTTGTTATAAAACCCAAGCCAAACCATTAAGCATGTGAAGTTGTACGCCTTTGTGGCTACGATTCTTTGCTAGTTAAGAGCAAATGGTTCCATTGGACGCCTAGAACTAGGACCAATGGTCCGGTTCCTGGTTTATGATTTCCGGTCCAGGTTCCTAGTTCTAAAATTAAAGGATCGGTCTTACGGTTCGGTTCCGGTTCCGACCGGAACCGATCATCCCTATAATTTTCATTTTGATTATAATTTATATTGAATAATTCATTATTTCATATTTTTATAATTCATTATTTTTATTTCATAATTTATTTTTTAATTTTTAAATTAAACGGAACCGGCGGTTCAGTTCACACATGACCACGAACCGAACCGCGGTTCCGAACCGTGGCCATGACTAAGTTGGATGATACGTGACAGTTAACGGATATATCAGTTTGGAGTTTTACCTTCCGTTTTTCACGAGTATACCAGTTTGTGGTTTTCGTGATACTAATTCAATTTAACGGAAACTAACGAAAGGTAAATTTGTCACAAATGTACCAATTTGGGGTCTTCGGTGGTCAAAAAATCAGTTTTGGGTAAATTTATCATACATGTACCGATTTGGGATTTTTGATAGTATTAACCTTATTGAAAATACTGGACTAGTCCAGTTCAAATACGTAGCAATGTACGATCATTTAAGGATTTTATTGACAATAAGATAGTCAATATTACCCTTGATTAAGGAACATCATATAAGGATAATTAATCTCTAATAGGGTCCTTAAATTTTTCGATCATTGAGGTGAGTTAATAAGGTTAGAAAAGTTATGATAAAGTTTAAGTTGTGTACAATTTCTTATGTAAAGTTATGAACGTTAAGATATTCAAAATTACAAGACCTTGAGAAAAGGAAAAATAGAGAATATATGTTAGTGTAAAGAAACTTTTACTCAAGTAATTTCACGAGAAAATTGTCCAAAAAGTCCTAAACCTATTATTTTTTTGTCAATTCAATCATAAACATTTTAATTGTGTTAATTGAGTCCTAAGCCTTTTTATATTTTGTCAATTGAGTCCTAAACCTTTTTATGTTTTGCCAATTGAGTCTATCCGGCTAATTTTATTCGAAAATCGCTGACGTGGACGCCAGCCATCCTATGTGGCATGGCCAACGCTAACGTGAACAAATTTTAATAATGTTTCATTATTTTTTTCGAATTACTTTTTTTTCTTTTCTCTCTCTTTCTTTTTTACCTTCCCTTCTTCCGACCGGCCAAAGGTGAGGGCCAGAGAGTTCGACCTCCCCGGCCTTTGGCGAAGCTTGCCCCCGTCGGCCACTGGCAAGGTAAGAGGCAGGCGAGGCTCGACCTCGTCATTGTTGGGCGATGGTGAGCCTCGCTAGTGGCTGGCGGGGCGAGCTTCACCAAAGGGAGGCAAGGTCGACCTCGCCGGCCTTCGTCTTTGGCCAGTCGCCTAAGCTCGCGATCGGCTAGAGAAAGAAGGGAAAAAATTCAAAAAAAATTTGAAAAAAAATATTATTAAAAATTGTCCACGTCAGCGTTGACAATCATGTCACGTAGGACGGCCAGTGTCTACGCCAGCATTTTCTGACCAAAATTGACCGAATGGACTCAATTGACAAAATGTGAAATGACCTAGGAATCAATTGACACAATTAAAAGATTTAGGACTGAATTGGCAAAAGTGCAATAACTTTAGAACATTTTAAACAATTTTCCCGCAGTTTCATCCTCACTTGATTTGAGAATTATGACGGTTCAATCTCTCAAATCGACCGTGTATAAAGCAAGTTGTGTACACTAGCGTTGTATGCTACAAGTACGGTTGATACAAGTTACTGCATGTAAGGGGTCGTTACCAACTTGTCCTTTAGAAGGATTCCTACAAAATTACAATGATTTGGGATAATTAATAATTATAAATACCATCACTTACCACGATTTGAGGCATGCTATATTAGATTAGGTACTTTTCAATAATTATATTTTTTTACGATAAAAAATAATAATTAGATATTTTTCTGAATTATCAGTGATTAGTAATTTCTCCAATGGATGGTAGGTAACATGGGTAACTTTACACGCATAACAGTTAGAATTTATGTTCTATTGGTAACTCGGCCATGTGACTAATGAGCTTCCAAAACTAAAAAAATAAAATAAGAAACTATAATTTATACCTTCAGTCACACAAGATTAGGAATTTTTCCATAATGAAAAATGGCCAATTAACTACGAATAAATCTTATTACTAGTAGCCGTCTCGCTATTGTCTAGACTTTATGCCGAGGTAATTATCGTTGTTGAAATATCCCACGTTGATGTTCTGCCCCTTTCGCGTGTGCCCTCGCCAATTTGCCGGAAAGCAGGGGGCGATACTGAACCAGAATGCCACCAGGAAAAGAAAAAAGTTTCAAGAGGAAGCTACATATAGAAGCCTTCAAATAACTGCCCGCAATGAACATTGTTGCTCATTCCTTGCTGTATCTTCCAGTAATTGTCGACAATAAATCGATGTACTACTCTCGCGGTGGCACGCCATGTTCGGCACAAGATGTTTGCTTTCATGGGTTTTCAAAGCCACCCAGGGGTCATATAAATGTTCGCGAATTTCTTTACCGCGAATCACGTATCTTGGAGAGAAAAGTTCTGTGCCGGGGTAAAGGCATTGTCTGCTTGTAAGCTTTTTTGAGTTAGAAGATCGGCGACAGTTCATTTTCTGTCGAGAGTCATGCTGGCTTCGAAGTTCGATGTTCCAATCCTACACGGGAATCTATAGTGTGAGGAGTGTCATGATTCTCTGTGCGTCTAAAAAGTTCTCTCGTTTGCAATGCTTAAAACAACTTATCCTAATTGTAGTTATTTTTCCTTGAAGTCTCCCTTTCGAGGTCGGACTTCTGGCTCGTTGACGATACTAGATGATGAAAGCTGATCCTGCAATTGAAAGTGAAAATGCTTAGAACAAACCGAAAGGTTGCTGCAGAAGGGAATTTTAACAGATGACAGTAACTTTGGAAATGGTAAAATTTTCACTTCGATAGCCTTAGCTGGATCATTGGCATTTACTGTCTTTAGCTTGGATATGCTGAGGTTTGTTGCTGCCAAAAAGGTTAGAAGTCATTTACCGAGTAAAATACTATTGAGGGGTAAACTCAAAGTAACAATGCGGCTGAAAGACAGTTCATTAAGGTAGAAACTAGGAATAGAAGTTGTCCAAGACAGAGTAATTACATGGACAAGTCAAGTTTTTCGTTAAAGGTCATATGAGATTACATGCTTAATGTTACAGATGGAAGGTCCTAATTGGCTGACAATCAATTCTTAGCAGTTGGCACATTGCTTAATCACCCCCTTTTCTATTTACCCTTGTGGTATGGCCAGATCTGTGAACTTGGCATATGCTTTTGGAGAATTTCTAGGTGTGTGAGAGAAACCATGGGACAAATTTTGCTAATTAGAGACATCACGATCTTTTATTTTCAGGGAGAAAATAACAGAGTTTTCAGGGAGAAAATAACAGAGAGTGATAGACATTATTACCTATATTTCTAGCATCGGCCGGCAAGCGCTTCGTTTCTTCCATCCAAGATGAATGCCCTGCATTTTGGCATTATTCATGCATAAAGACGGACAATCCTTCCAAACTCACCCGCTTCGTGTAGGCCGAGAACTAAAACCGAGCAATAAATGACAAAGAGAACGCAGGCTTCTGTTTCTGCAGAAAACATGTACTACAAAAATCGTACTAGAAAAATCCTCCAACTGTTTAATGTTTAGCGGGAATTTCCAATGCAACAATATTTTAGTCTCTCTCTGTCTATATCTGTACCCTTGCATGACATATTGTTTGAACTGCTATATCTCTCATGGCAAAACTTTGATATATGAAATTTTCCAAACTCAACACCCTCTGCGCTGAATCCAATTGTACCAGATTTTCAATCTCCTCTGAGTAATTCATTACTTTGCTATTCAAAAGATTTGAAGTCCATATTTATATTGATCAATCGCTCTCCACTTGAATGTCGGAGATTTTTCTCCAGATCAAGTCTACTCTCCAACAATTCCTAAGCCCTCTCAAGTGTTGCAACTTAACTATGGTTTAATGTTTATGTTGATCAGTCTTTTTGTTCAGTGTCTTTTTTGTTGAAGTTATGGATGATCTGGTCGCATGCTTTATATTAAGGCATGAGACTGAGTCTCGGAATCCACTCTATATGATTGCTTTCTTCATCTTGATAAGTACTGCAGAATTTGTAGCTTCTCAGTCTCCAGGGGCGCAATGTGTTCTCGATCTCACTTCTAGTCCGACCCCCTCAAATTATTCAAGCTGTGAACTGGGGAACTGGGGAGGCTTCTTGGAAAAGAACTGCTGCGGAGCCGCATTTGATAGGTATCTTTATGCACTGGGGCTCCGAGCTAACCAGACCAAACAGATATACTTAAATTCTGGCGAGCAAAATGATTGTTTGACTTCAATGGAGAGATTCAAGGGAGATGTTTTTGGGTGCGGGATTGAGAAGCTGACGAGTGGGGGCGGCAGCTGTTCTGACTTTAATGTTACTGATGTCAACAGTAAGATGGGAGAGAACTTGAAAAGGTTCAGTGAAAACTGTAATTTTGGGAGTTCTGATGGAGAACAGGACCGAACATGTCATTCCTGCACGGAGACCTGGGAAGAGATGAGATCGATGCACCCTGCAGCCACCGAAAGTGAATCTGTGGCAAACAATACGGACATTTGTAGGTTTGCCATTCTTGTGTCGTTAACGAGCACGAGAACTGAAGACTCCAGTTATGTCCAAAAAATTTACAGGTGCCTCGGGGAGCAAACTAGCAGCAGCAGCAGTATGTAATATTGCTTATGCAATTGGTGAACAGAATAGCTTTGATTGATTAGATAGTTATTTTTGCCTTGAGGCAGAAAAATCATATCCTAAATCGTCTCTGTCTTGAGCAGAAAATGAAAATAAAGAGCGGCAAAATTGGAAGCCCAAACTTATTAAAATAGGTAACTTTTCGTGTCTCACATGGCAGTTCAATTTTCATAGATGCATGTCGGAATAGTTCTATCTGAATATATTGTTCCTCAAGAGTTGCGCATTAAGCAGGTATGTGGGTTTTAATCAGTGTCCTCATCGTGGCTATGGTCGCTTTTATCATTTCCATCATCATTCGGTCAAAACGACGCCGTAAACCAAATTCAGAGCCAAAAAGAGCTGGTATATAAGGATGTTTCCAGAACCTACATTAGACTCATAGTTAAAGCTTTCTTTAGTTTGTTACTCACGGCCTTCTTCTTGTCGACAGCATTCAAGGATGTGCTTCTCAAGGGACCTAGTTGTCCGAAGGTTCCAATTAAAGTAGTATATACAGCCACAAACAACCTACAGGAGTCCAATTTCATAGGTCAAGGAATTGCTGGTGAGCGTTTTTATACAACAGCAGTACTTGGCACTCAAAATTACTGTGCTAGAGAATAGGTGACTGCAGAGACTAGACTAATATTTTTTGCTATAACAATATAGCATGCTTCCTCTATGTCATTTTCAGATGGACAGTTGCATGTTATGATTCCTTTGTCTCATGTATAATCTCATGATACTGGTTGTGATATGAAAACTGTAAGGGAGGGTGTACAAGGGCATAATGCCAAACAACCAGCATGTTGCTATAAAGCATATCATCAGCGATGTGAATGTGGAAACTGTTGTGAGAGAGGTCACAAGCTTATCGCATGTTCGGCATCCGAGTCTGGTTTCGCTGCTGGGCTGCTGTGTAAATGAAGATGAGTGTTTTCTTGTCTATGAGCTCTGTCCAAATGGGAACCTTTCCGAGTGGCTTTTTGGTAAATGTGCCACCACTTTGATGCTAAATTCTGATCCATTTTCCATTATACCCTCAAACTGTAAAAAGCTGATCGCCAAGTGAATGCACAACAGGAAAGGACAGGGTTCTCTCTTGGATCCAGAGGCTTGAAATTGCCATTGATTGTGCAAGAGGTCTTATCTTTCTCCACACATATCCAGAAGGATGCATTGTCCACCGTGATATCAAGGTCAGCGGCAAAATTTACTTCTCTTACCTATAAAATCTACGAGGACATGTAGACTCCTCTAATATTTTCCAGCATCTTAAGCTGAAACATTAGCAGAGTTTCGAATCATCTAGCCCAATCAGAGTTATACCTCACTCTTTTTCTTCTTATATACATCCCATTACTCTTCTTATGCGCATCCAAGTCTCACCCTGCAAGTCTGATAGGCCTGAATGGAAATCTTAGAAAATGATAGGACTCTAGCAGTACGAGTTTGTTTAAAGATATGTGCATCCAACATTAAAATTCAGGGCATCTTGCTTCAATCACCAGAGCTCAATCATCTCTCTTGCAGCCGACAAACATTCTCCTAGGACCGAATTTTGAAGCCAAACTTTCAGATTTCGGACTATCTAAGGTGATTGATCTAGGCGAAGCTTATGTCAGCTCAGAGGTGAGGGGGACCTTTGGCTACCTTGATCCCGAGTACCAAAACAACCGCCAGGTGAATTCATCCGGTGACGTTTACAGCTTCGGGATAGTGTTGCTGCAAATCCTCTCGGGGAAGAAAGTTATCAATTTGAACCAGAAAATACCAACGCCGTTGGATAAAATGGTGACTCACTGCCTTTGTGCCTTCGTTACACGATGAATTTAGCTCAGCAAGTTTCCTGATAAGTAATTGTTTGATGCTTTTGCTCTCCAGGCAAAAGCCCTTATTAGAGGCGGCAGCATCACAGACTTTGCGGACCCCAAGTTCGAGGGCGAATACTCTGCAGAAGCATTTATTATTACACTTCAGCTGGCACTCTCATGCACTGGACTGAAGCAACAAAGGCCATCCATGGAGCAAGTTGCCGTAAAGTTGGTGGAAGCCCTAGAAATATCAACCAAAGCAAAAGCTTCTTCTCCTGAACTGACCCCTGAATGGCTTTCAAGTTCAACAGAATGACGGAGAAGTCCTTGCATGTTTTGACTGTTTTCCGAAGGATCAGCAGATAACGTTTTTGTTAACTAATTCCAATAAGGGATACCCTTCATCCGTTTGACTGACATATATACATCCTTGTATAGATTTTTACAATCAGGGTACATGTTACCAAACTTTTTTTTCTCAAGAGTCTTAGTCACTCTCACTGAAACTAGTGTCTGCAAGAATCCTACCTTCGTTCCTTTTTCCTTCACTTACAAAAAATTGTATTTGACAAATTTGCCGTCTTTTATACAATGCTTATTTTCTTGCTCATTTAATTTGTGCTCCTCATGTGCTTCACTATATCGCGACCATATCTAGTCAAAAACTCGTGAATGCCTGCGGGAATTGTTGATGATTCAGGGATTTTCTGTACTCATCAGCTATGTATCTACCAGCCATGTAACATGTTATCCCCGTACTGGGGCCAGATACGCAAGCTGATGATTTGATCAGGGAACTGATGGCAAGAAACCTGGCTTAGTCAAGCCCCATTGTCGCAAGGAACAGACAGACATGTCCAGGTGAATCAATTGAATGAGACGAAAATGGAAAAATTATGATCTGGTGTACCAATATGAGAAATCACTTGCTTCGACAATACTCAATTAAAGAGATTTCCTCCATAAAACATGCCCAAAAGCCACATCAAGATTTTTGTCTACTGCCGTGCTTGATCAACGGTCAAAGATAGCGCACAAGAAGTCTCTCTCTCTCTCTCTCTCTCTCTCTCTCTCTGAGGCTTACCCCTTAATTTTGTTAAACAGCTATTTATAACCACGCTGGGTTCTTCAATGGATTTACAACAGCCTTAACTTGCAAGTAGTTACTGAGGCTATATATTCCCTTTTCTCTCCCAAATCCACTCATCTTGTAACCCCCGAAAGGAATTGCAGCATCAAAAACATGGTAGCAGTTAATCCACACTGAACCAGCCCGCAACGCACGGGCTAAAGTATTGGCAGTGTCGAGATTCTGAGTGAAAACTCCTGCGGCAAGTCCATAATGAGATTTATTCGCCCTTCTGATCACCTCATCAAGATCCCTTTTAAGCAAGGAAAAGTTAGCCTCCAAGCCTCGAAAATCATAAATATGTGATGAAGTAAGTGTGGTGGAGAGCATACTTGAATTTCGAGATGGTCTGCACTGGGCCAAAGATTTCATCCTTTGCTATCAGCATGTCATCCTGATTTCAGAAAGATGAGACAGAAATTTATATGGTTTGACTGACAGTTTGACACAATTTTCCGCAAAGAGAGTGACATTTGAGCTTGACTGTGCTATTCAAAGAGCAACAGCAATATTACCTGCACATCTGAAAAAACTGTGGGTTGAATGAAAAATCCTTTGGAGCCATATCGTTCACCTCCACATTCAAGAGTGGCTCCACTTTCAATACCAAACTTGATGTAGCTGCGAATCTTCTCGAATTGCTTGGCGTCAATCTGAGAATCCAATCATTTCATACTTACTGAAATAAGTACCAGTTTTCTTCTATAATTAGTAAAGTGCATTAATGCTAGTCCACGAAAAAGTACGGAAGCGGAAAGTAATACAAACCGGTCAGAGTTTTAACAGCTATCCGTAATGGCCACTGAGTAACGGTATGATATTGAAAACACGGTGTATGTGTCAATCCATTGCAGAGTGGAGATTAAAAAAAGTAGAGGGAGCTGTAAGAAGAAAAACCACCTGAGGACCCTGCTCCACTCCTGGCTTGAAAGGATCTCCAACAACACGTTTCATAGCCCGTGCCTTTGCTTTCTCCACAAATTCATCGTACACGCTCTCATGCACAAAAGTGCGAGAACCAGCGACACAGCATTGACCCTGCAGACAGAAGTTGCATTCATTTTGCATGGAACATGATACCATAGAAAGACAGCCAACTTACTTGAATATATTTAAGGAACGCAAGTGATCAGAGCACGAACCTGGTTGAAGAAGAGGGCAAGATGTGCCAACTCCACAGCCTGATCAATATCAGCCTCCTTGCAGACGATGAAAGGGGATTTTCCTCCCAGTTCTAAAGTCACTGGTTTTAGATTGCTTTTTGCAGCCAGATCAAGTACCACTTTACCAGTTTCTGCTGATCCGGTGAACGAAAGCTGCAAGTGTAGCACATCGATGGTTTTAGCTTCGGGTCTTAAGCTTATATATCTTCATCAACAGTCTGAGAAAGGTCGCACATGAAAACACGGAATGCCAACAGAATGCATTTGGAGGTGCTTTTTAACTTTGACATATGCACACAGGATAGTACAATCTCTCATTCAAAATCAACCTCCCTAGTATGACTACAGGAAATAATTTACATGTATAAAGGTGAACACATGCTAAGCAGCAAATTTATATCGTAACTAGAATATGAGAAGACAAAAAGTACCTTGTTCACATCCATATGACTACTAAGAGCACGCCCTGCAGTGGGACCGGGACCGGAGACTATGTTCAAGACACCCGGAGGAAGTCCAGCCTGTTAGACATTGTTATCGGACACGGAAAATCATTGCATCAATTAATGAAATGGTGCATCAACTTATTTCTTTCTTCGGTCACAATGAGAAACTTCACAAGATAGTCGTAGTGGGTGTAGGAACCAATTTTCATTGCATCGGTTAATGAAAAGGTGCATCCACTTATTTTCTTTCTTCAGTCACATCGAGAAACTTCACAAGATAGTCCTAGTGGGTAGTAGGAAGTAGGAAACGATTTTCAAAGAGTGTCTGCTGAGGGCGTGTTTGGCAAATTGCCAAATAGTAATTATTTCTATTATTTTGTTTCCAAAATCAGTTTTGAAACAGAAATCCGTTTGGTAAATTTTTTGTTCCCGGGCACAAATTTGCAAAAATTTGTTCCTAGAATCAGTTTTGGAACAGAATCAAGAAGCAAAAAAAAGTAGCTTCTTGATTTTGGGAACAAAAATTAGAAATGAAAAAGAAAATTTTCTTCTTCTTCTTCTTGGTTTTCTTCTTTTTCTTCTTCTTGGCCTGTGGCCGGTCGCCGGCAACCGGCCACAGGCCAGGGCCGGCGAGGGCGAGGGCGGCTCGCGGCCTAGGTGAGGGCCGCCCTCGCCTGCCCTAGCCTGTGGCCGATTGCCGGCGCTGACGACGGTGACCTGGCCATGGCCAAGGAAGGGGAAGGGAAAGAAAAAATAATAAAAAAAAAAGAAATATTAAAAAATTCAAAATATTATTAAAATATTATTAATAAAAAGAAATTTTATGCAATTACCAAATGCATTTATGTTCTTTTTCTATTCCAAGAATAGAAAGTTTGGGCAGTTACCAAATGCTTTCAAATGCTTAGAAATTATTCCCGAGCACGGAATAAAAAAGAATAATTTCTAAGCAAAGTCAGCTTTCGAGAACAGAATGGTTGTCAAACGTAGGAAGGATCCTCCATTAGCTTACTGTTGCATAAGGGTAAAACCTAAAACGGACGAATATTTTCCTCATACAGGTATGCTGAATCCAATATGAAGTATCTTAATATGACTTTCCGGCCTAACCTAACCCCTTCCTTGATTGTCAGACAAGGGTGCGAGTAATTCGAAATCGACCGAAACACTCACCTCATGGAGTAACCTTGCCGCATACAGAGCAGAGAGCGGTGTCAGCTCAGCAGTCTTTAGTACCACTGTGTTGCCACATGCCAATGCAGGCCCGATCTTCCAAGCGAGCATTAGCAGCGGAAAGTTCCATGGGATGATCTGGCCTGCCACGCCGATAGGTTCATGCAGGGTTTGGACATGATACTCTCCGTCTGCTGGGACTGTGAGACCGTGGATTTTGTCTGCCCAACCTACAAAATTTACGGTATATATTAATGTAAGTTGGCTGCAGGCTAAAAGATGAGTCCTGATGGGAAACAAATAGGACTGATTTCGTTTAACTTACCAGCATAATAGCGCATCAATCTTATGATGCCGGGAACTTCGACTTCTGCAGCCTGTTTGTAGGGCTTTCCATTATCCCAAGTCTCGATCGCTGCAAGATCATCCTTATGCTTCTCGAGTAGATCCGCAAATCGAAGAAGTATGCACGACCTTTCCTGAGTCATAATGCAGGAGTGGAGTTCCAAGTCATTGCATTTTCAAACATTAAATCACACAGCATCACCAACGTAACCTGAAATGTTCTAATTGTAACCCATATAGAACATGCTTAATTACATTTAGTGTAGAGACTAAAAAGCCGTCACTCCATCTGGAGAGAGAGAGAGAGATATATTTACATAGGCAGTCATCCTTGGCCATGGTCCCTCATCAAATGCCTTGCGAGCAGCAGCAACAGCACGGTCAACATCCTCCGCGCTGCCTTCTGCGACATGGGCGATCACGTCTCCTGTCCTAGGATCGAGGGTGGGGAAAGTCTTTCCTGGGTGCAATTTTGGCTACGAATGAGAACAATTCCACGGGAACTGATGCAATCGAGAGGCATCACAAGAGACAGCGGTACTGCATTTATAGAATGATGGAGAAGGCCAGACTAACCTGATGCAGCATCTACAAACTTCCCATTTATGAGAAGCTGAGTGTCGGTTATCTTAACAGGCGGAGTGATCGGTTCGTCAACCACGGAAGAGCTACTATACGTGCCAATGCCTCTTGCCCAGCCACGACTTCGGCCTGAAAATTGCACAAGCAAACACCTGCTCATGTCATAGCTCGCATTGGTGATGCGCTTCGGTGGCCATTTGCGAGAACCCCTTTCGAACAGATAATCATTTGGGCAAAAGAATTCGCGAACGCAAAAAACAGGGAGAAGAAAGAGAGATCAAGCGAGAGCGAGACGCTACCGATTGAACGCAGACAAGCAGACGAATTTTGGGAGAGTGAAAGAAGCTTCCTGGCGGCCATTTGCGCAGAGCCAACTCTGTCCCTCTTGCTTCTGGTAGATCTACCGTCTCCTGCCAAGATCGGAAGGTAAAAGACTGTTCAGAGAATAATGGTATCTTGCAGGTTCACGTTGATCCAGTCCAGTCTATTCTGTTCGTGCATTATAGGAACCATTCTCGCTCACTTTCCTTACTCTCAACTAGCTAAGTGGGTCGACTTGTTGATCGCATCATGCAGTGCAACGTCCAAACTGATAAGCACTGAAAAAAAAATCTCTACAGCAAAAAAAAAATAAAAAAATCATTCATACGTAGATGCACGGAGCTTACAACTTGAGATCGCAGACACGTAAAAGAGTCCTTTCCCTCGATGTAGCGTGGCTTGACGTTGAGGATGAGATGTAGGTACGAGGAGAGGAGAGGAGCGGAATATGTATTTATACGCGAGCAGCTCTATTTACAACTGTAGATTTTCCATTGATCCGACGGTGGAGATCCAGTCTCCTCCTCGAGTACCGAAAAAAGAAGAGGATAAGATCGAGGTGGATAGAATTTCTTGCCAACAAGAAAATCCCTGCAATTACCTTTTATGCATTTGCGTAGCTCGTGCTCAAATGCGCCATGGTATCCATCCAGCAGGTTAGAATGGCAAATCCAATTCGTTGACAGCTAAAAGAGGACGAGGCAAGCTCTAAACTGCTGTCCAAAATGAGATAAGACCGGACAAAATAAGGATATGATCAAAATTGGAAATTTCCCATGCAGGGTAACATAATAAGTGGATTGGATTTCTTTACGAAAAAAATTCCCTCTAATTGCTCCCATAGGATCCACGGATAAGATGTCCAACACATATGGCTAGAACTCGACTCCGATGCCATATTAGAAAGTCCAATCAAAAACTTAAGTAACGGGTGTGTATGAAAAGTATATAAATCCCATAAGCAAGAGATTCTGATACCTTAACATGGTCGGTGTCGCCATAAGCCATTCGCGATTTTTTTTGTATTGCTGGATTCGGTGGGTCTGTTATGCTGAAATGAGAACAAGTCGGCAATAATCATCGATCGATTATTGGAGGTGGTCTCCGTTTGTGCATTTCCGGGTTATTTAGAGTGAATCCGGAGAGAATTGAGTATAGCGGTAGCTTCCTGTCTTATTTCATCAGTGTTACATAGTCTCATCTGTTTCGGTTTCCTCCGAATACACCAAAGCATTCTTTTAATGTCTAAACTTTCTAGAGGTGGGGTGGGTTCTTCTGCCACTTCCAATTCTTGTGATGAATATATTTTCTTTTCTTTTTTTTGTATTGTTTGTTGGATCCTTCAGTAGTTTTGAAGATTTTCTAACGGCTTTATAATGGATTTATAATGATTTTGTAAGGTTCAATTTATTTCTTCATTAAATCTTCATTATTTTATAATGATTATATAACGGTCATATTCTTCTTTAATTACCAATTGATTTATAACAGTTTTTCCAAACGGCTTTCTCTTTGTACACATAACGGTTCCGTTTCTTTAGTGCGGAGTATAGAAGAACATGTGTTGTTTTTCTTTAGTACGGAGTATAGAAGAATATGTGTTGTATTTTGGGAGGATAGCCGCTAAAGCCTTACACACCGAGTTCAATACTATGAGGGGATGGAATTATTCTCAAGGACAGTGCTTGCACCCTCAGACATGACGTGCCCTTATGATGTAGAACAGTTAGCCTGTGATTATCTTGAACAATGTGATCGCCGTAATCACCGGAAATCTCGGCAATTTTTTCTGATTTTGGGAAAAACAACCATTCAGGCAATTTCCTATATTATCATTTAGGCAGTTTCCTATATTACTAGTCAGGCAGTTTCCTATATTAGGAGTCCTATCTCTATATATAAGATGTCCGTCTTGTAATCAAGATCACAGTATTATTGAATAAAAATTTCGAGTTCTTTGGAGTTGTTCCAAATTTACGCTTCTCTCTGCGTCATTTGGTATCAGAGCAGGTTTCTCCTGTGACGATGGTGAATAACATGAATGTCAATCTCCTCGCTGCTGAGGGCCGTGAGAACGAACCTATTACGCGGGCTGAGTTCAATCAGTTCGTGGATCAAACCGATCGGAGGTTTCAAGAGATCCTTGATGCCATCCAGCGTTTGTCTACAAACCATGCGCCTGGCGTTCTTCCAGCCGAGCGAATTCCTGTCGTTCGTGATCTCGAAGATGCTATGGGGCGTGGAGGAATTCCCCGACATAGGCGTCAAGACTATGTCGAGGATACGGAAGACGAAGACGATGATTTCCAGGAGATGCAGATTCGTGGTGGTCGTCGATACAGGGGATTTCAGGAGGAGCATGTTCGTGGGAATCGACGTCAGGGAGGATATCGACGAGATCCTGAGCAATATCAACTAAAGGTAGATCTCCCTACTTTCAATGGGAATTTGGATATTGAAGATTTCCTTGATTGGCTTTGGGAGGTCGAGAAATTCTTCGACGCTATGGATATTGACAAGGATCGCCAAGTGAAACTTGTGGCGTACAAGTTGAAGGGTGGCGCTTCAGCTTGGTGGGAACAGACTCAATTGACACGACGTCGACAAGGCAAGGCTCCTATTCGATCATGGGGTCAGATGAAACAGAAGTTGAAGAAGAGGTTCCTCCCAACGGACTATGAGCAACTGTTATTTCAGCAATTCCAAAATTGCCGACAATCGAATAGATCGGTCCAAGCTTATACGAAAGAGTTCCTTCGACTCTCCGCTCGTAATAACCTGGATGAGTCCGAGGCACAACAAACTGCTAGGTACATTAATGGTTTGCGACTTAATATCCAGGATCGGGTTTCTTTGCATCGACTGTTCTTTGTCGAAGACGCCCAGGATATGGCGCGAAAAAATGAGGTGCAATTGGAGAGAACTAGCCCTAGTACTCGTGGTAGCAATTATTCGGGTCGTGGGTCATTCGGGAAAGGAAGACAGCCTGATATTGCAAGTTCTAGTCAACAAACACCTGATTCGAGCCGAGTTCCAGGGGGTACTAGTGGGACGCCTAAGGAAGCAGTCGCAGCAAGCAATCGCACTCCCAATCAGAATACCCAAAATCCATATGCCAAGCCCCAACCGATCAGGTGTTACAAGTGTAACGAGTTGGGCCATCGTTCCAGCGATTGTCCTTGTCGTAGAATGGCCAATATCGTTGAACATGACGAAGATGTGTACGAGGAAGATTGGGAAAATGAAGAAGAAGTGGGAGTGGAAGATGAAGTGGGCGAGCAAGTTAATTGTGTAATGCGTCATCTATTGCTTACTCCGCGGACAGAAGATACCTAGCGGAATCAGCTTTTCCGCGCTCGCTGTACTGTCAACGACAAAGTATGCGATATCATTATTGACAGTGGAAGTTGCGAGAACATAGTGTCAAAGGCCTTGGTGGATCACTTGCAACTAAAGACGGAGCCGCATCGCGCGCCCTACACGATCGGGTGGATACGCAAGGGAGCACAATTTAAGGTAAACCAATTATGCCGTTTGCCTATTTCAATCGGAAAATCATATCAAGATACTATTGTCTGTGATGTTGTGGAGATGGATGCGTGTCATGTTTTACTGGGTCGACCGTGGCAATATGATGTTGATGCTACATACCGAGCTAGGGAGAATACGTATTCTTTTGTGTGGAAAAGGACTAAAATTACTTTGAGACCGAAGAGTAATTCCCCTCAGATTGTGAAGAAGCAAAATGCAGGGGTTATGATGAACATCCGAAAGCGTGAAGGGATGTATATGGTTGTGGACAAGGGCGACCAGCAAGTTGTGGTTCGTGTTCCCAACATTCTTAAGCCTTTATTAAAGGTATTCAGTGATGTTATGCCTGAGGATTTACCTGACGGATTACCTCCTTTGAGGGATATCCAGCATGAGATTGATTTTCTTCCAGGTGCTAGTCTTCCTAATTTGCCGCATTATCGAATGAATCCGAAGGATAATCAGATTCTACAGGAGCAGGCGGGAGAGCTCCTTCGAAAGGGTTTCTTGCGTGAAAGCAAAAGTCCATGTGCAGTTCCTGCGCTTCTCATGCCAAAGAAAGACAGCACCATGCGTATGTGTGTAGACAGTCGTGCCATTAACCGGATTACTGTCAAGTATAGGTTTCCGATTCCACGACTTGATGATATGCTAGACAGACTTGCTGGATCACGGATTTTTACGAAGATCGAACTTCGAAGCGGATACCACCAAGTTCGCATCCGCCCTGGCGACGAATGGAAAACGGCCTTCAAGACAAGTGCGGGTTTGTACGAATGACTTGTCATGCCGTTTGGACTCACTAACGCGCCTAGTACTTTCATGCGTTTGATGACTCAGGTTCTCAAACCTTTTCTTGGCAAGTTTGTGGTAGTTTTCTTTGATGATATACTCATATATAGTCCAGATGGGCGTCAACACATGGAACACTTGAGGGATGTCCTACTAACCTTGCAGCAAAATAAATTATTTATTAATCTGAAAAAGTGCAGTTTCGTGACAGAACGCCTCTTGTTTTTGGGTTTTGTTGTTGGCGCGGATGGACTTCACGTTGATGCAGATAAGGTGGGCGTGATTCGCAATTGGCCAGTTCCCAAGAATGTTGGCGAGGCTCGAAGTTTCCATGGCCTTGCAACATTCTATAGGCGTTTCATTCGAGATTTCAGTACTATTATGGCCCCGATCACTGACTGTTTAGAAAAGGGCAAATTCCATTGGGGAGATGAAGCTTCGGCCAGTTTTGCTCTTATAAAAGAAAAGCTCTCCACGGCGCCGGTATTGATGCTCCATGATTTTGAGAAAGTGTTCGAGCTGGATTGTGATGCTTCCGGCGTTGGGATTGGCGCTGTCCTTTCCCAAGAAGGTAAGCCTATAACCTTCTTTAGTGAAAAACTTAATGAAGTTCGCCGGCGTTGGTCAACGTATGAGCAGGAATATTATGCTGTCGTGCGAGCTATAAAGCATTGGCAGTCCTATCTTTATAAGCAGGAATTTGTTCTTAACACCGATCATCAGGCTCTTAAATATATCAAGAGTTAGAAGCACTTAAATCGAATGCATGCACGATGGGTTTCTTTTCGGAGCAATTTAATTTTGTGCTTTGTCACAAAGCAAGCCATTTAAATAAAGTGGCGAGATGCGCCGAGTCGACGTCTTGCGACACTCGTGACCATGCGTACTGATGTTGTCGGTTTTGATCACCTATGTTCTCTTTATCCTGAGGATGATAATTTTGGTGAGATATGGGAGAAGTGTTCTGAAACAAGTTGTCATGGCGATATGATAATTCAAGAAAATTTCTTGTTCTTTGGCAATAGATTATGCATTCCACGTGGTTCCTTACGTGAACAACTCATTCGAGAGCTTCATGGTAGTACTCTCGGCGGACATTTGGGGCGAGATAAAACTATAGCCTTGGTGGAGGAGCGGTACTATTGGCCTCAACTGAAGCGAGACGTGGGGCGATTTGTCAGTAAATGCTACATTTGCCAGACCGCTAAGGGCCACTCTCAGAACACTGGTCTTTATACCCCATTGCCTATTCCTTCGGGTCCTTGGGTAGACATATCGATGGACTTCGTGTTGGGACTTCCTCGCACTCAACGGGGTTTAGATTCTGTTTTCGTGGTGGTTGACCGATTTTCAAAGATGGCGCACTTCATCCCTTGTAAGAAAACTTCGGATGCTTCGCATGTGGCAAGTTTATTCTTTCGTGAAGTAGTCCGTCTCCATGGTGTGCCGAAGACAATCACTTCCGATCGTGACACGAAATTTCTGAGCCATTTTTGGCGTACTTTATGGCGTTTGTTTGGGACTGATTTACAGTATAGTAGTTCTTTTCATCCCCAAACGGATGGTCAGACGGAAGTTGTGAATCGTACTATGGCGGATATCATTCGCTGCCTCTGTAGTGATATGCCTAAGCAATGGGACCGGTATCTTGCTCCTGCTGAGTTCGCCTTCAACAACTCGGTTAACCGCTCTACCGGTACATCTCCCTTTCAGGTCGTTTATGGGCGTACACCACAGCATACTCTAGATTTGGTTCCCTTGCCCAAGATTCCAGGCTATAGTGTCGCGGCAGAGAATTTGGCGACCAGAATTAATGAAGTCCAAGCTGCTGTGGCTAGTCAATTGGCTGCTTCTAATTCAAAGTATAAGGAGGATGCTGACAAACGGCGACGTTCGAAAATTTTTTAGGTAGGCGATGAGGTAATGGTTTTCCTGAGAAAGGAGCGTTTTCCTGTAGGTACCTATAATAAACTGAAGCACAAGAAGATTGGTCCTTGCCGCATCCTGAAGAAGATCAACGACAATGCCTATGTAGTTGACCTTCCTGGTGATCTCAACATTTCCCCTACATTTAATGTGGCAGACTTATTTGAGTATCATGCTCCCGATACACCCCTCTATCCTGATCATAACTCGAGGGCGAGTTTTTCCGAAGAGGGAGGGAATGATGTAGAACAGTTAGCCTGTGATTATCTTGAACAATGTGATCGCCGTAATCATCGGAAATCTCGGCAGTTTTTCTGATTTTGGCGAAAACAACCATTCAGGCAATTTCCTATATTATCATTTAGGCAGTTTCCTATATTACCAGTCAGGCAGTTTCCTATATTAGTTTATTAGATGTTATCTTTAATTATTCGGTTTCCATTAGTATTAGGAGTCCTATCTCTATATATAAGATGTCCGTCTTGTAATCAAGATCACAGTATTATTGAATAAAAATTTCGAGTTTTTTGGAGTTGTTTCAAATTTACGCTTCTCTCTGCGTCACCTTAGCAGCAGCAACACGAGTTTGAGATGTGTTCCTTGAAGAACAGCAGAGGATATCCAAAAGAAGCACCGCACTTCAAGATCTTCTTCCTGGTCCTCTCTAATGCAGAATTATGTTAAGATTGGGTGGGGTTCCATTCGAGTGGAATGGAATGATAGATTCACACTTCTGGGCATTTTTCAGACGCCATGATCTCACTTCTAGTCTGTTTAGGTGAATTGGGATCTTATGCGAGATCTTCCAGGATTACTACTGTCTTCGGCGAGTCCTATTGGATTTGGGAATTTATAATGACTATAATGGTACTTTTTTCGTGGGCGGCGCATGGGGTTTTTATCTGTCATTTGCATTGATGTGGATTTTCTACCGAATAACGAAGATGACGGAATATGAAAACAGCTGGCTTTATTATTGCAATTCACCGAGCAGTGAATAGGATGTTGCCAAAATATCTTGATTTCATATCATATCTTATCTGATCTTGTCCTGGGTAAAAATCGAGATGGCCGGACATAGCCCTCGAAGTTTGAAGGCGTGTTAGGTGATCTCGACCACCTCCTCGGCATATTGCATCTTAAAAAACTCCGATCTGTGACACATATGCAATGCGGGTTTCATTCAACTCCGAAACTGTGCTGATTGTACTGGGTACCAAGGTCCAAATTCCTACCAAAACAGAGCTGCAACCTTGATTGCCTCAGTTGGATCACTGGCTCGTCCACGTTATGAACACACCCTTTGCTGCGATCTAGATGCTCACAAGACTCTAGTGAGCATTTGTGAAGAACTCCGAATTGGCTCGCAATCTGCATTTTGATTGCACTTACAACGACCCCTTTTCTCTCTCCTGATGATTTTTTGGGCAGAGTATGTCACCTGTTCCAAACGAGTGCACATTAGTAGTCTGCTTTTCAATAGTTTCTACTGGTGCATATCGCTGCACGCTCTAAGGTAGAGGGGTGTTGCCAGCCTATTCCGTATCGTCATGAATTAGAAAGCACTTCGCACATTTATGGATAGGTGTAGATACCCTTGACTTCATTTAAATTAAAACAAGGGGTCGAGTCGGGTCAATCCATCGCCCGGAGGGCCGAATCTGCTTCTACACACACATCCTTACGTTGAAAGGGACCCATTATGCCTTATTCGAACTGATACGGGATAGATAGTACATACACTACATTACATACAGACAACAATGCATACAGAACATTACATTTTGCCAAAAACCCAGTCTCTAGCTTTTCACAAGCGGAGCAGCATTGCCTTCTTCAGCATCGAACTTTTTCTCCAGAAGCCGTTTCTTGCAGTCACAGTAATACACCATGGACACCGACCACTTCACCACATTCCCCAAACAAACTAGATAGACTTGCAAAACCAACGCAGCAAATCCAGTTGCTTTACTGTGCCACGCGAAATAGAGGCAAGGCAATCTCAGGGCAAGCCTCCAAATGAAGAACACAAGCATAAGGGCGAGCCCCTTTCTTCTGCTTCCTCTGCTGATATATGCAGCCACTCCCAATGCAATGTCACCATGCTTCTCTTCCAATATTGAGATCACGATCCCCATGTTCCATATAGCACTCCACTCCATATACTTCGTGAACAAGGCCACGAAGAGCACGCCGGAGAAAACCCCGGAGAACTCAACTGGCCCAAAAGACGAAGACAACCCATAGATATTTGATGCGAAGGAAACAAGTCCAAGCCAAGTGAGGCAAGAGAGCACAAGTGCATACATAAAAGTGACCAAAGGCCCCCTGAAGCCAATCTCTTTAAAGGGTTGCAGGAAGAATTCCCTCAGATTCGGCAAATTCTCTCCTCCATAAATCGCAGATGCGTTGCGAACAACCACTACAGTGTTGAGGAGGTCTAGTGGGCTGACAACGACCAAGTACAGGACACCCATCAAGACCAACCCTCGAGAGGCCTCGCCGACCCAGTTCTTGAGGACGTCTATGGGCGTCGCTATGATGCACATGGTGAAATCACCACTAGTGCTGCACTCGGACATCCCATCGAAGGCGAAGTGGGCGGTGCCGAGGAACGTCTGCTGGAGGAGAAACTCGTTCAGCAGCAAGGAGCAGAACAGCGGGAAGGATGCGAGGCAGGCGAGGATCAAGAACCTGGGGCTGCCGGCGATGGAAACTCTCAGCGCTTCCCCGAGGATCCCGACGAACCCGAGCCTGTCCTTCGCCATGATGCAGCTGGCGTCCATGTTCGGTTCTTGAAATTCCTTAATCGGATGCAAGAACACAAAGGATGAGAGGTGGTTTCATAGGGGAATCCGGGGACGGTGAGACGGAGACTTTGACTCTGGACTTCAGCCGAGTCAACTTTGCTGCACTGTGGGATTAGCAAAGCAAGTCTTTGAGGTCGTCGATCGATGGATATGCTCGAGGAATGGTTATCGTTCGCGCCAACATCAAGGGCGCGAACATCAAGGCATGAAAACCCAAGACCCTTAGGGCGGCATGGAATCCATTGTGGAGCAGAAATTCTACTCTAGAATGCATTCCGCAACAGAAATGTGTTTATTAAAAAATTTCAGGAATACATTCTGGAGTAATTTTTGCATTCTGGAATAAAAATGCGTTTGTTAAAAGTACTTGATTTCATAATGCATTTTTGATTCCAGAATACATTTTTTATTCCAGAATGAGTTTTGGGCAAGAAAAAGAGAACTTACTTTTTGTAGCTTCTCTCTTCCAGAATGCATTCTGCCTCTTTTCTCTCTTTTTCGTGGCCTTTACAACACATTTTGAGATCTCACTAATTTTTTTTTCAGAAAATGCATAAAAATTGAAAAATTCCAGAAAAATTCATAAAAATTTCCGAAAATAAAAAAGTTAGATTTCGGGAAAATAGGAAATTTGGTGAATTTTTTCAAAAATATAAAAAAATCAAAAATTTCGAAACTTCAGAATGGCTTGAAGCACCTCTGAGTGAAATTTAAATTTTTTATGTGTCCAAAAAATCAAAAAATCAAAAATTTCAAAACTTCACAGAATGACTTAGAATACTTGTTGCCACCCACTTTGAGTGAAATTTAAATTTTTTGAGGTTGCCAAAAAAATTAAAAATTTTAAAACTTCATGGAATGGCTTAAGAATACATGTGGCCACCTATTTTGAGTGAAATTTAATTTTTTTAAGGTGCCCAAAAAAATTAAAAATTTCAAAACTTCACAAAATGGCTTAGAATACCTTTGGCCACCCACTTTGAGTGAAATTTAAATTTTTTGAGGTGCCCAAAAAAATCAAAAAATAAAAAATTTTAAAACTTCATGGAATGACTTAGAATACTGTGGTCATCCACTTTGAGTGAAATTTAAATTTTTTTAGGTGAAAAAAAATCAACAAATCAAAATAGATTTACTTCTAGAAATCAATTTCAAGCGAATTAGTCATGTTTTATCAAACAGATTTCTCCTCTGAAATCAATTTAGCAAAATTTAAATCAATTTACGCAAGAATTTGATTTTGGAGCGAGAATGATTACCATTCGCGCCTTATGAGTTTCCAAGGCATGCTTAGACATGTTGATCACCTCCTCAGTCGATTGTGCTTCGAAAGACCTCGATTCTGACGCATATGTGATTCCGATTAGTTTCTGTTGGATTGTGAATGTAGTAGATAGGGTACAAGAACAAACCGAGATACTTGTCCAAAACATGGACGAAAAATTGGATATTTTCTGCCACAATTGGCCCCATTGTAGATTGTCCACTGGCGTAAATAAAATTGTGCGTTAGAAAAAGCTGAGGCCCAAATTCCTACCGAAACGAAGTCGAAACCTTGCCACGATCTAGATGCTCAAAAGACTGTAGGTAGCATTTGCGGAGAACTTCAAATTGGCTCACATTGAGCTTTCTGATTTCACTGACAGTAACCCCTTTTTCTCTCTTCCAAATTTTTTTTGGCACCGTGTGTTACGTTTCAAGAACGAGTGCACATTGATACTCACTTTAGCAAGAGTTTCTACTGATGCATATCAATGCACGCTTTAAGGTAGAGTGGGTGTTACCGATGCTGGATTATCAAATTTTTGTTGAAAATAATCAACTCATAAACCCTATACGCGCCTGTGGAAAGGCATAGATACCTTGTCTCCAACTAAATTAAATCAAGGGCTCGAGTCGTCGGATCAACTCATTGCCGGTAGGGCCAAACCCCGTTCTGAATGCGATATCCTTATACCGAAACGGATCCATTATGTCTTAATTTAAACGATACAGGATGGTTGATACACACACCTCATTACAAACCGAAAACAATGCATACTGAACGCTAACGTCTTTCCCAAAACCCAATCTCTATCTTTTCATAAGTTGAGCAGCTTTGCCTTCTTCCACATCGATCTTTTTCTCGAGAAGCCCTTTCTTGCAGTCACAGTAATACACCATGAACACCGACCACTTCACCACATTCCCCAAACACACTAAGCAGACTTGCGCAACGGTCGCAACAAGTATACATTCTTTACCGTGCCAGGCGAAATAGAGGCAAGACAATCTCAGGGCAAACCTGCAAATGAAGAACACAAGCATAAGGGCAAGCCCCTTTCTTCTGCTCCCTCTGCTCACATATGCAGCCACTCCTAATGCAATGTCACCATGCTTCTCTTCCAATATCGAGATCACGATCCCCGTGTTCCATATCACACTCCACTCCATATACTTCGCGAACAAGGCCGCGAAGACCAGCACGATGGCGAGCCCACCCAGCCCGAAAGGTGAAGACAACCCACAGAGGTTAGACGCGAAGGACACAATTACAAGCAAAGTGAGGCAAGAGAGCACAAGCGAATACATGGAAGTGACCAGAGGCCCCCCGAAGCCAATCTTTTTCAAGGGTCGGACGAAGAATTCCCTCGGATTCGGCAAATTCTCTCCCGCGTAAATCGCAGATGCGTTGCGAACGACCATCATAGAGTTGAGGAGGTCTAGCGGGTTGACGATGGCCAAGTACAGGGCACTCATCAAGACCAACCCTCGAGAGGCCTCTCCCACCCATCTCTGGAGGACGCATATGGACCCCAGGACAGAGTATGTGCGGAACCCACCAATGTCGCTGCTAGTACTGAACTCAGACAATCCACGAAACGCAAGGTGGGCGGTGCTGAGGAACGTCTGCTGGAGGAGAAGCTCGTTCAGTAGCAGGGAGCAGAAGAGCGGGAAGGATGTGAGGAAGGCGAGGGTCAAGAACCTGGGGCTGGTGGTGGATATTCTCAGCGCTTCCCTGAGAATCCCGACGAACCCGAGCCTGCCCTTCGCCATGATGCAGCTGGTGCCCAAGTTGGGTTCTTGAGTTCTCTTGATCGGATGCAAGACCAGCGGAGGAGAGGCGATTTCACGGGGAATTTAGGATAATGGGACGGAGACTTTGACTCTTCACTATGTTGTACGTGTGCCGTACTCTGTTGGACCGCAAAGCAAGTCTCGAGGTCTTCGATGGATGCATCAAGCTGACCAGAAGATAGAAAATTGGGTGCCCGTAACAGTCCGAAGGAAAAAAATACACACAAACTATCATTCAACTTTATCCCAATATGAAATTTTGTTCTTGAATTTTTAATTTATTTAACGTGATCTCTGAACTTTTGATACATATATAATTTAATTCCAGTACCATATGAATATATTCAGTATCGTTCATGAATTAATGGAATGATAGTATTGGATATCTTCATATAATATATTGAATATTTACCAATCAAAAGTTCAAGGACAATATTACACATTGAACTAAAGTTCAGAGACCACATCGTATAAATTAAAAGTTCAGAGGCGACATTACACATTAGGTCAAAATTCAGAGATCACTTGTGTAATTATCCCAAGAAGAAATTAGATGCATCCATAGGTATTCCTCATGGATTCAAATTCGGTATATATGCCGGTGATTATGAATTATTTTCTGTTTCATGAACTAACAAAGTATTGGCGACGCTTTTTATATAAGAAACTAACTATAAACGTCGAGAAATTTTACTAACTACAAATAGGTCCATTTTTTTCCTTGATTCAAAACTATTTATCACATTTTAAAATTGCTAATTACTACTCCGTATATAATTTTTTCAATATAAAAATTTAGAAATGAAGGTGAAAGCCTTTTTCTTTTACAGTGGAAAAATTTCAAATACAACTTACTCTTTTGTTTTTTATTCAGCGCATGTCCATCAACCACTAATTTGGATATGTTGGTCAATTTTCCTAATTGCAACTGCCAATCAATGATCACGGAGGTGGTTTGTGTGGAAAAGAATTACGCAGATTATGTGCCATATAAAAGTCCTTTATAATTAATTCGCAACTTCTTTTATATGAAAAATCACTTGCCATATGTGCAGAAGTTTCTAACAACGATATTGAGACAATTTTTTTTTTGTTAAGGTTGCGAATGATAATTATTATGTTTCTTTATTTTTCTATTTTTTTGTTTCTACGAATAAGTTTGGAACAGTAATCCATTTGGTAACGCAATTTCATTTTTCTATTTTTAAAATAAATTTTGATTTCAGAAATAGATTTGGAACAGAAATGAGAAATAAAAATTTTTCTCATCACTCGCTCTCGCTATTAGCCGGCTGCCCACCCTCCGCCCACCACTGGCAGCCTACCGTCCGCCGCCTCTTGCCGCCGCCCGCCATCCTCTGGCCAACGTCTCCCCCCGCCCACCTCCCGCCACTGTCCTCTACCACCGACTGCCTCCCGCCATCCTCTGTTGCCTGCCCGCCCTCCACATGCCTCTTGCCATCCTTCGCCGCCGCCCAACTCCGGCAGCCTCCCACCGTCGACTGCCCGGTAAGGAGAAATTTTGTGTCGTTATCAAATAAATTTCTATTTCAAGAACATAAATTTTGTGTCATTATCAAATGCGTATTTTAGCTCAGAAATTCGTCCATGGAATAGAAACAGAAATTTGGCTAGAAATTGATTTCTTGAGCAGAATGGTTATCATTCACACCCAATAAACCATAAAGACAAATATATCTATCCCTATGAAAAATAGGAACTTCTGCAAATTGTTTAGTTCAAATATCTATTGAATAATGCCAGGCTTATAAGTGACTAATTTTTTTTTTTTTGGTCAAGATAAGTGACTAATTTGGTTGGTGGATTTTCTTCATTTTCCCGAACACCACACACAAAGCCATAATTTAATTAATCCCTAGGGTTGCGTTTGGTAGTCCGCATTTGACTCCGGTTAGGATAATTTGTTATTCTAGCCGGTGTTCGTAGATGTGCTCCGGACCGGATAAAATGCCAAATAAGAAATTCGAAATAGATGGTGAAATAGACCTGGATTGGATAAAAAAAAATTAAAAATAACTTAACAAACTGTATTATGTTACAACGATGAAGGGATGGAGTAACACATTCGACAAAATCAACGACAAACCCACAATTTTTGTTGCTCTTGCAATAGATGAATTGTCAATTATTCTCAACTTGCTTGCGTTGGCTGGCCAAGAGTTGGAAAGAAAAAAGGAAAGACAAAAAGACAAAAATTTCAAAGAAAGTTTAAAAAATGCAAAAAATTTGTCCATGTTAGCACCACCATGCATTTTTCTGGTCCAAAATTGACCGAAATGATTAAATTGGCAAATTATCAAAAAATTTAAGACTGAATTGGCACAGTTGAAAAATTTAGAAGTGAATTGCTAAGTTGTCAAAAGGTTTAAGATTTAAGATTAAATTGATGAAATTGAAATGTTTAAGACCGAATTGGCATAAATGCAATAAATTTATGACTTTATCGGTAATTTACTAATTTCTCAATATAAAAAACCCAACTACATTACATACGGACAAAAATGCATACAGAACGTTACATTTTCACCAAAACCTAGTCTCTAGCTTTTCACAAGTTGAGCAGCTTTGCCTCTTCCGCATCGATCTTTTTTCTCCGGAAACCGTTTCTTGCAGTCACGGTAATACACCATGAACACCGACCACTTCATCACATTCCCCAAACACACTAGATAGACTTGCACAATCGTCGCAACAAATCCACTTCCTTTATTGTACCACACGAAACAGAGGCAAGACAATCTCAGGGCGAGCCTCCAAATGAAGGACACAAGCATAAGGGCAAGTCCCTTTCTTCTGCTCCCTCTGCTCAGATATGCAGCCACTCCTAATGCAATGTCACCATGCTTCTCTTCCAGTATTGAGATCACGATCCCCATGTTCCATATAGCACTCCACTCCATGTACTTCGCGAAGAGCACGCCAGAGAGTACCCTGGAGAACCCAACAGGCCCGAAGTATATGATGACAACCCATAGAGGATCGATACCAAGGAAAGAAATCCAAGCAAAGCGAGGCAAGAGAGCACGAGCGCGTACAAGAAAGTGACTAAAGGTCCCCTGAAGCCAATCCTCTTTAAGGGTCGGAGGAAGAATTCCCTCGGATTCGGCATATTCTCTCCTCCATATATCGCAGATGCATTGTGAACAACCATTATGGTGATGAGGAGGTCTAGTGGGTTTGACAATGACCAAGTAGAGGGCGCTCATCAAGACCAACCCTTGAGAGGCCTCTTCGACCCATCTCTTGAGGACGCTTATGGGCCCCAAGATATAGCATTATCTTGAACCCACGTCTATCGCTGCTAGTAGTGCTACACACTCGGACATCCCATCAAACGCAATGTGGGCAGTGTTGAGGGACGTCTGCTGGAGGAGAAACTCGGTCAACAGCAAGGAGCAGAACAGCGGGAAGGATGCGAGGAAGGCCACGATCAAGAACCTGGGGCCGGCGGTGGAAACTCTCGGCCGCTTCCCCGAGAACTCCGACGAGCCGGAGCCTGTCCTTCGCCATGATGCGGCCGGTGTCCATGTTCGGTTCTTGAATTTTCTTGATCGGATGCAAGAACAAGGATGGGAGGTGGCTTCATAGGGGAATTTGGGATGGTGAGACGGGAGACTTTTGACTCTGGACTTGTGAAAGGCAAGTCAACTATGCTGCGCTGTACGACAGCAAAGCAAGTCTTATAAAAATTGCTAATTACTAGCACTCACATAATTCTTCCTGCGCTAATTCCAAAAAATATATATCAACTTTACTTTTAGTAATAATTCTTACTCGAACTTTTTTTTTATCTAAAAAAACCATCAATTTTTACTCTAGTTTCAAATCTGGCCTCATAATGTGAAATTTTCAAATTGTTTGGACCAAATTTGAGATTTAAATGAAAGTTTGTGATTTTTTAGATAAATTTTTATATTAGTATTAGGTAGTTCTTCAATATAAAAATTTAAAAATGAAGGTGAAAGAGTTTATTTTACCGTGAAAAAATTTTATGTGCAGTGTACAACTTTTTCTTATACAATCCACGTCCATCGACCACTGATTTGGGATGCCGGCCGATTTTTCTAACGACAATTGTCAATCAACGATCGTGGAAATGGATAGTGTGAAAAAGCAATTACAGAGATTATGTACCATATAAAATGCCCTCATAATTAGTCATTACAAGTTCACTTACCATGCAGAGAAAATTTATCGCAGCTTCATCGAGATGACGGATTTTTTATCGAATAAAACACGAATATAAATATATCTAGATCTAGGTTAATAGTCGGTACATATCCTTTTAATCTCAGCCTTCCAGGATTTATTTCTAATTTGGTCGGTGGATTTCTCCTTTAAATCATAATAATTAATTTTATAAATGAAATAATCCCCCCCAAGATCTCCTCCCTCCCCCCCGCAAGGAAAGCGCCAGCGGTGTGGGACATTATTAAACAAATCTCGAAAACGAAAAAAAAATAAAAAATGAACCTCGTCACGGACAACTGGCGACCGGAATTCCCGGTAGCCCGTAACCGATCTTTCCGTTACCGCACATCTGCCCCCACCACCCTTCCTCCCACCATTAATATCGAAAACGAAAACCCATCGAAAAACAGAGGAGGACGAAGGAAGGGGAAGGAGGAGGATCGGAAGTCTCTCCGCCGTCCGCCGCCGTTTTGCGCCGCCGCTCTGCAGATCCCTCCGGCCGAGGAGCCCCGATCCGTTACCCCTCGACCCCGGCGATCCCCGGATCTCATGTCCGCCTCGCATTCCCTCGAGGTCTCCCCTCGGCGGTACCGCGAGCCAAGCGCCGACGCCGCGGACGCCGCCTTCGCGAAGCGGGGCTGCTGCTTCTGGGTGCCGTTCCTCGGCTCCTCCTCATCCTCCGACGACGACGAGGACCGGCCGCCGACGAGCGTGGCCGCTGCGGGTGCGCCCGCCGCGGGGACGAACTGGTGGGAGCGGGTCGGGGACACGCCCGACGACCCGTGGTGGGCGCGGGGGTGGCACAGGGTGCGGGAGTGGTCGGAGCTGGTGGCGGGGCCGAGGTGGAAGACGTTCATACGGCGGTTCAACAGGAACCGGTTCGGCCGGAACCCGCAGTTCCGGTACGACCCGCTGAGCTACGCGCTGAACTTCGACGAGGGACCCGGGCAGAACGGCCACCCACTGTTCCGGGAGGACGTCGTCCGCCGCGACTTCTCGTCGAGGTACGCCTCGATCCCGGCGTCGTGCAAGTCCTCCATGGACCTCGGGAACCACAGCGGCCCCCTGTTCACGTGACGCCCCGCCGCACGCAGCGCTCCTGGATATACACACAGAGAGAGACAGAGAAAAACCGTTACCTCCGCCCACCGAAGGCCGCGTTCGCGGCGGCGGGGGGTTGCCGTCGTCGGAGGAGAGATGTGGAGCTACGTTTGACGTGTCGTGGCTTTCTCCTCCGGCGGGGGGCAAAGCCAAACGGTGCCGTACGTGGGTCGACATTCTTTCGTTCATCGATCATCGATTCGACGTGTGTTGGGGTTCGATAGACTTGGAAGGGCGTGTCACAATACGAGGTTGTATAGAATAAACTACTACTCTCTACTGCTTATACATTCAAAGGAATTCTTCAATGGTATGGTTGTTCGTTCATCAATTGCATGACATCTATTCCTTCTCTCTAGTATAAAAAATGCTAGTTTTTCTTTTGCCTTTTCCATATCTCGTCTACGGGTCTCAAATCGCGATGATTCGACCCCGATGCTCCTACCTACCCGGGGTCATCCCCAACATCCTTCGCGGCATATCGATAAATCGTGATAAATGCCAGATAAATGGTTATGATAAGTTCGTGCGAAGGCAAAAGGATGTGGACCGGTAGAGTTATGTTTGGTTTATGGTCTTGGAATCGAGTAACATTTCATCGAAAATTTCAAGTGCAAATCAGAAATGCTCAAATATATTTAGCACATTGTTACCTATATGGATTCGGAAACCGATAAAAGTTATGCTTAGGTGCGAAAAATTGGTCCTCGTGATACATTAGTCCAAAACTAATTTTCATCAAATAAAAAATGCTAAATAAGTACCCCATGACACAATTACACCAAATTAATTTTCAACTCGCAAAAAATCTCAAAAACCTCAAATAGGTACCCTAGGACACATTTATCCCAAATTAATAAAAATTCTCAAACCGATACCCTCGATCCAAATCTATCCTCCATTAAAACACATAGTGTCAACAAATGTGGATCTTCCACTTAAGATTTGTCTTGTAGTCATCTGCCATATGTCTTAACACGTTTGCACTTTAATAGATATATTTGGTTCAAATGTACCGGTTTGGATTTTCTTTTGTGAGAGGAAATTAGTTCGGGGCAATTTTTTGTGAGATAAAAACTAATTTTGAGTAAATATGTCGTGAGTGTACTGATTTGAGCTTTTTGGTGAAATAAAATTCAATTTAGGATAAATGTTTCGTGGAGATATCCGTTTGTGATATCTACCAATATTAACCCTTTGGTTTCTGATCTGCCAATGTAAGTTTTCCCTTATGTTATGAGATAGCATTTTAGCATAAAGAGAGAATGGTTAATACCATAAAAAATCCTAAATCGGTTTTCATGTGCCACATCACCAAAAACTAGTTTTCCCGCCATAAAAAATTTTAAATCGGCACATCCGTATCATATTTACCTTAAACTAATTTTCTTATCACAGAAAACCTCAAACCGATAAGCACGTGACGAATCTACCAATTGGAGGGTCGTTACATTCTGTCCAGTCTCTAACTTTGTGTAATATTGTCCGCTTTAGGCCCATTTATGACCCTCACTGAAACTTTAAAGCAGCGTTCTACGGAATAGAGAGCCCAAGGCTTATAAACCCAGCACAAGAACTCCCCCTAAGTGATGTGGGACAAGAGACATGCCCTTGCCATCCTAGAAGCACTGCGGAGCCGCTCTTTGTCCAAGCCTCAGCCGGCGACCACTCACATGCTCGATGAAACCAGGGTCGTTACACACCCAGAAACATCCACACAAATTTCTTTTATGTTAGAATTACACACCTTTCAAAATTAGCCAAATGGATTCGATTATTGAAGCGTGGAAAAGTTTAGGACTCAATTGGCACAGTTAAAAGGTTCGGGACTGAATTAGCAAACGCTAGTTATTCAAACAGGCCGGGCTCAATTTCGTTTGTCGGTGAAGACGGGCAGGTCCGGAGGCAGCACCGGGCCGGCCCGACCTTCACCGATGGGCCCGGTCAAAGCCCGTCAAAGGCCCCGGCGGCCCGCCGGGACCGACCGACCGACCATCTTCCTCCCCGTCGTCTTCCCCATCGTCAACCTCCGTATAAAAGCTGAACAAATCGAAAAACCGGAGGCAAAGGACCGAAATGGGGGTCCACGGTCTCTGGGAACTCCTCGCTCCCGTCGGTCGCCGCGTCTCCGTCGAGACCCTCGCCGGCAAAAGGCTCGCCATCGGTGCGTCCTTCCCTCTCCCCATCCCCCGCTCGCCGGGATCGCTTTTCGCCCGCCGGGGAGTTCGCGGCCTAATTTTTCTTTTGCGCCGCTGCTTGCAGATGCTAGTATCTGGATGGTGCAGTTCATGAAGGCGATGCGGGACGAGAGAGGGGAGATGGTCCGCAACGCGCACCTGCTCGGCTTCTTCCGCCGCATCTGCAAGCTCTTGTTCCTCAGGACCAAGCCCGTGTTCGTCTTCGACGGCGGCACGCCCGCGCTCAAGAGGCGCACCGTCGTCGCCCGCCGGAGGCAGCGCGAGAACGCGCAGGCCAAGATCCGGAAGACCGCCGAGAAGTTGCTTCTCAATCACGTGAGTCGATTTAGCGCCGGCGGAGTGGTCCCATTTTGATTCTTGCTTACTATAAGCGCTATGCGGTGGAGTGGAATGTCAAGCAATTGAGTTAGTGAGACGAATTCTACCGAATTGAGATGTTCCGTTGTATGAACTGATAAATTAGTGAGATTAGCTTTTAGATGGTAGAAAGTGATTAAATGACATCTCTATTTGATATTGCTGTGTTAGAATTTCCATACCCTTGTTTTCCTGTATAACCACTGATCGAGCTTGCAGGTCAAAGAATCAACTTTTCCTTGAGGGAGAGTATTGACGTAATAAACGCATGTATCGTGCTTTTAGATGGTTTGATAGTAATGTCGCATCATTTCTGTATCTAGGGTCTTCAGGGGTTTTATAATCATGATACTTTCCAATTACCTTGAGAGTTTAGTTTACTCACGCTCAATCCAAACCATATAAAGCAATCATCCATCTCGAATTAGTTTAGTGTGAATGTGATCTGAATTGCTGTACATGGCGTCTTTTCCTTGAGGCCTTGATTGTTAAGTGCCCTCAGTTTCTCTCTGCTGTGCTGCACGGCGCTATTCAGGGATCTCATGCCATGGAATTATTCTTGTATGACTTTTGTTCCCCTTTTGCTGTTGCAGCTTAAGACTCTGAGGCTAAAAGAATTGGCAGAAGATATAGAGAGGCAAAAACAAATGAGCGATGCCAAGGGTAAGAGGGTTTTATCTGACCAAACTGGTACAATGGGAAATGCTCACCATGTTGATTGTGAGGTTGCAAGGGGTCATGACCAGGGAAAGCTAGATGAAATGTAGGGTTTGCTCTAAGCATTTTACAATCATCTTCTCTTTCTTTGTCAATTGGTTCACTTGGTTAATTGTCGTAATGACTTTATTTAGGTTGGCAGCATCTATTGCGGCAGAGGAAGAGCGGAGATTTTCTAAAATCGCATCAACATCCCAAACTATGATTTCTTCTGATGAAGATAATGAAGATGAAGAGATGATTCTGGTAAGCTTTATTTGCTAGGAATTTTCTTGCTTCTCATGTTTCCACTGAGATGCCACCCGCTGTTGGCTAACCTAGGTTTAAAGCTGCTATGGTGCTTTCTAGCTTTGGAATTTAGTTTCGATACTTCTGTTTTGCACAGGATTATTGGTGCATAATATGGACTTCCCCCTCTCTAGCCTTAGTCCCTGTTGATGCTACTTCATCTTATTTGAAGATTTGAGACTAATATTCTCTCTTGATATTTTGTAGCCTGACATGATTGAAAATTTTGATCCAGCTGTACTAGAGGTGTTGCCACCTGAGCTACGAGTCCAGGTGACTTCTTAGCAAATATACTGTTCTCTATCCCACAGTCTTTTAGCATTATTGCTACCCTAAGTTACTGCTCATGCTGGTTGTTAACTTATCATTTTTCATGTGCAGATGGGAGAGAGGCTGGAAGGTGCTGATAGTCAACACCATTTAGAAGCTGAAGAAGTTTGCTATTTTGATGCATTTCATCTGTTATTATGGAATACTGGAAGTTTGCTGATACAATGGTCTGCTAATTTCAACTCCTATTGTATTACTGTTCAGGAGGAGTTATCAGGTCAAAATGACAGGGTCAACAGGGATCAAAATCATCTAAATTCAACTCGCCTTGATCAGGGGAAGCTTGATGAAATGTAGTATGCTCGCCCATTCTATTTAGTATGTTGTATTTTTTGTTGAGTTTTCGCTAAATGTTGTCTTGATTTAGGCTGGCAGCGTCCATTATGGCAGAAGAAGGTGAGATAGCATATACTGCATCAACATCGGCCCCTCAGATATTTTCTGAGGAGGAAGATAACGATACAGATGAAGAGATGATTGTGGTAAGTGTGGATGCAGCAATGTTGGAGGTTACATATATATATTTATGTCTGATATCAGCTGAACATTGTCGTGAAAGTAGGTAAAATAGATGTCACTTTGTAAACGGAATGGCTCTTCAGAATGGTATATAGACATTGAGAACTTCTATCTGCCTTTGTTGTGTGGCACTCTTGTTATTGAAATGCAGCACACGTCCAAATGCTTGCTTGTGTTTGTGACTACGTACCTTTCTCAGGAAGAAGGAAAGAAAAGAGAAATTTGTTGGCAAATACCTGCAATCTTTACTGTCCTATGCAAGATGCAATAGTCTAATAGGTTTCACGTAGACAACCTCACTATTCTCAAAAGATTTGTTGTTACTACTGTCGTCGTCGTATGTAAGGTAGAAGCATTCTCGTTAGCTAATTGATTTATCTTCTAGCCAGAAGTGCACGGGAATGTTGATCGTGATGTATTAAATTCTTTGCCTCTATCAGTGAGGCTCGATCTTTTGGCTCAGGTTAGAAATTTCATTTCTCATGGATCTTCTTCAGTCTTGGTAGGGATTTTCAGCTTTGTGTTCCCGTCCTTAGGTTCTTAAGATCTTTGGCTGTTTATGTAACAGATGAAGGAGCGACAAATGGCAGAAAACCGACAGAAGTATCAGAAAGTGAAAAAGGTTTGTTTTTTTCTTTCTTAGAGGATACTAAAGGAAGTAAACATCACAGATTTCTGCTGCTATGACTGTTTTGCTTGATGCTGCATGAATGGTCCATCTGGTGTCTTCTACATTTGTTTCCATATGTGTATATTTTGGAAATGATACATATGAATTTTTCTAAGAAGTTATGTTTATCTTTTGATAATTAGTTGAGGGCAAACTTAACATTACATGATGCTTCCTCTCTCATGACTTAAGACGTCACTCGGTAATAATGCTGTGTACGACAGACAGTCCTAGAACATGCGAAGCCTATAG